GATTTTCATAGGCAAGCTCTTTAATGTGGGATTCTCTTAAACAAACACAATTAATCTCTCCATAAACAAATATGGAATAATAAAACTGTCAGATATAAGAACAAATTTTCTACGATAATTGGGTTGAAAAGATATTCTATTGATCTAACTGTTATTAAAGGTTAAGGATATTTACTGACTTAATCATTTTTAGAGAAGCTTAGTTTTCCAGTGCCTGCACGAGATTATAGTATTGTAATTGATGCAATACCAGCGGGCCTGGAGAGGCTTTCGCAGGGTCACAGTGAACCAAATAAACTAAAGGTTAAAAATTAGATTTTATTAGATAAAAGTGTTGATATAAAAGACAGAAAATGTATTAATACATTTCCTATAAGTTTGATTAATTATCCTGCAACTATTAGACACAAGTACTATTGGAAAAAAACAGTCTGAGAATTATTGAGATATTGTGTCACTAATAAAGTCAGTGAAATCTACTTTAAAATCATATATAAAATATAGCCACCTAACCAGTGTCTCAAGAGATATAAAGTTGATCTTTCTAAATCTTGTTTTTTTTCGAAAAGGATGTTGAGACTGTTTTGCATTTGTTTGTTGATTGTATGCATATTAAATATTTCTGGGTTGATGTTGAATGTTTTATTAATATACTGAGAGGTCATAGAATTAATATAAAGAAAAAGATGTCATATTTAACGAAGATAAAAAAGCAGATAAGAATCTCATGTTTATGCTAAATCTTTTGATATTATTAGACAAGTTTTATATACACATACATATTTATAGTGTAAATGGTCGGAGAGGAAGCCTAACATCTTCCATTTCATAGCTGATTTAAACATTTAATTTGAAACTCTTAAAGGACTTCCAAGTAGTAAATCAACCAGAACTGTGATAACACTCCAAAAACTACACTCCTCCTCTATACACTCGCAGAAAAAAATAAATGGTACAATGTTGTACCAAAGAAGGTGCAAACCCTTGTCGCTGGGGCAGTACCTTTTATGGAACAGAATTGCATTATTAGACAATAAACACATTAGTATTAATTCAGTTTTACCTTCAAGGACAAGATTTGTACCACGGGAAACCAAAATGTACCTTCGGTTTTTAAAACCTGCAGATGCAATATTGTACCTTCATCAAACGTACAAATCTGATCCATTAAGGTACCACTACAGTGACAAGACACTTTATACCTTAACAGTGTCAAATGTGTTCCTTCAAGAACTATTTAAAAGCATTTTCCTATATCCAAAATGTGTCAATATATTTTCAGTAAATATAAAACATCAAATACATTTTTAAACAATGTGTTTTTAAAAAGTTTACTTATAGTTTAACATCTTTAAGATCTATGTTTTTGCTAAACTTTTCACAACACTTTCCACAAAAATGTTACAGAAACACATTCTCTCATGTACTATATAAAAAACTAATTCTGCAATTTTCACACAATACCTTTGTAATATCTTAAATTTCATTTGATTTACTTTATTTTAAAATAGAAATAGAATTTTGCGGCGATGTGGTGGCGCAGTAGGTTGTGCTGTAGCCTCACAGCAAGGTCGCTGGTTCGAGCCTCAGCTGGGTCAGTTGGCGTTTCTGTGTGGAGTTTGCATGTTCCCCTTGCATCCACCGGGCGCTCCGCTTTCCACCACAGCCCAAAGATATGCAATACAGGTGAATTGGGTAGGCTGAATTGTCCGTAGTGTGTAAATGAGTGTGCATCTCTGGGAAACATCCATAAAATCCATCTATCATAAAACATGTGCTGGATAAGTTGGTGGTTAATTCCACTGTGGTGACCCCGGATTAATAAAGGGACTATGCCGATAAGAAAATGAATGAATGAATACAAATTACAATTGTGAAAAAGTATTGTAAAAAGACATGCACAATGTTTAATTAGTTTTTCAATACTAAAATGTCTGCATGAACACTTTGCATATGACTTTTGCCAGCTCATGTAGTGAAAAGCAAATGGTAAAAGGTGCGCATATCAATAATGAAAGTGTATTTATCAAAAAAAAAAAAAAAGCTTAGCAAATGTTTATTTAAAATGCCTTAAATGTTTAGTAGGCAATACCTATATTTAGTTTTACGAGTTGTTTTGTTTTGTAGAACTTAATAATTAATGTTTAGGAGTTTCTTCAAGCATATGCTTTTAAATGATAATTCATGTTTTAATATGGAAATTTTTCATAAAATCTCTGCCTTTCCAGTCATATTTATTTTCAAAGATATTGTAATAAAGCAGTTGTCTAACACTTATGTACCTTTTTATGAGAATAATTGTGTACCTTCATTTCAGTTGTACCCTAAAATGTTAGTCTTTTACAAAAAGTACAAAACTGTTCCTTAAGGAAGAATATTTGTACCACTTTTCTTGTGTCTTTTCTGAGTGTATGGTAATCATGTAACCCGCTTTTGCTCTTTTTTTCTATCCTTCTTTCTTTGTTTTTGTCATTTTGCTTATCCATTTTGCTTTGTTTTATGCTAAAATGTGAATGTCCTGTTGTAAGATTTGTTATGCATGTGATTGTAAATGTTCAGCAAGTACAATAAATAAACAAATATTATAAAAAATAGACTGCATAGAAAAAAACAAACAGCACTACTGCTTAATAATACTATTCTACATAATAAACTTTACATAAATCACATCAATACAAACGTCATTAACGACTTAAATGCAAATTAAGCATTTCTATATAATCTTTTTCGACAAAAGTGTAAAGATACTTACGGGTGTTGGAGTGTCCAGCATTCCTGCACTTCATCCGGAGATGGTCGCATGTTTTTGCCTGAATGGCTCAAATGTGTGCTGATAAGTGACATTTAAAGACTCTCACTGACTGTCACCTGCAGGAAATTTACTTTTATATCTTTAAAACGGTCAGAAAGGTTTGTTTTGACTGTGGTCAAGTGTTGTGTTGTTTACAGAGCCAAAGTTGAGCCTCGTGCTAAACGTGAGGTCTTTTGCACCTCTAGCGGAGCGGATGGAGAACTGCACACTTTCTACAGGACAGACTGAAAATGACTTCCAGAAATTTATTGAATTTCATTAAATATCTAGCGTCAACAGGCCTTCATGTATATTACTGAATGTGTTTAGTGATTAACATTTTTCTAATTAAATAAATAAACAAACATTCTATCACTCATTGTATCTGCAGGGTCCCTCTTGTGGTCATCAAGTGTATCAATCTTCAAGCAGAATTGTCTGTCTGCTTTGCTCTGCTGCGAGTGTGCGCAATTATTTCTTCATTTCTGAAGGAATCAGTAGTTTTTCAGGCATCTGAATTATCAGATAAACGTAGAAACTATCTGTGAAATATTGGTTCAATAATCAGCTCTCAAAGGAACTGTAGTAAGACATGATATCGCTAAAATCCAGGACATTTTAAAGATAAATATTTTTAGTTGTTGTGGTGAAATCAGGCTTATTTCACTAAATACTGAAAATGTAAAAAATGTATAACAATACAAGAAAAGGCTTTTCTCTTTGTTCCGCCTTTTTTAGAAATATTTTGTAGTTTTGCTGTATCTATTTATGTTGTATCTATTCACTGTACTAACTGTTTTTTATGTATAATAATACTTATATTCATTTTAACTTAAGTATATACATTTAGTTTAACTAAAATATATTTAAGTCTTATTTTTATACTATTAAATATTTAAATTCTATTTGTAAACTAACATGTATTTAAATTCTGTTTCTCTATATTTAGATTCCCACAATGAATCCCACAAATGTACAAAGTCTTTTGGTGGTGCTGTAATGCAATTCTCTGTGATGTGATGTTCAATAAGGCATACACAACAGGATCACAAATATCACAGATAATTTACATCACTATAATACACATCACAGCTTAAAAGGAATTCAACATGAACTACAAGTGGTTTTAAAATACAACTGGAGGAGTGTTTTTTGACCCTTAATGTGCAAATATGACATTCATGTGTGATAATGCAGCGCTGGTTAGCATTTTAGCACATAACAGAACTTCTTCAGTTCACATGATAGAACATTCAAAATACTTTCCGAACTGTAATATAGGTATACTCTCATTTAAAAACATACTCTTCAGCACATTAATAAAACATAAACGCTCAATTCAACCCGACTGAACATCATTTTGTTGTAAACTCACCAAACCCGGGTGATTTCAACTCAGAAATGCTAACCGCATAGAATTCTACAAGGGCAGGTCATCCTCTGTAAAGTCGTCAATCATCGCACTAAAAATGACCCAATAACATTTATACAGGGACTAAGACATCACATAACATATTATTTATGCATATTAGGAAAAAGATGATAGTTATATTTGCCTTTTAATCTCTTTTGTGACACTCGAGATCAGCAAAGCGTCTCGTCTGAGTGACGTCATACAGAGCGCCCACCATATGGCCAAACATTACGCTTTTCTTTCAGTTAAAATATAATTATTTTAAATTTCTCTCTTCAAGATAACTTTGTTTAAACTATTATTTAAACGACTTAATATGATTTAGTAAAAAATAAGTTATTTTGAATTTGGGTTTTATTTTTCTTAAACAGCTTAATTCGGGTCTACAATAGTCCATTTTTAATGGTAAATCCAGATACATACTTTGCCATAGCTGCATAGACGGTGGTGTTACACTATTTTTAGAATGATGGAAAATGGGCTTATTTAGCCGATTACTTAAAATCATAATAATTAAACAGGGTTTTATTTATTTATTATTGTTATTATTAGGCAGTCATTGTGTCATTTTGTTTTACATTTAGCTTTATTTAGTAATAATAATTAATGTATTAATGTATTTCCTGTTTCTATAGCTTCCGAGAATCCAAAAAGGGCCACACGCTGATAAATAATGTTATGATAGCTGTTTTGATAATATGTTATGATTAAATTGCCTCTTGTTACAGATATGAAACAGTTTTATAACAAGCAGGAAATGTTCATGGCCGCATTGAAACGATCTTGTATCTAGGTGGCAGTAGCGCATCGGTGAGCTACAATCTAACGTAAAACACCTGAAGAAGAAGACGACAAACGACGGAAGCGACTGTCGTATTTGTTATTAAATTTGTCACCAAATGATTCAGGTTTAGTTAGATCTTTTATTGAACATGAATCAAGAAAAGCATCCGCGATCATCCATTGAGGATGATTTTAATTATGGCACGAATGTCGCGACGGCTAGCGTACACATCCGGATGGGTAAGTCGATACGTTGATGTCTACGTAATCAGAAACACAGTCTATAATGTAACACGCTCTGGAAATTACTAAAATTTTTAACAGCTGATGGACAGTACTGTTTTATTTCGGTTATTTGTGTCTCCTTGTTTAGCAAACAGCGGCAGATGCTTACAGTATGACGCAAGCGATAAATCAGCTGTCACGAGTCACCGAGCTCCTCATTGTTTTTAGCAAATGTCATTTTTAGCATGCAAAGAAATGCCACACGTTTCTTAAAATGTCACATGTAGTTGTCAGACCAGTTTTTAAAAATTATGTAGATGTTATTCTGGCCAGCTGTCGTTTTGTAAAGGAATAAAATGCTCGAAATGCTCCTTTTTGTGATATTTGGAAGAAATTCAATCAAACCTTTATAGAAATGTACTATACATTACATTTTTATATGCATAGAAATAAAAGGTTTGTTGATTCTTTGTTACATTAATTTCTTTTGCTTAATGCATGATTATTACATAGTATTTCACCAAAATGTTAACCAACATTTAACTTTATTGTAACAAATTGTATTTATAACACTATATTACACTCTTTAATTGCATTTATGTGCTTATTAAGGATGGAGGGCGAATCCTTCAAAAACAATAAATACATAAACAAATACGTAAATTATGCATGGGCCGGGATAAGATTCTGACAATATGATAACCTTGGGTAAAAATATCACGGTTTGATGGTATTGTGATTACTGCTCTAAAATATAGTCTTTTAAAATGTCAGGGTGAAAAACAACAACTTCTTTCCCCTCTGACCACAATATAGTTTATTTTAGGAAACATTTTAATAATTTAGAACAATAGACATGTCAGGCTAAATAATTAAAATCAATCATTGACTTCTGCTGTCTTCTTTAGTTTCAAAAACACTGATTTCTTTACAATTTATATGGCATTTTTGGATATCTTTTCTGCTGGAGATACTGGTGTCCAAAAAAAAGTGAATAAAAATCTTACATATACCATAGGAATGGTATAGCAGAAAATTTTGACTTTTTAAAAACGCAGTATACATTGAAAACGATTACCGTCCCATTTTTAACAAAATATATAAATAAATGAGTAAATAAATCCATAAGTTCCTGCATAAATAAAATAATAAATATGCAAGTAAATAAGTAAATGTATATAAAATTCCACAAACTCCTGCATAAATAAATAAATAAGTAAATAAATAATAGTGTGGGCAGGTAAATCATTAAATAAATGACATGAATGTGATGATTGATAGACACCCTCTCATTAGCATGTTGATCTAAGGAAAAGTAAATATGGAACTATGTTCAAGAAGGTGTGAAGGCATTATTATTTATTATATTTATTTTATTATATATTTATTTATGCAGGAATTTTTGGATTTTTTTAAATATACATTTATTTATTTATTTGCATTCTTATTTATTTATTGTTTTATTTATGCAGGAATTTGTGGATTTATTTACTCATTTATATATTTGCATAAGTATTTATTTATTTATTTATTTATTTATTTATTGTTTTTGCAAGTTTCACACTCCATAATTAGGATGTATAAAATCCCTTTTGTAAATTTAATTTGATACCAACACAGCAGGACGTCTTGCCTTTTTAATAGTCATTTATAAACTCATTTACTTGTGTATTTCTTTTCCAGATTTCCTCCGCAAGGTCTACACCATCCTGTCATTGCAGATTATCATCACCACAGCTGTATCTGCCCTGTTCATGCTCTGTAACCCTATTAAAAACTTTGTGCATGAAAGGTAAGCCCAAATCCATACTGTGGGTTCACCACACATCATTCTGTCTGTTAATTGGGACAAAGTAGACTTTCATCTGTGTTAAATGTGTTAATGTGAACCCCATTATTTCTCAGTCCCTCTCTGGTGCTGATATCCGCTATCGGCTCTCTTATCCTGCTCCTTGCCTTGGCTTTTTATCGTCACCAGCACCCCGTCAACCTTTATTTGCTGTTTGGATTTGTAAGTATAACACAAAGATGATCAAACTAATATTTAATATAATAATAAAAGTTGAAAAAGAAAGTTTTTTAATTATATAATACATGGTGTATAATAAAAACAAATAATAAAGAGTGTGATAATATAATGGCAGTAAATAATCCACTATTGAATCAATAAAGAAATTGTTATTGCTTTGAAAATAGACATGACCAAGACACAAGATGTCTATTTGCTCATACAAGACTTACTTGTTATAATAATCACTTAAAGTTTAAAACAAACTTTAATATAATGTGCTTTTTTAAAAAGATGAAAGACAATGTTTTTATTCACGAAATGTAGTAATGGACAATTTAAAAAGGTTTCTCCTGAAATAATATTACAGTTTTAAGCATAAATGAAGTTTAAAATAAATAGTTTATGTGTTTGTTATTATTGCTACTATTTTTGTATTGTATTTTATTAATTTAGTATTAATATTGTATATTAATACTATATCATATTCATTTTATGTATGTGTGTATGTATATATATATATATATATATATATATATATATATATATATATATATATATATATATATATATATATTTATATTTATATTTATTATTATTATTTTTTTATTAGCATATATCTTGACTGACAAAATGTGTAAAGTATTGTTAATAAATTATAGACCCTTTTCACACTTTCGGGTTTCTCAGTAGCGGAAGTCATCATAGTTGGGAAAACTTAGAGCGCAGTGAATGGGAGAATACAACACATTTTTTTTTTTTACAATCTTATTTGCTCAAATAATAAAAGAAAAACTCAACGATGGTGTTATAAAGACTTGCAGAAAAAGAATTTAAAAATTGTGTGAGACTGATGACGGCAGCCAGAGGAGAGATATATGTCAAATTTGCTGTCCTGTCCCATAGACGCTGCATTAGAAACCCGCTTGCACAAGTGGTAATTAATTTTTTTGTAATTTGAAGCAAAGATGATATACTACATATATAAATACATATAATATGTTCATATGTTAAAAAAAATACATATATATATATATATATGTAATATATAAATATATATATTAAAAACTTTAAAGTATTTAAGATGCTGATGACCATTAAACGTGTCATGACAGGCTTGTTAAAGGGTCCTTTAATAATATATTATTATATTTTAAATATCTTCATTTAAATGATTTTGTTTGCCCAAATGTTGCGCAACATTTGCTGAAATGTATTTGTTTGTTTAAATATTTATACAATTTTTAAGAATAATAATGTTGCAATAAATCTTGAATAAATAAAAAATGATGTAATGGTTGTGCATTTTACACAGACTCTGCTGGAGTCACTGTCTGTTGCTACTGCAGGTAATTTAATGTGTTTTCTAAATTTATAAGCATCCAGTGTGAGGATTAAATCTAATGCAAATGATCACTTTTTTTTCCTATTTCTCCTTCCAGTGTCATTTTATGAGTACACCATAGTCCTCCAGGCTTTTGTGCTGACGTCTGCTGTGTTTCTGGGCCTCACTGCATACACCTTCCAGTCTAAAAGAGACTTCAGCAAACTCGGAGCCAGGTATTTCTCTCTTTCCCTTCAGCTCAAGGCTTGGCTCTGTCACATTCATCATGGTAACCGAGTGCAAGAATTATTGTTTTAATCCATTTACTCCTGAATCCATGTGGAGTGATGTGGCCGCAATTGTCTCTGGAGAAACATTCTTCTTTCTGGTCATTAAAATGAAGTGTAACGAAAATAATAGGGCTCATGAGTCATAACTCTGTTATATGATATGATGCATGGTCCACTTGTCCACATGGGAAGTCGCTGGGAGGGAAAATTAATTTCTTTGCGAGGAGGATTGAGGAATTCCTTGATTCATATTGTTGGTCGGCGTAATAACTTGCTTGATGCAACAATTCTTGCTCTGTCTTTTGCTGTTTTATTAATAATCCATATTGATAACAATTTACTTGCAGAGAACTGATTGCTCTTTATTTTTTTAGTTTGTTTGCTGGCCTGTGGATCTTGATCATTGCCAGCTTTCTGAGGGTGAGTCTGAGGCATATCAATCAATGAACTGAATGCTCTTTAAAATGCTTTTGTTTGCAAGACATAAATGCCATGGTGAATGGGAATGTATGTAACTATGTGTGTGTATACACAGTGCTCAGCATAAGAACTTTCTTTAAACTTATATTATATTTGTGCATAGACATTAGATCAGTCAGTACCCAAGCTAAAACTGGAACTAATCAACAACAAAGGAGTCCAAAAATTTGAACATCTAAATTATTGCTGTGGGGAAAATTATTAAATATAATCTTAATTAACAAAAGACAGCTTAAACGTATATAATTTAGTCGTTTTTTTTAACTAATATTTTAATCATTTGAATGCAAATGTATTATCTTTCCATTTCTAAAGATGTAAAGGTGACCAAACTCTTATTTTAATTTAATCGTAACTTAATGTTAAAACAGCTATCATAACATTATTTATCAATATGTGGCTCTTTTTGGATTCTCGGAAGCTGTAGGAATTAAATGTAAAACCGTAAATACGTCGGGACCATTGTTTTTGTTTACAATCCTGTTACGATTTGAAAGATGGCAAGTCAAGGGGAAAGGGAGTACCATTAATTTTGGGTGAAACACATAAGCAAACACACAATATCAACAAGTGAGGGACAAAATACCAAGACTAACTAAATGCATTGAAGTGAGTTTATTTACAAAGATAGTAATAATATTAAATGTAAAAATATGTGTATAGAAAGATCATTATATATTTACAAGGATACATTGAAATTTACAGATAACAAATGGGACACAGGATGTTTGACCAGATAGATGGGGGAGTTGGAGAACTGAGCGGCGTCCAAACAATAGAAATAAATAAAACAAAACAATCCATTGGCCCAACCTCTACGCTAACTATCCAAAAGAAAAAAACAGCAGTTACTGAAAAGAAATCTTCACGTCTATTACGCACTACCTAACCTACTCTAATGTACGATGAGAAAACAAAAGTACAGTGGGTGGAGCACGCCCCTTACCTAGTGTGTCTAACAACAGTGATATTCAAATCTATGTGTGCACAATGTATGTCGCGCGACATTCTTACCTGTCCCACTCTCCAACCTCAGGGTAATTAGGCAAGTCATTGTATAATGATGGTTTGTTCTGTAGACCATCAAAAACTAATTTAGTTTAAAGGGGCTAATAATTTTGTCCTTAAAATGGCTTTTAAAAATTTAAAAACTGCTTTTTTTGTAGCCGAAATCTATTTAAAATATTTTTTAAAAATAATAATAATTCAAAGGGGTGCGAATAATTCTGACTGACTTTATTTGTGTGTGTGTGTGTGTGTGTGTGTGTATGTATGTATGTATGTATGTATGTATGTATGTATATATATATATATATATATATATATATATATATATATATATAATTTATTTATTTATATATATATAGAAATATATATATACACACACACACACAAAGCAATTTTAAAAACTACTTACTTTTCACTAAGTGCACACACACACTTTAATTGTACTTTTGTTTTCTTCAGTGTTAAGCAACAAGTTGTATTAAATTTATTGAGTGTTATATTTTTATAGCCTGCATGACTCTTATAGTATGATACTTGATTTATTTGCAGTATAATGTTACTTCTGTTTAAATAAAAAACAATAAAATGAATTAGTTTTTTGTGTATTTATTATCAATTTGTACTAGGGCTGCATGATATTGGAAAAATTAACATTGCAATATTTTGTTAGTCTGCGATTATATATTGCAATATGAAAACAATTGACTTGAAAATCTGTTTGGAGATCTTACAATTTTAGATTGATTGGAATGATTCTGTAGGCGCATCTGCTTAAAATCCAATAAACAAAATTAAAAGCATAGATAAACGCCTAACAGTATGCAGGTAGAGTAATTTAAAAAATAATAATAATTCAATAAAATTGATCGTTATTAACGTTACTAATGGTAAAATTCCCTGTGCCAAACGCTTTTAAAATCCTCATACAGTCACAAGCCTCAATCACAGAAATGATCAATTATAATGCGAATGATCACATTGCGATATCGATGCTGAAATTATATATCGTGCAGCCCTCTTTTATACATTATAATTTATTTACATTATTTTATTTTTGTTATTATAATGGGTGAATGGAATGGAGCTTCATTTATGTTGAACATATGACACGCCATGCTTTTTCCTTGCAAGATTCAAGCCACATGCCATTAACTCTGCAACTATCTGTGCAGTTCTTCTTCTACAATGACACCATGGAGCTGGTGTTCGCTGGGGCCGGAGCTCTGCTGTTCTGCGGCTTCATTATTTTCGATACCCATTTGCTGATGCACAAGCTGTCCCCAGAGGAGCACGTCCTGGCATCCATCAACCTCTACCTGGATATCGTCAACCTGTTCCTGTACATCCTGCGCATCCTCGACGCCATGAAGAAACACTGAATGCTGTGACACTCGTCATCAATGTCACAGGTGAACGTCGGTGCACTCGGTAAATTAATAATACTTTAATTTATTTTAAACATACTTTCCATACAATAGGACGGAGGGGTTTGGCGGCTGCTGAATTAATCAAATAAAAAAAATGAGTTATTAATCACTTGACAGATTAAGTGTTGCATTTTTGGACCAGAAAATATGAAATAATTATAATAAAAGCATGAATAAAGTCATTAAACAGACATGCACTCGATACAGAACGTTAATTTAGCATTTTTCATATTATTAGTGTATGTATGCTCTTCTACTATTGGGGCATTAATGAAACTCCTCAGATTTTGCTTAATTTTTGTTATTAGTTGTAATCGGCTCCTTATTTTCATCTTGCAAAGTGATAATTGTCATTTAAATGGGCAAATGTGAATGTCTAAAAAATGATTGTACATTTCTCTCTTCTACTAACTGTTCCTCATTAGATTCCTTGGTTTTTAGTGAGATCTGTATTCTGTGGTGATTTCTTGTTGATTTAGGTGTCGTGGTAGGTAAGTGTTAATGACTGGGGAACACATTTGGTTTTATGTATGTTTGTAAATGGTATGTGTATCATTAATTTAACTCACAGTCCTTCTAAAATGGCCTGAATTACCTGAAAGGCATTAAGATCTGCAATGAAACATCACACAGACATGTTAAAATATCAGAGTAATAAACATTTTAATTTGTAGGAGTCTTCGGTGGCACATTGTAACATCGATAAAGCAGCAGTGAGCCAGTTTTAAAAAGCACGTCAGTCATCTCATTTGAAATGAACTAGAAAATTCAGCATATTCAGGGATCTCTGTATGCCTGTACCCAAAGTGCAATAGTAATCATGATAGATATGTTTTTAAAGGGTAAATAGTCATGTAAGCAAACTGAGATGTTATATAATTTTATGTTTTTTTTGCTGTATAAATAAAAATAAAATGACTATTTTGACCTGTCTTCGTGTACAACAGTTAGTTGTCATCCTCAGGTTTGATTGGTTGAGCAGAGTTCCAAGTGAGATGACATCAAGTCTGGCATCTCTCGAAGTATGTATTATGGAAGGTGATCAGGGCCAATAGTTGTCTTATAGAGCACCGTTTGACGCATCAGTAATTAAAACAGCCAGTTAAATTGCTTTGTTTGAGACTATATTTGCATATGAGGGGCATCGGGTTACATCAGACGGAATGTTAACTCATCAAGGATTTGGTATACTGACGCATGCATATGCTAATTCAGTTCAATTCATCTTTATTTCTATAGCACTTTTACAATGTAGATCAGGGGTGGCCAACCCTGTTCCTGGAGAGTCACCTTCCTGCAGATTTCAGTTGCAACCCATATCAAACACACCTGCCTGTAATTATCACGTGGTGTTCAGGTCCTAATTAATTGCTTCAGGTGTGTTTGATATGGGTAGCAACTGAAATCCGCAGGAAGGTGGCTCTCCAGGAACAGGGTTGGCCACCCCTGATGTAGCCTGTGGCAAAGCAGCTTAACATAGAAGATTATAATAAACTGAACCGGTTTTCAGAGTTTAAGTTCAGTTTATTATTAGACATAATATTGCACTTGCATGAATATTGCATTTTTCACTTTTTTTCAATGAAAACTGTCTCTACATGTACTAAAGTGGCATGTTAAAGCCCAAAATGCACACCGTGTTTAAGCTAGCCTGCATGCACACACACAGATTTACAAAGTATACAACAGATGCAATATGTGCCCACAGTTGTTTGACAGATACGCGCTAGAAAGAAAAATCACAAGGGAGATTAAAAAGTATCCACAACTGTAAGTACAAAGATAGAATTTTCCTCTACAAAACTTCATATTCACATTATCTTCAGGATTCATACGGTCATGGAAAACCTGGAAAAGTCATGGAATTTTGACATGGCATTTTCCAGGCCTGGAAAAGTTTTGGAAAAACAAAAAAACCCACAAGGTTTTGGAAAAGTCATTGAAATTACATTTACATTTAGTCATTTAGCAGCCGTTGTCCATAGCGTTGTCCAAAATAACTTAAGCTGCGGTCACACAAGAGCTTGTGCTTGCGAAATTCTGTCGTATGGCGCTGTGAAAAGGCGTGGTATCAAACAACATGATTAGACACTAATAAAAGTGAGCGATTGCTCCATATGTTAAATTTCCTATTGTAAATGGTCTTCTGATGGTCTCACGCAATCACCTGATGTGATTTCGCAGGTAAGAATTCACAAAGCTTGATCTTTCGAATGCAATGAAATAGGAAACTTTTCGCACATGCTTGCATTTCTTGTCTGCCACATTCGCATGCCCGTGAATAGAAGTCTATGGGGAGAAAAGTGCAGTGTGATCACAGCAAGTTTCACCTACTATTACTAGTTTAACAAACTATTAACATCATCTAAAATAAGCTTGACAAATATCTGTAAACTGGAATGTAGGTTAGTTTTTACTTCCTACCTTGGCCAAAAACATGCTCTCACATTGGTGCTGTGTAAGCATCATCTATTTTACATAGATATCAAAATAAATTGAAACTAAATAGATTGCTGCGCATTTTATGATATGCTGTAATAAATTTAAATGTGCATTGTTTTTCTTATGCTGCGTTCACACCAGACGCGGCACGCGAGTGATTTACATGTTAAGTCAATGCAAACGCGCGAATAGACATCCTGCGGCGCGATACGTGCAAATGGCGCGATGCGAATAGCGCAATACGCGTGAGGCGAATTGAGCATTTTATGCGTTTGACGCGCTTAACGAGCGTTTTGCGTGAATCTCTCAAATTCGAAAATCTGAACTTCAGCGGACATTCGTGCCGCGTTAACCAATCTGAAGCTTGCTCTTGTGGGGGTGTGATTGTGACGTAGAACCTGTTGATGGTGTCCCGCGGGGAATCCTCCAGGCGACACCGACAACAAGTCATCAAACTGGGCTTGGCTCAGTCAGAAGCACCGTTGAAAGCCTCGGTGACACAGGTTCAGTTTCTGGAGGAGTTTATGAGCTCATAGAGCTGGATGCACCTCTGAAAGCATGTAGTGGACTCAGACACGGTCCTAAACGTATCGACGCTATTTTTCAGCCTTCATAAAGTACATAAACAATGTTATTTTCTTCATAAAACCCATGTTAGCCTTTTAGCAACGAAGCTACAGTCACCGGGAAGACAGAAGCCCTGCCCATCACGCGAATCCGCGTCTGTTCTGAAGTAAATTTGACACGCGAATGAAGCGGATTTAACGCGCGAATGAAGTGAGTAAACTTAAATGTTCACTCGGCTATTTACACGCAAATAGCCCGATTTATCCGCGCGTTCCGCGTCTGGTGTGAACACAGCATTATGATTTGCCACGAATATGTAGAGATTACATGAAACATTAGGTCATAAAAATTAACTTAAAAATCCAGGAAAAGTCTTGGAATTTTTGTAGTAAAAATGTGTATGAACCCTATATCTTTGTACTTGTTTAAAATACAGAAGTGCACTCAACATTTTTGGTTTTCTTTTCCAGTCTCTATTTTTTTGTGCCTTTGAAACTAATTATTCAAACTGCACAACATGCTTGGTTATGAATAAATAAATTATGGTTGCACATACTGTTCTGGTGTCAAACTCATGGTGTATGTATGGTAACTGTATGTTGATAATAATAATTCATGTTTCTTTTAAAGAATGGTGACCCTTTATAATTTTATTGTCGTTTAAAGAATTTTGACACTGATAACCCTCCATAATTGTATTGTTGGTAAAAGAATTTTGGCACTGATGACCCTCCATAATTTTATTGTTGTTAAAAGAATTTTGACACTGATAACCCTCCATAATTTTATTGTCGTTAAAAGAATTTTGGCACTGATGACCCTCCATAATTTTATTGTTGTTAAAAGAATTTTGACACTGATAACCCTCCATAATTTTATTGTCGTTAAAAGAATTTTGGCACTGATGACCCTCCATAATTTTATTGTCGTTAAAAGAATTTTGGCACTGATGACCTTCAATAATTTTACTGTTTAAGAAAGACCAGTCACCAGAGCGTACGAGCTCCATATCTTTTGTAAACTCCAGTACCAAACAAATAACATCACGGAACAGGAAAGAGAAAAGGCTGACTACGTTCATAGTGAGGTAGCCTATAGCATACTTTCACTTTGAATATGGGATTTTTTTTTTCTTTCGGTTTTATCGAAAAGAGAGAAATGGCTCTGTTTGTAGCCTTCACAGATCTCTCGCGGCGGATAATGTCTGGATGTCTCTCAGTAAATCAGGCGCGCGCCTGATGTCCTGTCTCAAACCCTCAGGTATTTCCAGCTTGCAGATGTCTTGTTTTCTCACCAAACTCCTGATCAGCCGCAGGCAGCATTCTTGTAATGAATACACTGACAAAAACAAAATAGAGCAAAACGTTTAATTGAAACATCCGCAAATTGATGTATAAAAATACTTTTTATTATCATTATTATTATTATTATTAATAATATTATTATGCTTTAAACAACATATACATGACAATATAGTAAACAAAACAATGCCAGTGTGATAGAAAGTAAATGATAATAATACATAAAATAAATAAATTAAACAAACATAAAAACAAGAGTAAACAATTAACTAAAATTCTTACAAATACAAATAAGCAGGACCTTTACATTAATCAAAAATATTGAAACTAGAGGACAGTTGGACAGTTTTAATGGCTTTTCGATGAGCACTATGCTGAATAGTGCAAAAGTAATTTTTCAGTTCCTTATAAAACACAGTAAAACAAGTTTTTTGTTGGAAATTTACACTTATGAATATGAAACTTAATTAACAAAATAAATAGGTTAATAACAAAAGCTTCATTATTCAAATTATCATAATTAAAATATCCAAAAATTACGTTTTCGATGTATAACAATACTTTTTTTTTAATTTATTTTTTTTATTATGCTTTAAACAACATATACATGACAATACAGCAAACAAAACAATGCCAGGGTGATAGAAAGTAAATGATAACATCAATACATAAAATAAAATAAAACAAACATAAAAATAAGAGTATAAATACTTAACTAAAAATTCTTACAAATATAAACAAGCAGGACCTTTACATTAATCAAATATTTTGAAACTAGAGCACAGATATATAACAATACTGATGGATACGTACTTGGAGTAGTGACGTAGACCGCCTGGAAATGCGGGTGCCCGTAATCATCATACTGCGCAGGAGCAGGAAAGTAAACTTCACTGAAGCTAACCAGCAGTTTAGCTCCATCAGATGCTCTGAACATCCATGGATGAGCTGGAAATACTTGATTTAGTGCAAACCTCGACTGGAAACAAACAGTTTTATGATAGCGTTACTTACTCAGATAAGTGTTCATCTGAAGAGATTTCCCTGGATTTATGTCGCCGTAAGACACCGGCTTTCCCGAGAAGTTCAGCCACCATGCTTCTGCTGTTCTGTTGGATTTGTTAATAAAAGAAATGTATGTTGGATCATCGGAGTTGAGAGATTTTAGAGGTGCGGGCGCTTCCTGCTCAGCCATGGTGCTGCTGCTCTGACAGATGCAGTGTCGCTGTAATGCTGACAGGTGGCAGTGTTACACGCTTTATAAAGGTCTACTCTTAAAGGAGTAGTTCACCCAAAAATGTACTCATTATTTTCTTATCCTCATGTTCCAAACCTTTATTCTGTTGGACATAAAAGAAGATATCCTGAAGAAAGCTGAAAACATGTAGCCATTGACTTCCAGTGTAGGATAAACAAAAAATGGAAGTCGATGGTTACAGGTTTCCAGCTATCCTCAAATTATATTCTTTCGTGTTCAACTGTACAAAGTCAAACAGTTTTGGAACTAGTAAAGGGTGAGAAAATGATGATAGAATTTGCATTTTTGGGTCAACTATTTCTTCAACACAACATCCTACTCGTCACCCAACGTTTTGATAACAGAATGCTAATAGGCTAATATGTTGTATTTAGGGCTAGACAGAATCTGCAGACATTTTTTGCTATTTCTATAGAGAATTATGTAAAAAAAAAATTAATTAATAAATTCTGCAGATTTATGTGGAATAATTTTAGGAGTATCATAACTAATAACCTGAAATATGAAATAAAAAATAGTATATATATATATATATATATATATATATATATATATATATATATATATATATATATATATATATACATATATATATATATACATATATATATAAATATCAATATTAAAAAATGCAATATATATAAATATATATATATATATATATATATATATATTACTTGTATTGTTTACAATGCAAATCCAATTAGAGCCACTTATTTGATAAACAAAGCAAGTCTCTCTATCTGCTGAAAGACAGAAAACATTGCTCCACAAACAGTATTGTCAAGAAATCATATGAACATTTAAATATAACTATTATTATATAACAATAAATTAGTAAAATGAATTTAAAAAAGGGAATAAATATAAATTTACACACATTTACGCAAGTGAATATACAGACTCAATGAGGGCTAAAAATCTGTGGAAATCTGCGGATTTCTGCACGTGTAGATTCCATGTGGGCCTAGTTATATCTTACAAAACGTTATTTAAAAACCTCTCCCTTATGCTAAAGTAATATGTCTTATAAAATCAAGTGACTCGAAGCTATTTTAAGAAGACGCAGTGGCGCAGTAGGTAGTGCTGTTGCCTCACAGCAAGAAGGTTGCTGGTTCGAGCCTCCGCTGGGTCAGTTGGCGTTTCTGTGTGGAGTTTGCATGTTCTCCCTGCGTTCGCGTGGGTTTCCTCTGTGTCTTCCGGTTTCTCTTACAGTCCAAAGATGTGGTACAGGTGAATTAGGCTTAATTGTCTGTAGTGTATGAGTGTGTGGATGTTTCACAGAGATGGTTTCGTAAAAACGTGCTGGATAAGTTGGCAGTTCATTCCGCTGTGGCGACCCCGGATTAATAAAGGGACTAAGCTGAAAAGAAAATGAATGAAATGGAAGCTATTTTGATTACAACTATATTTTTGATAGGCCTGGAAAAATAATAAATGTGTAATCTCATACCATAAACCAGTAATCCTTAAACACAACCCAATACAATGTTAAACACCTGTTAAGATCAATATATTGACAATATCATCATATTAATACAGTAAATAGAGCCCTTTTTTTGTTTTACTAAAATCATATTCAAATGCAATATTTACTGTCTTGTTTCTTTGTGGTAAATATATTTTAGAGTGTTCATTTATATCTTATAAATCCTATTTTAGATTAAAGTTTGATTCTTTAAAATATACATACATATAATGACATAAATTATAATATATTAGGTCATTTATAATATTATTGTTTTCATATTTGCCTGAAAACCTTTGATTTAATGTTTTTACTTTTATGCTTTTCAAACCTTTAAAGTAAAAATAGCAACAGTGTGAAATATTACACATTTTAAACAACTGCTTTCTATTTTAATATATTTTAAAATATATTTTTTCTGTGGTGAAAAAGCTGAATTTTATGTAGAATTGTATTTTTTTTTTTGCTTATACTATATGTTTGTGCTCCGTTTTTAATGAAAACCAGAATGTTTTCACCAGTTTTTGTAATAAGAAATTTTAAAATCACAAAATGTATTTTATATAGAAATGTTTTGTAAAATACACAAGTCTGTCTTTAAATACAACCTAGCTGAATAAAAAATCAGTATCTTTCTAATGCCACATTAAATATTAATTTAAGACAAAATATCAAGCACCACAACAGCTTTCAGCATTAATGATAACAAGAATGTGTCTCGAGCATCAAATCAGCATATCAAAATGCTTCATACTGTATCATTTTACACCAAAGACCAGAGTAATGATGCTCGAGTAACCTCAGCTTTGCCAAACAAAAGTCTATCATAAATGAATCAAATGAGTATGTCTACTAGATAGTAAAGCACTTCTAAAAGTCATATGGTTTGCCATCCTGGATCCCCTCACCCGTTCTGTTCAGATAGAGACCCAGGGAGAGATGGGATGGAGAAATCCACTTAAAATTCCAGGGTGGCTGGTTCTTGAAGGATGGGGGCACTCCGAAATTCTTGCATGATGACAGCGAGGCTTTGATGTCAGTGTTTTTTGTCTCTGGAGAAGCAGGGCAGGGCCAAAAAAGATCCTATTCTCCAGAGACAATGATTCACTTTACAGCTCAGACTATACACACACACACACACACACACACACACACACACACAATCATATATCGGCCAGGAGTCTTAAAGCACGCCATCCGTGTAAATGCGATCGCTTTTCAAAGTCTTAGAGAAGTGATTTATTTAGTTTAGAGTCTCCTTACGGCATCGTCCCACGAGTCTGGATGATGCTCTGTTAATGCGTTTTCCTACCTCTTTTTTTTTTTTGGTAATTCCTCTATAATTTTCCCTGCCTTTATTTATAGCAATTCATTATACTATAAGAAGGTGGCGCAGCAGGTTTCTTTCTGATGTTTCTTGGCAGGTCGTGTTTGATAGAGTGGGTGGTTTGGCATTTACTCTAAAGGATTTCGAGGTGTTTTTGTTTGGCCCTCTTTTTTTTTTTTTGCCTATTTGCGCTGTTTGCTGTTTTATTGTTAACAATAAAAGCCTTGCCACACACACGTTTATGGACAAACCGCTTCATATGATGTTGAAGAACAAATGTATCCATGTTAAAAGAAATCAAATAAGAGAATTGGAGAGAATGAGAGACTTTCCATACACCATGGAGTGGAAGATGGTGATTTTCAGACCTGAAAAGTCATGCAAAGTCATTGAAAATCTAAAACTCTTGTAGCAAATTTACATTTTATAAACAAATAAAGTTGAAATGAAATAGATATTTATTTTTATTAATTAATAAACAAAATGTGAGCTAGACGTTGGTGGAAAGAGTACTGAAAAATCATACTTAAGTAAAAGTACCATTACTTGCCTAAACGTGTAGTGCAACTAGAGTAAAAGTTTCTGTTGTAAATATTTCTCATAGTATGAGTAAAAAGACCTTTTAAAAGTACTCAAGAGTAGTGAGTATTACGCTGTAAAAAGCTGATGCATTTACATGTAATTTGTGGATGTGTGTAAACGTAACATTCTGTAGTGCATTTAGTTATTGCTTAGCAGACACACAACGTCATGAGACGTTAATATTAGGTTAGATTTAGGTTGTGATGTCAGGTGACCAAAATTCAATGTCTAGCCAGAGTCTAAGGACAACATTACGTCCAATAACGACGTCAAATGACGTTGATATTTGGTTGACTTTAGGTTTTGGTGAAAAGTAACCAAAATCCAACGTCATATTGATGTCAAATACTGACATTTATTCGTCAGGTATATGCAATCGAAACCCAACATCTGATAAACGTCATAGTGGTAACGTCCACATAACGTCAAGCTGTAACATCATTAGACATTGATATTTGGTTGATTTTAGGTTGGACGATTTCCAAACAAAATGCAAAGTTCCCATGGCGTTGGGGTTGAATTTGAATTTTAAACTTAAATAGTCACCAAATCTACTCTATAACCCTTTAATGACATCCTGTCGGGATTGAAACAAACAACTTTGAAACATGAGGATGAAATACCTCAACATATGACTCAGTATATTTGTTTAGCTTGCTATACTCTTAAACCCTTTTGTGTTATTGAAGCCCAGAGAGCCAGTAACAATGACACCCATCCCCAGTGTCCTCCAGCTCTACCTGTAAAGCCTACTGTATTTTTCCGACGGGGTGATTATGTATAGTGCAGAGCAGATCTAAAGCTCTTGGCTCAGACAGTCTATTCTCCAGCTCGCCCCTTTGATGTTCTACTTACATTGCTTGTCTTCTGCCGAGACAATGACGAGAACCTTTCGCCACACTGGGCATAATGCGCTTGTTGCTTTTGTTGGTTCTGTCTTTCTTCCCCACACCCCAGGGGAATTTTCCTGACTGGCACAAACACACTCTGCCTTCTGCTTCTCTTGCCAAAGCCTTTAATATACAGGATTTGATAACATAATGTCAGTTTGGCAAGGTCAAAATTCTTCTCATCAAGTTATCCGGTGTATAGTGTAGCAGGCATTTGTTTCCAATTTGTTTATATAGCCTAAATAGATCACAAACTGCCTCTTTTGTGTACCAGGAAAATGTTCTGCACTCCATTATATCACTATATGACATTAATCTTGATTTAAGGCAGGATGAATCCATGTATCTGTGTTTTTTTTTTGCACCAGATTCTGAGCTTTCCATCCAACAAGGTTATTATAAATGCTTCAAAGTCAAATTTCAGCACTTTTCAACACTCCCGTTGGTTGAGTCCTAAGCTGCGTCCCAAATGGCACACTATACACTATGCACTCATGCACTATGTACTTATGCACTTACACACTCAACAGGATAGTACATGTATGTAGTGTTGTCCCAAATGGCACACTAATGTTTTTTTTACTAAACGGAAATTCAAACCGTTTCCCTGATGACGTTTGACAGTTGCCAAATTAGTGAAATAAACGACCGAATTATCAAATAATACCTATCGTGAGTATTGCTGCATTCACCATCGGGAGGCGATATAATCACTCTCGTAGGAGAATTTTGCTTTCTCCATCCAAAATAAATAAAGTTATCCAACATGTGCGTCCGATAGCTCCGCCCCTTCCGCTACGTAAGCAAACCTGCGGTCGTTGAGTGCGTGAAGTGTCCATCAATACACACTTCATTTTAGCGGCTGAATGAGTGCATCATCCAGGTAATTAAAGTGCACTTATTATTTTAAGAGTTTTCAGTGTGAACACACTACTTACACTATTTATACTACAAAATGGCGTAGAATAGTGCATAAGTATGCAGCTCTAGTGTAATTTGTCATTTGTGTGCTTTTCCAACACGATCTCATGGCAATTCATAAGTTTTCAATTTAGTGGCTAATTCATATGAATTTGTACCTTGTCAATTATACAATTTAGTTAGATTTGCTTATCCCCCAATTATAGTTGGGTTTGGGGGGAGAAGGAGGTGGTTGGGTGCCACACCCCCTTTTTAAAATCACACATTTTCATACGACTGGAATTAACCACTAAACTGGCGAAACGTAAAATGGTTATGTTTCCTCATGAGCTCAGGGTGGCTTTTCTACTGCTGTAGCTCATCTGCTTCAAGGTTGGATGTGTTGTCAAACCAGAGATCCTCTTCTGGTTGTTGTTTTTTTTTTTAAATTGCTGTTTACTTTGAATCTAAAACAACCATTCTCCATAGCATTAAAATGCATTTAAACTCATAGATCTGCCGCTTGCTGAATATTTTCTCTTTTTCAGCTCATACTCTGTAAACCAGATGGTTGTGTGAAAGTCCCAGTGGATAAGAAGTTTCTAAAACATTCAGATCAGACTGTCTGGCCTGGCACAAACCAGTTCTAAAATTTAAGCTTTAAGAGATCACTTTGCCCATGTCTACATGCGTAAAGTGTTGACATGATATTGGCTGATAAGATATTAGAAAAGCATGCCTAATAAAATGGCCGGTTTGTGCAAATCTTGCACATGTGTGGCACACATTTTTTTTTAACCTAGCAGGTGAATCTGTTGCGATTCTCAGAAGGCCCATTATAATGGAGAAACATTTCAATTGATTCTCAACAGACCGAATCTTTCTGAAGTGCCCGCTTCGGCGCCCAGAGGCAGGCACAAATGGAACATACCTGCTCCTTGACTGCACCTGCCCTAACGCAACCAGATGTTCGGAAAACTCACGGCACGAAATGAATCTACGGTTACCGCCGTTTCATTTGCCTGCTGCATTTTTGCCATTCCACACAGTGTTTTTGTTATTGTTGTATTTCCCCCATGAAAGGTGACCTGACGGGGGCAGCTTTCGCGTGGCTCCCATAGGGCAGTCATGGTGGGCCTAGCTGCTATGTGATGTGGAACAGTACAAATAATCACCCCAAGCAACTGTTTATTTTCACCTGTCCTCTCTCAGCTTTCTCTGGACTGGAGCGGGAAGCACGGCCGATCGAGCAGAGCCCCCCCATAGAGGTTAATTGGCGTAATGTGCGAATTGCTTGCATGCACATTGCCATCATTCTTCTTCCTCTTCACCGAGACTCTGAGTCAGTTTTCAACCATAGGCTGCTTTTTTGAGTGATGAATGCTCTTCCAGGTGGCTGCTTGTGTATTTGATAGGTAGACATCAACATTCCAGTTGCGTGAAGTTACTTTTACAGACCCCAACATCTGACGATTCGTCTGGTGATGGTGGAGATGGTCGACATCTGCAGCCGTTCCATCTTTGCTTTACTTGAGACGTGTGAATACTTGGAATTTTTGTCAGAAAGCATCACTCATTCTGCAACAAGCAACTGATTGGCTTGCCAGCGCTACACGGTGTGGGACCCACCACAGCGCAGGCACACCGCTATTGTACAGAAGCCGCAAAACCGGCCCGTAAAACTCGGCCCACTTTCTTTGTTTTACAATCCTCACTTATAGGCCCTGAAACCATGTGGAACAAATGATGGAGCAGAGGTTAAAGGAAGATCAGGTGTCTAAGAGACATGCTTCAGCACTGTGCCATATATATACATGGATACTTTTGAAAGAATTGATATTTTCCTCCACACATGTATTCAATTGATTTGGTGTCTTTTTTTTCTCCACTTTTATGATTCTTAAAAGAATTTTGATTCTGAAAAGTGACTCTTATTGACATTTTTAGTAGTTTGAAGTCATATATTGTCTGTGTCTGTGTTGTAAATTACGGTACAAAAAGCGAACTGCCAGTACTTATTCTGTTGTTACAGGCTTATTTCTCGTTATATAGTTTCTTTTAACAATCTCTTGTCTCAAACTATTAAAAATGGCAATAAAAGTCACTTTGTTAATCTGCAGTGTTGAATTATCAACATCAAAATTCTACAGAGCCAAGGAGCCAACATCTCATAATGCAATTCACAACCGTTAACACCATGTGAACCACAAAATACAAAATAATTAGCAAACATTTTATTACAGTGTTGCAGTAAAGTTGTATCTAAATCTAAGCAAGTTTATTTTTACTTGAGCAAAAGGCTGTTTGAGTTTTATTGTTCATCAATGAGTCCTGAAAATATGGACGTTTCTTGAAAAAAGCAACCAACATAACTGCTGTCAACATTCAGAAACATATGTTTAGAGCAGTTATGTTAGTTGCTTTCATGGCTTCTTAGATATCTGATCATGTGACACAGAAGACTGTATAGTGACTACTGAAAAATTCAGCTTAATTTTTAATTACTTTAAGTGCATGTATAAATGACTATCTGGTGTTTTCATATCGTGATGACTCGATGCAATAAATAAAGCGAATGCATTTTCAAGCTTCAAGTAGCACAATAGGCACCATGAGGGCATGTTAGAAGTACTCTATGCAATGTTTGTGCTACATTTAAACACATACATAAAGCCATGTACACTACCTGACAAAGCTCTTGTCGCCTATCCAATTTTTAGGAACAACAAATAATAACTTGACTTCTAGTTGATCATTTGGTATCAGAAGTGGCTTATATGAAAGGCAAAGGCCTCTAGATTATATAATATGATCATTCCTTGATTTTTAATAATTTAATTAGGGCAGTAAGGTCTGACTTTGCTTAGACAAAAGTCTTGTTACTTAACAGAATAACTGCATCCAAACATCTCTCCAATGACTCAAATAACTTAAAGTCATGTGGAATGGCAAAGAAAGCGTTCTTGCAGGACTCCCAGAGTTCATCAAGATTCTTTGGATTTTTCTTCAATGTCTCCTCCTTCATCTTACCCCAGACATGCTCAATAATGTTCATTTCTGGTGACTGGGCTGGCCAATCCTGGAGCACCTTGACTTTCTTTGCTTTCAGGAACTTTGATGCGGAGGCTGAAGTATGAAAAGGAGCGCTATCCTGCTGAAGAATTTGCCCTCTCCTGTGGTTTGTAATGTAATGGGCAGCACCAATGTCTTGATACCTCAGGCTGTTAATGTTGCCATCCGCTCTACAGATCTCTCACATACTGAATGTAACCCCCAAACCATGATATTTCCTTCACCAAACTTGACTGATTTCTGTGAGAATCTTGGGTCCATGCTGGTTCCAATAGATCTTCTTGTTTTTGTGACGATTAGGATGCAGCTCAACAGATGATTCATCAGAAACATCTACCTTCTGCCACTTTTCCAAACGATTAACTAGAAGCCAAGTTATTATTTGTTGCTTTTAAAACTGGGATCAAAGACAAGACTTTTGTCAGGTAGTGTACAATACCTTTAGCTGTTGACTTGCATTTTACGAATCTACAAGAATCCAGCTTAAAATCTTTGTATCTTAATGAAGAAAAAAGTCATCTACATCTGGAATAGCCTGAGGGTCTGTTAATTGACAGCAAATTTTAGTTTTAGGGCGAACTGTTGCATTATCTCCATTGCAATAAATAACTTAAAGTAATCCATCCAAATTTGAATGGTTAACTTTTGTAAACTTGAACCAACTCATTGAAAAGATCCTTTTTAAACACTGATATATTTAATTGTTCCTATAAATACATCAAGAAAAAATAGGACAGTCCTATAGACCATTTTAGAATTTTAGCTCAACAGACTTAAGTTAACTAAAAACCTAAATTAGTACCTTTGTAATCAATCTCTATGCAAATTTCATGCATATTTTAAGGAGATGTAATATAATTTTCATGCGTATACATATTATGTTTGTAGATCATAGCTGCATCCGAAATTGCATACTTCCTTACTATATAGTACGCTAAAATCAGTATGCGAGCCGAGTGGTATGTCCGAGTTCATAAAATTCGAAAGACAGTATGCTAGAAGTACCGGGTTGGGCTACTACTTCCGATGTGAAGTGCGCATCAGATGGACGATACTCTATCCCATGATGCACCACGAAAGAAGCGACTTAGAGGATACAGGGACACTAAATCGCTTCAACTTCACGTTGATTGGCTGGCTTGTCTATAAGCTGACATACGAGCGATCCACTAATGAATCTGCTGTCCCTATATCTGTGGTTACACGCAGTAAACAGCGGTGAGTTTAGTAAACCACCCTTCAGGCCCAATCATTTCTAATAAGCATGTGAACACAATAGCAAATTAGCGCTGTTTAAGAACGTGTTTAACAGCGCTCAAATGTTCACAGAAAATAGACATTTTTAAAATGTCAGTATCGAATTCCAGTCATACTCTAATCCAGGGGCGTCCAAATCCAGTCCTGGAGGGCCAGTGTCCAGCATAGTTTAGCTCCAACCCCAATCAGACAAACCTGAGCCAGGTAATCAAGGTCTTACTTGGCTCACTTAAAATGTCCTAGCAGGTGTTTTGAGGCAAGTTGGAGCTAAACTCTTAAAGACACCGGCCATCCAGGACTGAGTTTGGACACCCCTGCTCAAGTCTAATCCAAGCTCCACTAAAAAAAATATAGTTTGGAATGACAATGATCTTAAAGAGTTAAGAGATCTTCACCGGCTTCATGAAAACACGTTTTATTTGTGTAGGCTAATGGAAGTCACACGAAACCATTTTTGGCTTTATGTTTATGACATCACAGAAGCAGCTTATTATCATTGTTATACAAAAAACATTAAAGCGTCAACTTAAAGACCGTCTATCTATATATATATCTATATATTTTAATTTTACATGGGCGTCGACAGAATACATGTTACTTATACAAGAGCTTGTTTGTAAAAGCTACTACATAAATGTCATCTGCGTGAAGAAGAAAGTTAGTGATGACAACATGTTTACAAAATGAGCAAATCGGACGAGCGCAAACTGAACAGCAATTACCATCCTAAGAAAAGCTGGATCCACAGCCCGGAAGCTCTCGGAAATCCTCCAGTGATTCAGCGCCACATCTGAAGCGAAACCACACGAAACATCCCAAACGTTCACCGCAACCATTTGACTCACTCCCAGGACAGAAGCTGGATGAAGGGCGACTGGATGAGATCTATTATATCAAAGGCGATTGGTGTGGTGAAATACTACAAAAACAAGTCCTGCTCGGAGAAAGCAGCAAGTCCGGCTTGGGAGTGTCCCGATGAGGAGCGGAAGAGGAGGATGAAAGCTTTGTTCTGGGGAAAGGCGATGTTGAAATGGAGGTGCCTTGGCCCGAAATCTTGAGGTTTAAACCACATAGTTGGTTTCAGACGGCTGACTGGTTTCAGGCGCTTCCTTCGCCGCCGCCACAGACGGAGACTTGTGTTTGGATGGAGAGACCCGCTGGCTGTTAGAAACTCCTCCGCGAAATCCTGCGGGAACACAGCAAGCACACACTGAGGAATGGCCGTTTAGAAGAGGGATTTGGTTCAGATTGTGCAAACTGTGGTATATTTTTGTCACATTTTTCAAACAAATCAGAAGAAAAACACTTTCAAATGACAACATAAAAACAAAAAGACGTACAATAGAAGTACCAGGGTCACCAGATACAATCTTATTTACATTCATAAGCATTTATGTTTAATCAGACATCCACCATACAAAGGCTTACATATCAAAGATCGAAAATCTCCTGAGAGGGGGTTTTAGATACATCGAGGAAAATAAGTATTGAACACGTCACCATTTCTGTTTCACCGTAAACATATTTCTAAAGGTGCCGTTGACGTTGATAATAACCAAAGAAATCCATATATGCAAATAAAAACAAATCTAATTAGTTTAAAAATGAAGTTATGTGTCATAAAATGAAATGACACAGGGTAAAAGTATTGAACACATGACGAAAGGGAGGTGTAGAAAGGCAGTGAAAGCCCAGACAGCAGCTGAAATCTCTCTGTAGTTCTTCAGCAACCCTCTGCCCTTCCCTTATTGTTCCTAAAATGTTACAAATACATTATCAGGATGATGAAGATGAAACCAGGATGGACATTTCAGCAAGACAATGATCCAAAACACAGCCAAGGGAACTCTCAAATGCTTTCAGAGAAGGAAAATCAAGCTGTAGAATGGCCCAGCCAATCACCTGACTTGAATCCAATATAAAATACAAATGAAAGATCAGATTTGATAGACGAGACCCGCAGAACACATCAAGATTTTTACACTCTGTTGAAGTCTGTGAGAAAACTCGCACCTTTTTACTAAAATCTGGTTCAAATCAATGTCAACTGCTTCATTAGAAATATTATTCCCAGGAAAAACACATGACGTGTTCAATACTTATTTCCCCCTCTTTACATACAAATAAAAGCACCACAATTAAATTAAAACATTACATTTCTTCTCAACCACTTTCCCCAGTATGAAGACATTTTATAGGATTGCTGTCAGTACTTCCATAAACTGTGGTCTCTTTGATGAAAGCTCTTTGGTACTATTTGTTTAGCCTAGTAAAGGCAGTCTAAAAATGAACTGTCATAACATTCAGAGGTGTAGTTATTTATTAATAATAATAATACATTTTATTTATCCCTCTCAGGCTCAAATGAATTTTTAGAAACAACTGCCTTAATTTTAGCGAGACCTTCACATGCAAGGCATTCTGGGATGTTGCAGATTTGCAACATTGGCTCAGTGTGGTAATTAGACACTGACGACTGAATATGATATGAACAATAACTTTTTATATACAATTTTTCAAACAATGTAACAAATTGCTTTTCAGTGGCAGAACAACAACAAAAACAATATGGGATCCAAATCCAATATCTTAAATCCTCATTGAGTAGGTCATGTTTCCAAGTCACTTTGTCATGTGGTACTCCAAGAAACTTTTTTTTTTGTGTGTGTGTGTCATCTGGTGAGCAAGTGGGGAAACCTGAACAAACCTTGTTGCTAATGGACAACAAAGTCCCGCAGTGGTACTTCTGAGTAAAAAAAACACTGTATCTGATAAAAAATATGTATCTGTAATAAGGTAGTTATTTTTTAACTGTTGCAAATCAGCAACGACTGCCTTGAGAGGGTTATAACTAAAACCCAAAGTGCTACAACAACAGAGAAGTCAAACGTTAGTCTTGCATATACTAACACTGACTATATCAGAAGTATTTGGATGTAATTCAAGTTTTCCTGTAGAAAAACGTCATACGAACAATGTTTGGTGGCTCAATGTATTGCAGCAGTGTTTTTAAAAGTCTAAACACTTTATTGATATAGTGTACAACCAAGGACGCATGTGGTCAGAACACAAACGAGTCGCAGGTAATGAAGTATTAAGCATTTCTCTCTTAGAAAAGCCCATCTATGTAAAATGATAGCAGGCGTTTGTAGCCCCGCTCATGCTCCGCCTCTCCTCCCTTGTTTGGTATCCCCCGGTCTGAGCGATGAACAGAATGGCGACAGTTGGCCATGCCTACTGGTAGCTTCTTTTGGGTTCTTCAGAAACCAATGGGTGACGTCAAGGATACTACATCCATATCTTTTACAGTCTGTGCTCTAACCCCATTTCTTTGTTCAATAATTGATCAAAACCAAAAAGTATTAGTTTGTGCCCCGCTCTCCCCTACAACAATGTATTTATCTTCTCCTTTAGTAGTAGGGTCTTTAAAATGTATCTCGTTTTCCACTTTTACAAAGGCGTTCATTTTAATATTTGTAATAGTAAACTGCATACTATGTGCGTATGCAAAAACGTTTTTTGGTATTATTACAGCAAAATGTCTAAATATCCGTGGTAAAACCCTGGAATTAGATCAGATTTCTAGCTCTAATCCATTTCCAGGTGGCAATTAGTCTCTTGGCCTTGGGAAAAGGGGATGTGGGATGTTGTCTTACTCTTATTGCAGTGACGTCCGTGCCAGCCTTCCCGACACTGGCACCTGTTGGGCTCCACGCAGGTCCCGTGTGCTCCACAGCTGGGCTCGCAGACAGCTGCACACACACACATGCGCACATACACACAATCAGCCATACACAGAGACGCAGTGTTTAGTCTTACAAACCTTCAGCCTGCAGTCCCAGTGGAAATCTGAAGGTTCAATCAAGCACCGACGGCTCGTTTTTACAGTTTGTTACTGTTTGAATTTGCTTGTTAAGTCTGACGTCTCTATCAGTTGCCAAAAGCGACTGACAAACGGTCATTTATATGCTCAGAGTGTGCGTTTATATTATTGAAAAACATGATGTAATGTTTAAATTCGTGTCTAATCTCAGATGGTTGGCACATTTGTTATTATAAATTCACATAAAACTTTTGAGAGATTTTCTCATTTCTATTAACGTTTTGCAACTAAACTCCAAATATCATGCTGACAGATAGGTTTACTTATATTGCAATCAATGTACCAGCATTTTTTTTTTTAAAGAGATGAGTTTTTTAATAGACAACCATTAATAATGGAATAAAGGCAGGGCAAGGCCCTCATATACACTGTAAAAAAATTTATGACAAAAAGTCAAGACAACAAATATTTTCAACTAAATGTTTTAAGTCATACAAAGTTAAAATTATTTAGTTGATTGATTTAAGTTGAGATGACTAGAAAAGATCATTTAATTCAACTAAAAAAAATTAAGGCAGCAAGAATTGTTTTAACAGTGTAATTTGAATTTAACATATGTGACCTGTAATGCAGGAAAAATGTATATATCCATTGCAATTTTGTGAAATATTTATTTTTTAGAATTGCCTGAAAACGTCTTGATTCAATTATAAAATATGGGTGTTAATGAAATTATCTTAAAATTGACATTTGCCAATAGACATATTTATAATTAGCTATTTAAATTTGTGCAATCCTAAAGGTAATACAAACCTGCCCTATTGATTATTCTTTTATATATCATTAAAATATTGGTGTCTGAAATGCAGAAGTCCAGATAACATAGTGAACATGATTTTCCAAAAAATTGGCTTTAATGTGTGACATGACTAAACAGCTACTGAAATAGTTCTCTCAATTTAAATGGGTTGAGAAATCAGGTTTAGAGTGCCGTTGGTGAATGTATTTTTCACCACATATGTCCAGAGTGGTTCTGTCAGCCTCATATAGTCTCACCTTTGGAGCACAGATCTCCATGATATCCTTTGCTGCACTTGCATTTGTTTCTCCCTGTGCATTTGCCTCCATTCCTGCAAGGCTGTCGACATTTACCTGAAGCGGACAATCAAAAAATAAATCAGTCTCTGTTCTGGAATGCAAAACAAATGTATAAAATAACAGAATAGACCTTTCTTTATTATTCGTTTTTTATTCTTTTTTTTTTTTGACAATCATAGATGATCTTATATATAGTCTAATATAAATAATTATAGATAGTCTTAACAGCCAATCACATACTACTATACACACCATATTCACCATCACCAAACACCTCTGCCACATGTTTCCAGGCCCAGTATGTAAGAAGTCAGAATTATTAGCCCCCCCTGAACACATTTAGTGACATTTAAAGGTTTAACTAGGTTAATTAGGTTAACTAGGCAGGATAGGGTAATTAGATAAGTTACTGTATAAGGATGGTTGGTTCTGTAGACTCGGAAAAAAATATAGCTTAAAGGGACTAACAATTTTGACCTGAAAATGTTTTTTAAAAAATGTAAAACTGCTTTTATTCTAGCCGAAATAAAACAAGTAAGACTTATTTGGAATATTTTAGGAAATATATATAAAAAAAAAGGGGGGGGGGGGCTAATTATTCTGACTTTAACCGTATATAAAGATTGATCATAAAGCACTGACTGCTATAATAATGTTTTCCTCTATTTTGATGTACAGCTATTCTCTGATGTTCCATGAACATGATTGGCTTGTGTCTACACTAGTATATTTGCATAAAAGCAATCTAATTGGCTGATATCTGTTGGTGCTTTAGAAGTAGAAGGTTTTTAACTTCTTGAGCAACCCATAAGCAACAGTTCCAACGCGACTCGACAGACCACAATTCAGTTCAGCAATGATTCTGATGACACTCCATTCGAAGTAAATAAGAAGCTCAAAAATGTTAATACACATGCAGCAACAACGATTTAATACATTCTCAATTTAATTTTAACAGAAGAAATAAATATTTCTAATAAATTTATTTTAATATTTCAATATTTATTTGTTTATTTTTTTACTTGAGCAGAAATATCTATCCTAGCATTTATTATATCTTCCTTTAAAGGTCAACACACCCTAGTTTTTTGAGATTTATTTTTGTGTGTTAAACATCAACGTTAGCACGTATCAGCTTTAATTGTGGGGAAAACTGGATCATTTTGAGCTTTTGTCAGCTAGTTTCATCTTCTGGGTTTAAAATCATGTTTGAGGCGGGATCAAAATTGATGACGTAGTGCATATCTGCTAATGGAGTGATGACGCGTGGGTTTCTCATTTTTATTCATAGCTGAGTTTTCTTATCCTATGAAAAGACGTTGCTTCTTACTCATGACTGCACATGTTTTCCGATGATAGACTAATATGGACAGACCACAGACCTGCCAAGCTGTGAGACTGCGCATGACATGCAGTATTTAGCCGTTCATGAAAGCTGTTACATGTTTGTTTCCATGATCCACAGAGTTTGTTGCATGGCTTTCTCCGTGATGCTGCAATTGTGAATATAAATCATATAAAATTACGAATAGCCTATCGTATATGTAACGCCTTTAAATTACTTACTGTTTATTGCTTTGCAATTTAAATTTGTAAACTATAAAATCATGCATCTTTTGTATCAGATTTTTTTTATCTTGAGCTGGTGAGCTGACAAAAGCCCTTCTTTTTCCCTTGCTCTGTTCTGAGGTAGACTTGAATTGCAAGAGGGAGCTTTCACAACCCTTTAAGTGTGTTTTAGATCTAGGTATTTGAATTGAGGTAAAAAAAAACAAAATATCAAGGAAGAATAAAAACTATATATTTAAAATGTAAAAACTGACAGAAATGTAAAGTAAACAAGACATTAAATCAGGGTTCCCACTCTCAGCCAAATCCCTGACATTCTCTGACTAAAAAGCTGAATTTCCATAGCCTATAATCAACAAAACCAAACTGTTGGGCACCGTTGTGCTTTGTAAAATAGCTAAATATTCATATAGTTATAATTTGAGCTGATTTTTCACAAGTTTAATAACCTTTATAAGCACAACAATGAATAGTTTACCTTAGATTTGAAAAAGAAATGAAAAGAAACAAGAGCATGCAGTCTTCAAAGTGGTCGATTCATAACCAAAGCTCCAGAAAATGACATTTTTCAGATATATTTAATTGGTAAGTTAACAGGTACAGCTTGGTGACTGCATTTGACTCAAATGACTGCCAGTTGACAATCAGGAAAGGAATAAAAGGGTGTTGTAAAATAGCCCAGCCATAACAGTAGGCAAATTTAAAAATACAAGAAAAAAAATATAAAACTAAAAAATAAGATACAGCATAGAAAAATTTAAAATTTGATGAAGGTAAACTAGGGTGATTCTGTGGCTCAGTGGTTCATTCTGCTGTGGTGACCCCTGATGAATAAAGGGAATAAGCTCAAGGACAATATTTAAATGTATATTTATTTTAACGTTTCAATATTTATCTGTTTTTTGGGTGTTTTTGAATATCTATTCTAGCAATTAATATTTCTTGCTATAAGTGTGTTTTAGATTGTGATATTTAAATGAGGTAAAAATATCAAGCAACGATAAAAACTATATTTAAACGTAAAAACAGACAAACAGGCGGCGGAGGGACAGACATGTAAAGTAAACAAGACATTAAATCAGGGTTCCCACTCTCAGCCAAATGTCAAATTCCCTGACTTTCTCTGACAACAAAGCCTAATTTCCATTGCATAAAGTCAACAAGAACTGTTGGGCCTTGTTGTGCTTTGTAAAATTGCAAAATATTCAAATAGTTATAATTTGAGTTGATGGTTGATAATTAGCTGATCATTCTTCACGAATTTAATAACCATTATAAGCACAACAATGAATAATTTACCTCAGATTTTGAAAAAGAAATGAAAAGAAACAAGAGCATGCAGTCTTCAAAGTGATCATTTCATAGCCAAAGCTCCTAATAATGACATTTTCCAGATACATTTGACTGAAAGTTAACAAATACAACTTGATCACTGCATTAGACTCAAGTGACTGCCAGTCGATGAAGAAGAAAGAAATAAAATGGTGCTGGAAAAAAAAGCCTGACCAGTAGTCAAAACTTATGGAAAAACTTGATAAAAGATAAGATACAGTATAGAAAAATTACAATTTGATGAATGTAAACTAACGGTGGCTCAGTGGTTAGCACTGTCGCCTCACAGCAAGAAGGTTCCTCCGGGTGCTCCGGTTTCACCCCACAGTCCGAAGACATGCAGGTGAATTAAATAAACCAAATTGGCCGTTGTGTATGTGTGTGAATAAGTGTGCATGAATGTTTCCCAGTACTGGATTGCAACTGGAAGGGCATCCGCTGTGTAAAACATATGCTGGATAAGTTGGCGGTTCATTCCGCTGTGGCGACCCCTGATGAATAAAGATACTAAGGGAAAATTAATAAATTAACTAAAATAAAAAGCAACAAAAAAAAAAACGTTCCTGATCTTCCACAACTTGAGGAAAAATCTGTCAAATTCCCAGACTTTCAATGTCTGGAGTAGAGCATTTAAAGTTCCATGGTATTCCAGAAGTTCCATGACCCGTGAGAACCCTGTTAAATAAAAAGGAAACTTTCTGTCTGTGTGTGTGCGTGTGCGTGCATGTGTAAAATGACTATAAGACTCTTTCCAAATGCTCACGTATCCTCTTACACCTGCATACTTGATCAAGATCAAATACATCTCGCCGGCTGCTTTCTTCCTTAAAGCTTAATGTAGTCCATCCCCACGAAACCATCCCAAAAAAAGGGGGCTAGTTTTTACACAACATGACCTCAGCAGGACTCTGCACGTTCACGTCACACTCCGTTTTGACAGAGAACACGATACTGCAGCGGACCAGACGGCAACAACTGGCCTAATGCTATTAAAATGTTCCTTCAATATTTTCTCTTCCCTCCCTTTTCAGACCAAACACCTCTGAATACGGCAAAACTTCCTGCCTTTGAACAGGAGCGGAAGAAAAACGGGGTCAAACAGGAGTCGTTTAAACATTAACCAAACAGACCGCGGGCCTTTGACGCAAAGCAGCTAAATCTATAATGGAAAACCGACATCTGTAGGCAAATATAAAGTAGCGTTTATATCAATGCTTGCTCTTTATTTTGTTAAAGGAGGAAAAGGCTCGTTTCTGTGAAGCGCCGGCGATAAAATGCCACACTCGTGAGCTCATGAGGTTGGCTTTAGTGATTAGGGTGACAAACACAACTGCATTACATCCTGTGTTTGCTCATGTAGGTGCCGGACCATTTAGCACTAATGTGAGAACACACTTCACTAAAGACTTTACTTGCTTGAACTGCAATCTGGGGAAGCCAGTCTATTAAAGCCTAAGAAAAACACGACAGCTTTCCCTTTGAAAGATGATGATGATCATGATGATAATGTCACTGCCAGTTAATAGCTGTTTATTCAGTCGTCCTAAAACTTGGAGGATTAGCCATTTTGAGCCTTGGTTCAGGATTTCCTTAATGTAGTTTTCTATTTTACTCATTTTAATTTCCTCTTTAGTGTCATAAGTCCTGGAAAATTATTTTAATATGCTGATTTGCAGCTCAAGAAATGTGTGTTATTGTTAGTAATGTTGAAAAACAGTTTTTTTTCTTAATGAATGAGAACATAATTCATATTAAATAAGATCTTTTTGTGGCATTATCGCGGTTTTTACCATCACTTTTGATCAACTTAATGCATTTTTCACTGAATAACATTAATCATATGGACTCTTGTGGAAGTGTTTATCAAGTATTACTAGATAAAGACAATAAAAAAACACTATTAAATGATCAAATTAAATTTATCCGACACTTGCACCAAAAAAAAAACATCGTGCATTTATGAAATGAGGTTCACACAGGTGAGTGGGCTTGACAAACCACCTGTAGAAAGACTCTTCTCTCAAAAAAGACAAACTAACAAACCCCCTCCTAACTCTAGCACTTAACACTCTGAGCACTAAAGGCTGATTTATACTTCTGCATTGAGTAGTGCTGCATTTATACTTCTGCATGCTGTTTCTGTTGCTCTGCAATAACACTTCCGAAACGCTAGCTGGTGGTACGTTTTCATGCTCCTCTGTGTCTAGTTTGTTCTTTAACTGTTGATTAATGTGTCTGAACTCACTGAGCTCACAGCGGACCCCTTCAAAGCCCACGGCGCAGATGCATTTGCCAGGATGGAAACACGTCCCTCCATTCAAACAGGTGGTGCTGCAGTTTGCTGTTATTGGAGAACAAAAACAACATGCCAAATGTAACGCCGCAAACTACAAAGAGAAATAACACACACACTGCGATAGTGCTTTATTTATTTATGTATTTGACCATTTATTTAGATCCTGCTTTATGGTTTTGGCCTTTTGGTTTACATCTGTAGAACACAGATAGGTGTCGGGGGGAAAAGTGTCCAAAAGTAACAAATCCATGTCTATTTATTGGTTAATTATTCATGCTAAGTAGTATGTATTTAAAGCCTGTATCTTGTGTATTTAGTTCATTTTATGCTAAGAGTCAAGTTCAAGTTTGATGTCATGTTGGTTACTGACTAATAATTGAGATTCATGTTTTCAGAATATAAGCAGTTTACCCTAAAATGTCCTGTGATTTCTATTGCTAAAACACTTGTAACAACTTCAGGAATTAATATATTTTCATTTCCTGATAGTAAAAAAAAGAAAATGGCTCTGGAAATGGCTAATATTTTCAGAATATAAGTATTTTACCCTAAAGTGTCCTTTGATTTCTATTGCAAAAAGACCTCTAACAACTTTAGATATAATATATTTTCATTTTCTGAAATAAAAAAAAGAAAATGACTCTAAAAAGGTTAATATTGTCAGAATATAAGCAGTTTACCCTAAAATGTCCTGTGATTTATTTTGCTAAAAGACTTGTAACAACTTCGGGAATTAATATATTTTCATTTCCTGATAGTAAAAAAAAAAGAAAATGGCTCTGAAAATGGCTAATATTTTCAGAATATAAGCATTTTACCTCAAAAGTGACCCGTGAATTCAACTGCAAAAACACTTGTAACAACTTTGGGAATTAATATGTTTTTATTTTCTGATATTTAAAAAAAGAAAATGACTCTAAAAAGGTTAATATTGTCAGAATATAAGCAGTTTACCCTAAAATGTCCTGTGATTTATATTGCTAAAAGACTTGTAACAACTTCAGGAATTAATATATATTCATTTTCTGATATTAAAAGAGAAAACGGCTCTGAAAGACATGACAGAGTTTTGGCGCAAGTTATTTATTATGGTTAAAAACATTATTTACATATCATGCCAGTTTCCCAGGAAGCGAAAAATTTATTTTGTATTTTGAACACATGGTATGGAAATAGTATTTTATTCTCAGATTTTTAATGTGGTATTAATGTGCAACTCTTGTGACTTAAAAGTAATAAAATATGACACCAGTAATCTTTTTTTGTTCTCTTGAAAGACCAAATGCAATTTATTATCAGGTATGATTTATTTGTTCAGGGGAAAAAGGCCACCCATAAAAAACTTTGGTACAATTTAACCACATGTAACATGTAGGAAACTCACCTCTCTCACAACTGGATCCAAAGTAGCCTGGTGGACAAATACACACGCCTGGACTCATACACAGACCACCATTTAGACATCTTGGAGAGCACAGGGCTAAAAACAAAGCAAAGAGGCGAACGTTTAAGCAAGTTTATTGTTCACCGACAATTAAACCATTAAAGTCCAAGCGAACAGGAAGTTTTATTTCAGTGTGTTGAAGTACTTCTAACTGAAACGGAATATTGAGTAGGGGCGGGGCTTTCTTTTTGCACATCATTACCTCGTAGTAAACTAACTGAAAGAGGGGCATGGTTATAAATATGATCAAAGTAATGTTATCAGAGAAAGACTTAAAGAGCGGAAGCAAATGGCTTTTATTTTTAGCCGATAAACTTGCATGAAATAACAGCTCATCTATGTGCATTAGCAAAATAACATAGTGAATATTGACATCAAACTGATTTAAATGAGTTAATCTCCACAAAAGTGTAAACACTGATCGAAAAAAGTCTGTCAATCACTCTACTACACGGCCAATCATAATTTGGGGTTTGGCTACTGGCTGAGCCATAGTGTGTATGGCTGATGATGTGTCAAATTCACATTTAGAAGTACCAGCCAAAATTGAAAGACTTATTTAAAAAAAGGATTAAATATTAATAGAAAATAAGTGTTCGATAAGTGTATGATTTACGATAAGTGTACGATTTACGTAATTTTATGAATGTTAAAATTATGTACACTGTAAAAACGTAATTTTATGGTTTATTTCCGGTAGCTGGGGTGCCGGAAAAAAACAGCCGTTAAATTACAGAAATTTATCGTAAAAAAAGGGATAATAAATTACAGACATTTCCTTAAATTTCTGGTAAGTTTCTGTAATTTAATGTCCGTTATTTTACGGTAAATTTCTGTAACTTAATATTCATTATTTTACGGTAAATTTCTGTAATTTAATATCCGTTATTTTACGGTTATATTCTGTCATTTAATATCCGTTATTTTACGGTTATATTCTGTAATTTAATATCCGTTATTTTATGTTAAACTTCTGTAATTTATTATCCACTATTTTACCGTAAATTTCTGAAATTTAATATCTGTTATTTTACAGTAATATTCTGTAATTTAATATCCGTTATTTTATGGTAAATTTCAGTAATTTAACGGCCTTTATTTTAAGTTTTTTCTGACACCCATAAAATTAAAGATTTTTTTTACAGTGTAGCACACCTTTAAATATTACGACAAAACATAAAATGTGCATTTACTGTAAGTTTAGTAGTTCAGTCCACATGATTTCTGAGCTTAGTTCGAGATAAAGAAACGAACTGCTCTCTTCTAGACCGAAACATGCATAGTTAATAGGTTTTAGTTTTAGTAAAAACTCATGTTGCTGGTGTCGTTTGGGCTGCAGATTTTCTTGATAAGCGAAGCACAAAACTTAGTGGTTTTGGCAGCAATGCAGGCAAAAACAAATCAGCCAAAAGCTGTGTAGGATGAAAGGTGTTTTGTGGATGCGGTTTAGGTACAAACACAGCAGAGCTACAATGAGGATATTGAAAACATTTTCAGCATCTAATGGAAGCTTTTTTTAATGGTAAACCGCTCTTTTAAAGTTGTAAATAGATGAAAACCATATGTTTGTGAGTCCCAACCTGCTGGGTAATTCATGTTTTTTTTTTTCTTTCAGACAAGAAGCCTTTTAGAATACATGCATGCTTCATTCCTTCATCTAAACTAGTACATAGCAGGCTTAACCACGCTTTGTAATTTGCACAAGGTATTTTGGGAAGTGATGCCCTGAGGTTGAGTATAATCATCATCATAATAAACTATATGCATTCGTTTGCTTCCAAAGGAGGCTTTCCTTCTGAGAAAGGACTCTTGGAGGATGCACTTCTCTACTTTTTTATGAATCTGTTTGGGTTTTGTAGTGGAGACTTTATAAGAAAGTCCTGCATGCGCACATCTGTTGTTAATGGATTTGAGTTGTTGAGGGTATGCTGGTCAGACCTTTATGGGACATCTATAAAAGCCAAAAATGTTAATGAAAATCTAATATTTCAGTTAGTGTTTTATAAATACGGCAATATTTTATTCAATTTAAAGTGTTTTTTTTTGTTTTGATATATAACTTTTATGCTGACATCAAGAACACAATTAATGATTTTTGTAAATAACACAGTACTTACCTGTAATAACTGTATTTTACTGTAGGACAGTTATGCAGTATGTTACCGTATTTTAAAGTTGCATTGCTAAAATTGCTGTATATTTTACAGTAAAAATACTGTAAATACATATCCCCCAATTTAAATGATGCTGTAAATTTTAATACAGTATTTTTGCTGTAATTGTTTTACAGTAAGTTACTGGCTACTGTAGATTCTACAGTAAATTGTTAACAGTGTACTTAACTTACATGGTAAAAAATGGTTACCTTTCTCACAGTGAACGCCATAAAACCCATCCTGACACTCGCAGACCTGCCTTTCATTGCAGTAGCCTCCATTTCGACAACCTCCAGGACACTTTGCTTCATAAAGAGAAGACATAAATGTTGAGAACACTTCCTCTCTCTCCCTCTCTCATTTTTTTTGTTGTTGTTGTTGTTGTTTTCAATGTGTAATGTTTTCTAAATGCTCCATAATTTATGCCACTTCAAGGACTTCAGATTCCTTGAGAAGTTCAATTCAATTTAATAACAGAACTTCCTGATACCAGCATATAAAAAGGAGGGGGGAAAGGCTTTGAGGTAGAAACCACAATGTCAACAACTCTGTCTAATCTGATGTGGCCCCTGTATACTGTTACAGATATGTTTCAATGTAATTCACAACTAGCTTTTAAGACCAAGGTTTAGTGTACCTAACATTCTGTCAACATTTGTCGTCTTTTGAAACTCGTTTTCTGTGTGAGAAGCAAAATGAGAGGTTTAGCCGAATGTTCACACTGCTCTTTTTCATACTGTGAAAGGCAATGGGGACTTTTCAGTAAAAACCCAGTGAATTGGGGTCTGTTCGTCATTTATAAAACTCTTAAAATACAGCATTATAATTTTCATCAGCGCTTAGTTCTCATAAATGTTTATTAGATGTTTAAGAGCAGCTTGGACATTCTGCTAAACCATGTTCCATGGATGCGTTTGGATAGACATGAGGGTGAATATTTAGAGCAGATTTGCTTCAAAATATTTCACAGTTGTCTTAAGATCCAGTCATTTTACATAGCTTATTCAAGTCTTTTGAAACTCACATATGCTTTTAAAAAAAAACTAAATGAGAAGTTTGGTAGAATGCCCAAGCTGCTCAAATGAACGGAGACTGGAGTCTGTCACTGGATGAAATCTTACATTTGGTTGCATTCTTAATACAGTCTCAAAAGTAATTAGAATAAATCATATTAAACACATTAAGTGTACTTTTCCAATCATTTCGGCTAAGTTACATCAAAACCATCAAGACCGTTACCTCTATTTAGCATCCAACCCAATGAACAATAACGTTCTGTTTGATTTTAAGAATGTTAAGAACTTTGTCATCTACAGCTTTAAATTCTCAAGCAACACCCCAAGAAAAACATGTACAGGCAAAACAAAATCAAGACCCATGACTACTGAGGATACAGTGAAATGCAGGAAACTGAACATTATTTACAACTGTATTATCTTTAATACGTGAAAAATGGTCCAGGGCACATTCATGACAGTCTGGACCTTACATTCACAAATTAATATATGCAATATCAACATGCCTGATCTGTGATGTTTATTCATAATAGAGAAGGAGGATATGTATGGGTCATTATTCATACAAAGGTACTTGTGTGTATCTTGGCTTTTGCAATCAATATAAAAAGGTTGTAAACACAACATGCAATTTTAAATCATGCACATGCATTGGAGTACTCAGAGAGGCTGTGAATTAAAGGTCGTAATGTTGTAAATAATCAATCATGTTGGTCTCCTCAACGTATGGTCAGTAGTCATGGGAATTAATATAGTGTTGCCTGTGTTATTTTTTGACACTCTAAGTGCTGGTCTTTGTCACAAAATTTGTTTTTCCATTCCAATGTGCTACTTTCCTATTGTTTTTCTATGACAGATGTGTGTGTGGCTGATATGCTGTCTTTATAGCGTCTTGCACATGAGTACTATTCATCAATATCAGTTCCTAAGCAGTGGACCAATCAGAAGAACTTAAAGGCAGAGCAAGTGTTGTACAGTAGCAAGTTGGCACTGTTAATATGTGACAGCAACTATTGTTCTCAATGAATGGCCCCTAAGACTTGTGTTTTATGAAGCAACAAGGATTGAAATTTCAGCAAAATGTTCGGCAACACTTTATTTTGATGGTCTATTTGAGAATTAGTAGACTGTCTGCTTAATATCTGTTGATATTCTCCTTCAACAGACATTTAATTGACTATTAAAAACTTAGCAAGTACATGTCAACTTACACGGGCGATGCGGTGGCGCAGTGGGTAGCACGTTCGCCTCACAGCAAGAAGGTCGCTGGTTTGAGCCTCAGCTGGGTCAGTTGGCATTTCTGTGTGGAGTTTGCATGTTCTCCCCGTGTTCGTGTGGGTTTCCTCCGGGTGCTCCGGTTTCCCCCACAAGTCCAAAGACATGAGGTACAGGTGAATTGGGTATGCTAAAATTACCCATAGTGTATGAGTGTGTGTGTTTCCCAGTGATGGGTTGTAGTTGGAAGGGCATCAGCTGCGTAAAACACATGCTGGATAGGTTGGTGGTTCATTCCACTGTGGCGATCCCAGATTAATAAAGGAACTAAGCCGAAAATAAAATGAATGAATGAATGTCAACTCACCTTATAATCTAATGAGATTCAGTTGTCATGTAGATGCATAGTAACTTAAATTCAACAAACGGACCATCAAGATAAAGTGTGACCAAATGTTCTACTAAATCACCTACATGTTGGATATTCCAAGCAAAAATAAATTAATAGCAAACTGAAATTTTCGGATGAAACATCCTGTAAAGAAATAGTTCCCCCAAAAATGAAAATTCTGTCATCATTTACTCACCATTTACGAGTTTCTTTATTCTGCTAAGCACAAAAGAAGACATTTTGAAAAATGCTGGAAACCTGTAACCATTGCCTTCCATAGTATTTGCTTTTCCTGCTGTGGAAGTCAATACAGGTTTTCAGCTTTCTTTAAAAATCTTCTTTAGTGTTCAAAGGTTTGAAACCACTTGAAGGAGACAAAATACTGAGTAAATATTAATTAAAGGTTCATCCAATGCACATTTGTTTTGATTTAAGTCCAGTTTCCGAAACTTCACAGCAAACATTGCCAAACATAAGGCTCAAAATGCAGGTAAACTTGAAAATGCTCAACTATATCCACTACGTCAACGTCATTTCATCCTGTGAGTGAAATTCAAGCAGTCAGACTTTTGTAAAAACATCTTGTGAGCACTAGTCATTAAGGCACCCTCAGCTGTCAGTAGGAAACACTGGGCTTCCTCCCTGCGGGGAGGCTTCAGACAGATGGACCATTTGATCTGTGAAGTCTGCAGGCCGAGTGGAGAGGGGTGGAGAAGGGTGTGTAGGGGAATGCAACACCGTGAGGTTAGTGTGTGTGAGAGGAGGGAGGGGGGATCAGAGAAAAAACATAACACGCTCATTCTAAAGGGCTGCAGCTGGCAGGATTCACATGACCTCATGAGCCAGCGATGGCTTTGTGGGTGAGGCTGAGCGTCACCCGGATCGTGATCTGTGTTTCTCTTACCAACTACACTTAAAGGACAGCAAGATGGAGCCCCGATATAACATTTGTGCTCATCTCAAATCCGAACTTTTACCTGACGGATTTTAACTTAATTCTCCATCGCGCTTACATTCGTCTCCTAAATGTTTGAGAACTTTAATATACAAAGATATATAATAAATATACAAAGCTCCAAACATTACTTGCAAGGAACAAGTATGTAGAGTTGAAGCCAGAAGTTTGCATACACCATATTAAAAGGCACATGACCATTTAAAAAAAAAAGTCAGATGTTAATGTGACTAAACGTTTTCTCTTTTAGGTAAGTTATAATTATCACATTTGTTTCAGTTATGCTTAATGGCAGAATAATGAGAGAGATATCTTTTGAGAAATTGTTATAACTTTTCTTGAAAGTCAAGTTTACATACAATACGATTATTATGCCACTGAGAAAGCTCAGATGATGGTGTCAAGGTTTTGGAAGTTTCTGCTAATTGACAACATTTGAGTTAATTGGAGGCACAACTGTAGAACAGCATTTAAGAAAAACCTCAAACACACTGCTTCCTTGTGTGACAACATGGGAAAATCAACAAGCCAGAATCAACAAAAAAAGCCAGCTTACAATTTGCTAAATTACACAGGGAAAAAGAATAATGTTTGGAGACATGTCCTGCGGTCTGATGGAACTAAGATTGAACTGTTTAGCCATAATGACCAGTGTTACATTTAAAGAATGAAGGGGAAAGCTTACAAGCCAAGGAACACCATCCCAACTGTGAAGTATGGGGGCAGCAGCATCATGTTGTGGGGCTGTTTTGCTGCAGGAGGAACTGGTCCACTTCACAGCATAGATGGCATCATGAAGAAAGAACATTATGTGGAAATACTGAAGCAACATCTCAAGACATCAGCCAGGAAATTAAGACTTGGCCACTAATGGGCCTCCAAACAGACCATGACCCTAAGCATACTGCCAAATTAGTTAAAATGTGCTTTAAGGACAACAGAGTGAATGTTTTGGAGTGGCCATCACAAAGCCCTGAACTTAATCCTATAGAAAATATATGGGCATAGTTGAAAGCCTACAAATCTGACTTACACCAATTTTGTCAGGAGGAATGGGCCAAAATTCCTTCAAACTATTGTGGGAAGCTTTTGGAAGGATACCCAAAACATTTGACAAAAGTCATACAGTTTAAAAGCAAAGCTAAAAAAACAGGGAAATGTAAGTAAACTCTTGACTATCTAGAAATTAATTTAAAAATTCTCAAAAAAAAATAAATTCTCTCATTATTCTGGCATTTAGCAAATTTAAATCATTTAGGTAATCCCAACGGACCTGAAATAGTAAACGTTTAGTTTGATTTACCATCAGACGTTTATTTATTTATTTTTTTAATGGTTCTGTTTCTTTTTTCAGAGTGTATGTTAACTTCTGGTTTCAACTGTACATTGAATGAACAAATTCATTAGCATAATTTACTAATATGTCAGGCTATATTTCAAATATTTCATGAGCATGACAATAATTGATTCCGTTGTTTTACTAAATTGTGGACATCAATTATAGCTGATTTTATACAGTGAAAATGAATAGTTACTGAGGCTGAGGCAAAGGTTTTGAGTGGATTATATCTTAAATCTGTGTCTATTCTTAACACAAAGGTCTCAAAAATATAATAAAGTTTTAAAACAAATATAATTTGTTTGCTCATGATATATAAATCAAGCATGACCATTAGTTTCATATTGCTTTGCCGTACATTAATAAATAAAAGGTTTTTGATATATTTAGAAAGCCTTTTGACCAATTTAATCTATCCTAGTAACACAACTGAAGTGTTAAATACCTCCTCTTGGGTTTCAGATCGTAAAACAATCTCTACACAAGGAGAATCCCATATTTATCTTGCTTCTACATTCATACTTTACATGAATTGTCTATATTCTGTTTTAGAAAATAAACAAATTTACATATTATACTTTATTATACAACAATCAAAAAAGTTTGGACAGCAGAATGTGTTGAGCTCACCTCTCTGGCATGTTTTGAAGAAGATGGCATTGTGTGGCGTCCTCAGGATGATATTTCCTCCAGCATCCATCACCAGGATGGTCACCTCAAATGCTGCCACACCGTCCTGGTCACCTCTGCATGGAAAGCCCACCTGAACCACTGAGTATATAAAGCCACTGTTGATTACTAAACATTGAGCATCAACATGCCACAGATCTCAGTATGTATGATGAATATTGATTCTTCTTATGGATGTGCTTTAAGAATCTGAAACATTAGACTCATATATATTTATACATACAGTATTCAACATTTGAGTGCATCAGAATCGTTCATAAAAGTCATCATAAAACAATTCAAGGCGTTCATTCTTCAACATTCAAACTATTTTGATCCACTTCAAATGTTGAATACTCTGTATATATATTATTCCTTAAAATTATTTATATTAAACTACAAAGAAATGACAATTAAATACAAAAGAATAAAAGCGCACCAGATGCTTTGTGAGGCACTGATCCCAAAAGAGGAACATTGACAGTAGGATCATCCATAATGTCTTTATCCAAAGAACGCAGAGTCTGAAACTCATAAAAATACTCTGCCTGAAGAAGAAAAAAAGACAAACAGAAATTAAGTTTGTTTTAAACTCGAATAGTTATCAATCAAGCAATGCAGATGTACATATACATCAGTAAAAATTTTGAAAAGGAGGGTTTTCCGGGTGTCCTTAAATCCGCAAGGTAATCAATTTCCTCTGAAACAAGCAGCACAGCGCAACTAATGACCTCAACTCTTTGAGAACGAGGACAGCCGTGATGCTGAAGCCAAACACACACTAGAGAAAAAAACTGTCCCAAAAAGAGATGAAAGCAAGGCGGACGCTTCTCTTTTATTTCCCCCCTTTTCTTTTTTCTTTCCCCCTTGCTCTCTAGATTTGGGAGTGTAAAAGCTGGTCAGCGTTTGATGAAGGCAAAAGTACACAAGCTGTGTGGAGAGCTTAGCTAATCCTACAGCTGAATGGTAATAACCAACACAGATAACTCTCGCCGCCAGCCTTTTATGCCGGAGACCTTTGTTCTAAAGCCTCGGCGGTCGTCTTTGAAGCTAACAGGGGCCGGGACAGAGCGGGCCCTCTCTTTTTTGCCACTATCCCTCCCCTTGCTATTTTAATTTCTCCCTCTTGCTGCTCTTTCGTCAAGTCAACATGCCATTCACGGATTATGATCCCGGTGTGCAAAGATAGATCATTGATCAAAAGAGATTCATGGGAATCCCTAAGGATGTTTTTGTAGTTGATTTGTATGTACTTGCATGTAAATAATTGCCAATTGATATTCATGATGCAATGTTGCATGCAAAAGCATCCTAGAGCTGTTTCCTTTTGTTGTTGTATTCTGTTATTCTTGATAATGCAAGATATGTTTCCTTTGAATTTGTTTAGGGTTTCTGCAGGTTTTACCAAGTCAAATTAAAGACTTTTATGACCTTTTAAAGACCATTATGAATGAAATTTCACTCACACAAAATGCTAAAGATTTTTTGTAATGGCCAGTGGATTTTTTATTTTTTTTACTTGCCCCAATAAAATTCTGTTATTTCTTAGCCACAAATATTCAATAATTTGTCAAATATATCTATATGTATATATATATATACATACATACATATATATATATATATATATATATATATATATATATATATATATATATATATATATATATATATATATATATATATATGCATTTTAGTTTCAAAAACTGTTTTAAAAAAGGACTCTTTGAATGCTGAGAAAACTGAAATAATGCTTTATTTATTTAGAGCATTGTTGAAACATTTGTCAATATGTCTCTCAAAATATTATATATATATATATATATATATATATATATATATATATATATATATATATATATATATATATATATATATATATATATATATATATATATACATATACATTATTATTATTATTAAGTTTTAAAATAATCAACTAAAATAAACTTCTAAATAATGTGTCAATTTAATGTTTATATATATATATATATATATATATATATATATATATATATATATATATTTAATATATATTTATATATCAATTTTAGTTTCAAAATTGGTTTTAAAAAGACATGTTGAATGCAGAGAGAAAATTCAGAAATAATGCTTTATTTTAATCAGAGCATTGTCGAAACATTTGTAGAACATATTTTAGTGTAGAAATCTCTCGAAATCTCTCAAAATATTAAATATATGTTTTACTAATTGTTTCAGAATGTATAGAGAACAAAAAGGTATTTAAAAAAACTGAATCGTCAGATAAAGTAAAATAAAAAAAATATTATATATGTATAAACTTTTTTTAAAATTATTATTATTATTATTATTAACATCATAAGTTTTAAAATAATGAGCTGAAATATACTAAATTTATTCACAACAAACATTTATGTGTAAACAGAGACCTTTAAAACAAATGTTTCTTTAAGGAAGATAATTTAACCATATTATTAAAATTGAAATTGTGTTATTTCTTAGCCACATAAATAATGTGTCAAATCAGTGTTATATATATTTAATATATATTAATATATAAATTTTTGCTTTAAAATTGTTATAAAACAAGGACATTTTAATTGCTGAGAGAAAATTCAGAAATAATGCTTTTAATTAGAACATTGTCGAAACATTTGTAGAACAAATGTTTGTGTTTTGTTCTCAGTATTCCAATGACTATTCTTGCTAAAAATCTCTGAAAATATTTAATACATAAGTGTTACTACTTGTTTCAGAATGCTTAGAGAACAAAACGTTCTTTTAAAAACTGAACTGTCAGATAAAGTAACATTTTCAACATTTTCAGTAGGAAGCTTTACATGGACAAAGGAAAATTAAGACCTGAAAATTAAGACACAACGCCATATTTCAGTCTTTCAGGCTTTTTGATGCCTACATTTTATTTTTGTAAATTATTTTAAGACATTTTAAGGCCAAGTGGACACCCTGTTTTTTTATAACAATATGCATTCAAGAAGTGTGTGTGTCCTTTCATGAACCTTTCTCCTGGCTGTTTTGTATATTTATCTGCTCACTTGGGTTTTAAGGTAATGTATATAGAACTGCTACAAAAACAAATTTACTGTGGAATTAGTTTAAAAAATATATATAAATTATAATTTTATAAATTAATAAATCTATATATGTCAACATGGCGAAGCAGTGGCACAGTAGGTAGTGCTGTCGCCTCACAGCAAGGAGGTCGCTGGGCCGCTGATTCGAGCCTCGGCTCAGTTGGTGTTTCTGTGCGGAGTTTGCATGTTCTCCCTGCGTTCGCGTGGGTTTCCTCCGGGTGCTCCGGTTTCCCCCACAATCCAAAGACATGCAGTACAGGTGAATTGGGTAGGCTAAATTGTCCGTAGTGTGTGAATGTGTGTGTAGATGTTTCCCAGAGATGGGTTGCTGCTGGAAGGGCATCTGCTGCGTAAAAACTTGCTGGATAAGTTGGCGGTTCATTCCGCTGTGGTGACCCCGGATTAATAAAGGGACTAAGCCGACAAGAAAATGAATGAATATATGTCAATATAAAAGCCTTTTTGATTTTATATATTTAGAAATGTTAGCCTAATATTTTATTTAAGCTTGTTTTGCTCAGGTGCATCATTGAGCAACTATTAAATATTGTGGTAATAATAGAAATTTTATATTCTCTGTTTTAATTTTGATTTAGCGATTATTTCTGACCATTCTGATGTCTTTTTTTACTTCTTTATAGTTGTATGTATATACTTTCTAAGCCATTTCGAATTTTTTTTCTATTTTAAAATAAACTAAATAAAATAGAATTGATAGCTAGCCAGCAAAATATATAAATATATACGTTTTAGTTAACTATATAATACATTTAAATGATGAAATTTAATTTATTTAAATTTTATTTAAAATAATTTATACAAAAAACAATCAGGCCTATTGACTTTTTGACATATTATTATGCGTTATCATGCTTACATTTGCGCACAACACAATTAAAAATGCATCTAAATTTAAATAATTTCCGATAGTATGATGATTAAGGGATCCCGAATAATCTTTATATTCCATTGTCCCTAAATCAAAGTGTTTTAAAAGCCCTGATTGGAAAAAAACCCCCTCATAATTCATAATCAATCCCAGATACTCACTATATTTGTGGTCTTCTGATATTATGAAACTATGGGAAAAATCTCTGGAGGGTAAAAGAAATCATTCGCCACTGTTTCTGCCAAAACCATAACGAATTACAAAGCGGATCAACAAGCAATAACGCCGCTACAAAGTGATTCCAAATGGAAGTTCCGCTGGTCAATAAAGCGCGGGCTCTGGCACGCGCGCTCGCGGTGAAGGCTACTGATGATGACGAGCCAGATGTTTGGCACATGCATGAAGATGCGCGCTCACGAGGCGGACCCGCGCTTTGATCCGCGTGCAGCTTTACACCAACATGCAAAATACCGCAAGAATTTAACTAACCCTTTTCCTTTCAAATTAGTCAATACAGGCTATGAGGCATATTTGGACTATATTAAAGTGCTAAAATATTTTACCTGTGAAAAAAGAAGCTTTAGATAAAGCACTTGAAATGAAAAGCAAAATTGCATGAGATAGATTTTTTAATCCCTTTTTTACTGTAAAATTATCGGACAATTAATTTCTACTAAATTAAATTTTAATTTCAAGTCTTGTTTTAAATAGCTTATGTGTACACCATTGAAAACAACAAAACTTTTAATAAACACTAGATGATATTTCAAATGTTTTAGATTATTTCACGCATTTTTAAAGTTATCTGGACGTGCAATATAAATCATGTTAATCATAAAAATAAATAATATTTATAAATAAGTAAATAAATAAACACAAACATAAGCTAACCGTTCTGTTTATTAACTAACACCAGTTTAAGGATGTTAAGCTAATAAAAACCAAACAGCTTGAGAGAAATGTTTTGTCAGTATCTATTTGACGTAAAGGTACCGTCTTGTAACCATAGCAATGTAAGAAAAATAAAAAATAAACTGAACACCAAGCCAAACTTTCACCATTCACTTTCAGTTGATGAAGGAAAGAGTTCTTCAGGAGCTTCCTAATAGACATGTTGTAGTTTTTATTATATAATAAAATATCTGCTGAAAAACTGCTCTTGTGTCACACATAATAAATAGCTATAAAAAGGCAGATTTAGATCAGTAGTTCTATCAGTATTCAGTAAGTACAAACATTTATTTAACCATCTTTGAAACACGTTTTGAATATATTTTACTTTTCTCACCACATACTTTTATTTTTTAAGGCTATATAAAAAAAAATTTGCTAATTTAATTGAATTTATTTTATACAAGAATGAGTTTGTGCAGATGTTGATGGCAGAAAAACAACACAAGCTCTATGAAAACAAGTGTTTTGTTGCTTAAATAAATGCATGTCATTTTAGATCTGTTTATGATGTATATACTTTTTAAGCCATTTTAATGTTTTGTTTTTGTTTTAAGTTAAAGCAAATAAATTATGATTGAAAATATGATGTAGTTACTTATATAATAAATTTAAAGGTACCTGATCAGTGGCTTGCCAGGTGAAGTTGACGTGATGGATATTGACAGGTATCGCTGGCATTCTCTGCTGTGCTTTCCTGAAGTCGTGTGTGAATGGAGCCATTTTCCCCTCAGAGACTATTAAAATATCCTCTTCAAAACCTGTTCAATAAAACACTGCCTCTCATAAATCACAAGCCTCTCATACTGTAGTTAGAAACATAAAAAACTTTTAACAGAAATGTTTCCGCAATAGTTTGCTCTAAAAACAGCACTGAAGTGCCAGTAAAGAAACTACGCAAACTATTACCAATTAATATTCTTGCTTGATTGGCATCAATCCACATGTACATGGTTCCTCGCTCTTCATAGGCAGCTTCCAGCAGACCCCCTAAAAGCAGAAGGACGCACGCTTTAAGGTGCAGCTGAACAGCAGGCGTCCTGAAAGCCATCCTTTGGTTGGTTTAAAGCGCACTGGCCGGTGTTTCTGTTTGTCTGCGCTCGGTTCAGTCCTGTGCTGTAAATGTGTCTCGAGCGAGTCTTCAATTGACAGAATGATTCGCGCGGTCTGCTCCGCGAGCTACTTGTACGCAGCAGGAGGTGCAATTTACACAATTCACCACGAGGTGGTGCTGTTTAATTTAATGTGGCACTGATGCAGAATGTATATATATATATGCCTGGGAGTTCAAATGGTTCGAAAGACCCATTTACCCACAGACAAAGGTGCAGAATATAACCCAATATGAACCAATACAATGCCATCATCAATAGTGAAAATAATCCATCATATAATTGAAGGAACATTTTTACATTTAGGGGCGACGTGGTGGCGCAGTAAGTAGTGCTGTCACTATTTGATGGCATTTGATACTAATTGTTTGTTTTGTAAGCAACACCCTGAGTCCCTAGTTCACTAAATTTGGCAATACAGTTATTATAATTTGCTTTGGAAAGATTTTTCTCTTTTTGTAATTGAGAATGTTGATAAAGACTTTTCCTTACTATGGAAAAATGTTTGGTTTGGTTTTGTTAACTATAAAACAGAAGCTATACATAAAAAGAACATATATTTTCTTAATCTTCTTATCTTATTAACAAAATGTTATATACATAAATGTAAATTTTCAAACCAAAAACATTGTTTTATATTTTGCTTACTGAACTGTTTCTAACTCTTTTACAAAAAAGGCTTTAAAAACAACTGAAATTTGTAAATTATACAAATTTACAAATTTCTTTTTCTTTAATGTGTAATGTATTTATCCCTTCTGTTTGTTTTTGTTTTACTTTTGTTTTTTGTTGTGTTTTTGAGTTGGCATTTCTGTATTTTAGTTAGCATGTTCTCCCAGTGTGGTTTTCTCCGGGCATTGGGCGGATCTAGGGGTGGTATTGTTGATGGACTGACAGATTGATTGACAGACAGACAGACAGACAGACAGACAGACAGACAGACAGACAGACAGACAGACAGACAGACAGACAGACAGATAGATAGATAGATAGATAGATAGATAGATAGATAGATAGATAGATAGATAGATAGATAGATAGATAGATAGATAGATAGATAGATAGATAGATAGATAGATAGATAGATAGATAATTTCTAGTCTTTATATGTATGTTTTTGTTTCTGCTTTATTTGACACCATGCACGTTTGAATAGGGAGATAAACTATATATCCTTCTTTTTAAAATAATATATAACATCATTTTAATGCTGTAAATATTCAGTGAACCTTGACAGACTTGATTGTACTTGTTTATATATTTACATTTTTTATTGTTAGAAATAACAACAGATAGTATTTTTGCTGTTGCTTTTCTTTCATTATTATTATTATTTATAATTATATTTATTAATAATATAATATTATATTATAATTCCCAGTTATTGTTGTTGTTAATAATTAGGAACAATAACAGAAACAGCCATTAAAGGAAAATAATAATAATAATCGTCATATGTATTATTACTATTATTATAATAATTAGGCCTATTATTATTATTTATACAAAACCAATTAAAACATTTGACCATTTATCAAATTATAACTCCTTTGTGGAAACAGACGTGTGTGGGGTGAAACTTTTTTTTATTGTGTTGTTATTTTTTGTGACTTGTTTTCCTCCATATTTCTTGATTGTGTTTTGTTGTGTTGTTTAATGTTGGTCATTTAATCACAAAAAAGGGTTTCCTGTTTCTTTCCTTTCAAGTTGGCCGTCTGTCCGCTTACTTTTACGTCACTTCCGCCGTGTCTCGCTGTGTGCGTTTTTCGTGCAAAGATGGCGTCTGCACAGTTAACGGATGAGGAGCTTGTGTCTGAATTGAAACGGCTCGGCTTCACCCCGGGCCCGGTGACGGAGAGCACGCGGCCCGTGTACTTGAAAAAACTGAAAAAGCTGCGGGAAGAGCAGCCACAACTGCGGGGCTCCCGGAGCGGGAAAGGGCGCAGCAGCAGCGGAACTATCAACAACAACGGCAGCGGCGCTAGCAGCAACAGCAGCTCGGCGGCGCGAGCTCCGGGATTCAGCGCCAGGCCACCGACCAGTGACGTCACGCGCCTGAGCGCCAGCCGGAGCGAAAAGCGCAAAGCCGGAAAGTTCGTGCTGGGCTTTAGCTCGGACGAGTCGGACGTAGAGGCTCCGCAGAAAAAAGGAGGCCCGAATCACGGCGGCAGCAGGAGAGACCGGGGATCCGCACAGCAGACACCCACCATCAGGCCTGCGGGAACACCCGCTGCCGCCGTCTCCCTCGGGCTATCCGCGGACAGGAAAAGCGTTTCTGGCTCTCCGTGGTGGGCAGACCGGGGGAAATCGGGTGATTTAGCGGAAACGGAAAGAGACAGTCGGGCTGTGAATGGGAATAAGGCTTTTTACGAGTCGAACAGTAGTAAGTTAGCCAGGGATTACTCTGATTCCGACGAGGAGGAGGAAGAGGTGGGTGAACGAGACCGTCCGCGCGAACGCCGTCTGACTTCCAGACACAGTCCACCCGCCTCTTCTTCCCCTTACCGGAGCGCCTGGAGCTCGGATAAGACGGCGCTGGGCGCGCATGATACACCAGACTACAACCTAGATATGGTCGGGGAACGGAGGGACGAGGATGACAAGGAACCTAGCGAGTTTAGCGGAAGCTACGTGAGCCGCAGCTACCCGAAACTGTCCGGAACGGGCAGGGATGACAACAGCGGTGGGAGCAGCATCCCGTCTGGTTCTTTCCATAGGAATCACCTCGACAATGGAGACGGCGAATCCGCCTGCAGCAGCCGGTTCAGCATCGGTCTCAGACCACGCTTTCCTTCCTACACCGCGACTTACCGAGCGAACCACTCGAACCACACCGGTTCCAATCACTCCTATAGCCATGCTTCAGCTCACAAGTCCAAGCAGCACACCACGGTCCCGGAGGACGAGCTCCTGCAGCAGTTTAAGCGGGAGGAGGTGTCCTCCACCGGCGGCTTCAGTGCCCACTACTTGTCCATGTTCCTCCTGACAGCCGCCTGCCTGTTCTTCGTGCTGCTGGGCCTCATGTACCTGAGGATGAGGGGCTCCGGCACCGCCGTGGGTGATGCAGTCAGTAAGTATGATGTTGGCATGTACATCAAAACTTGTCAACAAGAAATATTTAGAGCGGTAAAGTCAGGTAAAAAAATTTACATAATGACACATTTAGTTTCAAAGTCATGGGGCTGTCTCTAAACTTAAACTTGGCAGGGTAAATTAATGATGTGCTGTGCTATTGGATGGTATACACATAAATAATAGGAATTATATCATGAATTATCTCATAGTTTAATCAAGGAATAAGTATATTATTCTATTCCACACACAACTATACAATTCTATTGTAGTAACATGCGTGGATGCTTCATACAAAAAAAAAAAAAAAAACAAGAATGAAAAATGGGAATACAGTGGTGCAATTAATGTAGTAATCTGTAATACCATTCTGTTTTGACATTATTATGATATAAGCTGTAATGTACTGAATTCTTTATTGTACTTAAAAGAATACTATGGTAGTATTATTCTGTGATGATAAAAAATAGTTTGAGCCCTCAAATGTGACCATAATTTAAATGGAGAATACCTCACGCACGGATATGTTTTCATCAAGTGTAGATCACTAATGTTGTTTCTTTTTTATATTAGGAGCAACAAGACATTTCATGACTTCCTTTAGATTTCTGTGTGCACTTGTTTAGTATCTGCTAAATATGGTAAAAGGCATATTGTCGTGTAAACCGATGTATTTTGTGAAATGGTGCTAAAAGCTTTAGTTACTAAAAGTTTTTCAGCTCTGACTCAAGTTTGCCCAATCCACACAGCCATCACCCATCACCCCAGACTATTTGCACCTTCTCAGACAGGAAATGGTCTATGTTACCGGTGTTTTATGGGACAGGGAGAGGTATTTGCATTTGAAGTATGTGTGTGCACAGCAGTGCTAAATGTTATGTCAGACCTGGGATTTCAGATAGCTAATCAAATCTGTGATAAATCAGTCAAATAATTTATCTTTCAAAATAATATATATTTTTTTGTGATAAAACAGAGCCTTCTCTATAAATTTCTATTAATCTATCCTCTGGTTTGGTTCGAGATTGTGCTAAATGAATGTGTTTTTATTATGATCTGAATATTTAATTGGATAAATATAACATCTTCTTAAATTCTTATTTTAAAAATCAATCAATTATTAATTGGACTGACGTTTTTCCAAAAAAAAAAAAAAAATGAATTTAAAAGTAAAATATTTGAATGGGTGTTTGAAAGGTCATAAATGAATTCCTGAAAAGTCTGAGGACCCTCTGGATGTCTGTTATTTGAGTATAATCATGGCCAGTCCCCACGTTTGGACATGTTGGCATCCTTTCTGGTCATAATATGATAGCCAGCATTAATCTTTTGATACATTTTCCCAGATGAGAGAAACTGTTCTTGGATGTGCGTTCAGTGGCACTCAGTTTTAATAGCTTGAGTACCATCAGAGTAAAGTGCTCTGGAGGCAGTGACGGCTCTTGAGAGGAAGCCGACTGATGAATTACTATGTATATCTGTGGCATGGCTGCTCGCTCAGGGAGGGAGCTTTGACTGGAGATCGCGCTGCAGACATCTAGGTCACAGACAAGCTAAAGCGGCCTAATTGTCTGTCTCTGGGGACTCTGGGAGCTCGCGGCCAACTAGAGTGACTGACTTCTCTCTGGCCGGATGAATGTCTGATTCTCACTTTGAGAGCGATTATATATGAGTTTGCACTTTCCATGGGTTGTAGTTTGCAGCTTTATTGTGCACAACACATGTGCAGCATTCATTTTTTTGCAACCATGATGTCAATAATGTAATGCAAATAACTTGATCTTCCAGTATGTCCAGTTTGAGTCACTGTCAGCTATTTTTAACATCCTGATTATTTTATTTAGCGGATGTAAGGTATTTTAACACACCGAGAAAAATATATATGTTTTGCAATTATAACTTAATTTCGCATATTGGCTGCTGTAATGTGACAATACTGCTTAAATTAAAACATTTATCATTGTGTGTTGTTTAGATATGCCACTTTTTACAATATGGTAGTATTCTCAACTTTAATCTGATTCTGAATATTGGGGGTTCAAATATGATGTTTTATTTTATTAAAAGCAAATAGAAATTAAAAAATTCCTCCTGGAGAGATGAGACTTTTTATCAACGTTTACATTTTCAACAAGTGGCAGTAGGAGTGGGATGCATTGAAAAATAATACATTGTATGAAATACCATCTGAAATCTTAAACAGAATTTTAAGACTAGATTTGATCAAGTGATTATTTACCAGATGTCATATTTGACACACAAGAATAATAATTTTTAATCAAAGGTAAAGAGCCTACCTAATGTTTGTACTGCACAATTCCTTCTACAGTAAAACACATTTTACTGCACTGTCCTGCTTTTAATGCTTCCAGAAGACTTTTTATTATTTTTTTTAAATGAAATGAACTTTAATTTTTAGCTAAGTGACACCAAAAAATCATAAAATAGTGCTAAAAATCTTATTTAATTTATGTATTCAATGTTTACTGATTTTTAATTGTAGATTTATTATTGAAATGTTCTTGCCATGAAAAAAGCCTTGGTTGCAGACATGGCATTAAATAAAAAACAAAAACATTTTCTAGAAACTGTTCAAACTGTTCAAAATAACTGCGATAGTTGCCCAGTGATTTTAAACTAACACTTTGTTTTAGCAACTTAAGTGTAATGTATAAAATAGATTATTAAATTATTTTTTTTCTCTCGCGCTAATGTCCGCTTTATGGTCTCCATAAATACATGAAATCTTCAGATTGGCTAATATAATTGGTTTAAACACATTTTAGTATATTTTAGAAAGGATTTCCAGTTATTTGAAAGCATTTAACTTGAAAAGGTAACTTTAAATTTGAAATGTTTTATTAAAAGGAAAAATCTGAAGCATCTATGGGAGCAACAGTTTAATTATATCTATCAATATTTCTAGTTTTATTATAATTATTACCTTGAGAAATTACACTCTATTGTAGAAGAACAATGATAGTTTATATCGTGATAGTCTTTCTCAAAAAATGCTTCGTGCCGACTCTGGAGATGAAGTTCATCTGCTCACGACCTCATTAGATGAAAGACATTGCAAAAACAGCATCATGTTTATTGAATATGTATGAAGAAAACTAAACTGAACAGTCTTTTTGCAGTTCTTTATTCACAGACAGCACTACTTCTGATCAATTCACCCAAACATTTAAGTTCTGTCAAATTCTGCACTAAATAGTTAATTCCTTAATGATTCGTCAATTATAAAAGCACTAAGGCACCTGTGGAATTGTCTTTCAATTCATCATTATTTCTATTGCGCGTATACAATGTAGATTGTGTCAAAGCAGCTTCACACAGAAGTTCTAGTAAATTGAAACAGTGTCAGTCCAGTTTTCAGTGTTGAAGTTCAGTTTAGTTCAGTTCAGTGGGGTTTAACTTTTACTGCTGAGAGTTCAAACACTGAAGAGCAAATCCACCAATGCACAGCTCCATAAGTCCCAAACCATGCAAGCGAGTGGCGACAGCGGCGAGGAAAAACTTTGTCAAAAGTAAAGAATTAAAAAACCTTGAGAGAAATCAGGCTCAGTTGGACTTGACCATTTTTCCTATGGCCAAACGTCTTGTGCAGAGCTGCAGGCTAGGCTAACCAATGAATAACTTCATTGGTTATTACTATTGTTAAAGTTTTAAATAGACCCAGTACTTCATCACTTGACATCTAAGTCAAACCTTGTCATGAAACGAAAAAACTGTCTGTATGTTTATGGCTTCCTCTCAGAAACTCAAATGGTTTACACTATCAGACGGCTCATATTTAATATGGCTGACTAATGTAGTCTACGATTGAGAAAAGCAGGGCAGTCGCTTGCTAAATTTGGGCCCAGGCCAGAGTGAGGACAGATACGCAATGTTCAGACAATGACTCAAGTGTGAGACGACGAGAGGCTCATGCTTATAGTCGCACCCTCAAGTGTCTGTCTGTCTGTTCTCAGCATGGTTGGGAAACACTGTCCAGTCATATTACTATAACGTTACTGAATGTTACGAGATTTTACCAGATGTTGAATAATGCAATTTTGTAATCTTAGTTTTCTTTCTTTTTCAGTCATGCAGCATCCATTCGGAGCTGAGTTTGATAAGCAGTATGTAAGTATCTGTCCTGTGTTTTAATCTTGCATTGAAAAATGGATGAATAGTCTGTAAATATGTATTTGCATTGGATCTACAGGACGTTAAAGAGCGAGAACTCATCCTTAACCTTCTCTTGTCTCTACATGAGCACCTGGCCAGTGTTGCAGGTGAGTTAAAGCACATATTTTTACCTCTCTAAGCATAGTACTGAGTTAAAATCGGTGTCTATGGATAATTTTTTAAATTGTGCATCTTGTTTGCCCTTTAGGAGAACATGATTGTGGAGATTTTAAAAATCCTTTAAACAGAAGTGTCTCTTTTAGTGACGCCTCCAAGTACCTCAAGGTTTGTTTTGCGTTTTGAAGGGTCTGGTGCTCCCTTTTCATTTCTGTCAGTCTAATTAGCTTGTTTTTTTTATACTGACATGGACATTTGGTCTTATTTAGTTTGTCAGTGTGAAAATGCACATCATAATAAAGTGTCCTTCTCTTTCAAGCTCCAAAATGAAGCCTATGAAAACTTGATTGAAACGTCTTTAGAATGGGTCATGAAAACCAAAGATGTTGTTGGAATAAGGTACCTAATGTCTGTCTATCATTGTGTCTTAAACGCTCTCTCTTATTGGTTAGCTATCTTTCTATATGTCTGTTAATGTGTCTGTTTGGAATTCCATCCATCTATCAATCATAGACATGGGGGTTGGCTCATTTGACTCAGATAACCAATAAGCATTTCAATATGAAAAGCAACGCCCCCAAACTGATTCCATAGACTTTCATTATAAAGGGCTTAGATGCATATCTTTGCATAGCAGTGTCATACAGACATTACTCTGGTACCACGCCCATAGCAACAAAACTGAGTATCCCAGCAACCATTTATCAACAGCTATATCTCAGCATCAGACCATACTAAAGACATAGGGATTGGCTTGTGTGACTTATGCTAACAAACGGAACCAAAGTCCCTTTAAGGCACGTCATTTCACTCGGCAGCCATCTTTGAAATGCCTCTCGGCCAATATGCTCAGGCATTCTGTTTGAATGGAAAAACATCGAATTCCCCTAAATTACTTGCCAAGCTTACAATTACATTCCATATTACAAATAACCAATAGAATTAAACAACTGTCTATTTAGTTTTATTTTTAAGTGTTCATATCACACAAAATCTGCAGAAACTCACGTCTGGTCTAAGCCCTTTACCCTAGAGAACTGTCATTCTATAGTAATCGCCAATTAGCTCCTGTACTAGAAGGTGGGGCTTCTTTCGCCATATTGACAGTTACACTTTTCCCCATTCAAAAGTATACGAGTGACATGTCTTGTGTATTCTATAGTCGTTGGCGGAACTTCCTATATGCTACACATGCTTGCAGTGACTAGCTACATGCCCAAATTACCTTGGCAACTGCCTAGCAACACCTTAGAAAAAACTTAGCAACTACTCGGAACACCCTATCAACCAATTAAAATGCATCATACCCCATCCATTTGCCACGCAAACCCCACTTTTATTTTTTCTTTAGGAAATCTGTCTAAATGTATATATAAGTCAGTTTATCTATCTATCTATCTATCTATCTATCTATCTATCTATCTATCTATCTATCTATCTATCTATCTATCTATCTATCTATCTATCTATCTATCTATCTATCTATCTCTGTCTGTCTGTCTGTCTGTCTGTCTGTCTGTCTGTCCGTTTGTCCACCCATCCATCCATCCATCAATCCATCCATCAATCCAATCTATTTGTCCTTCTATTGGTTGGCATTCTAGCTGTCTGTCATTCATTTAAGTTAGCATTTTACCATTCTAGCTTTCTATTCATTTAGTTTCCTTTGCTAAATTCTGTATTTCTGTGAAGCTGTTGCTGTAGCTAGCTGCCATTCTAGCTATTTATCTGTTTTTCTAGTCGTTGTCCTGTCTTTTTATGTTACAGCTGTCTGGCTGTCCATCTCTTTATCATTTTCTTTCTTGCGTTCTGTTCTAGCTGTCTGATTTAGCTAGCCTTCTACCTTGCTGTCTAGCTATTACTCTGTCTTGCTGGCTAGCTGTTGATCTAGTCTTCATTAGTTCTGTCATTTTATCTGCATGTCATTGTAACTAGCTATCTGTGTGTCTGTCTAGTGATCTAGTTGGCATTGTCTGTCTATTTGCAACCTTAATACCTGTAGTATTTCTTGTTGTGTGCCGTTTTCCCTATGTTCACTGGTTGTGTGCTGTTTTCTGGGAAGGTTGATTGGTGGTGACCCTGATCATCCCATAGAGGATGTATCTGAAATCTCTCGTCTGGAGTCCATCCACCCCCGCATGTCCTTCTTCTGCCGCTTCAGACGAGCCTTCTTCACTGTGATCTACAGAGTTCTCCTCATCCTCGCAGGTGCACATCTGCTTCCTGTACAGCTGAATCTGGTCTCCAGTAAAACCATTGTCTTCTTCATAATTTTCTCACTCTGTTTCTCGCAGGCATCGGTGTTGTTGTGGGTTTGGTGTATTACATGAAATACAGATGGCGCAAGGAAGAGGAGGAAACCAGACATATGTATGACATGGTGGAGCGAATAATCGGTACGACTTCTTTATCTAGATCACATTTATAACATAGAAAACGGGCAATGCTGAAGTAAAGCATGTCTGTGTTTGTTTACAGATGTCCTGAGGAGTCACAATGAGGCCTGTCAGGAGAATAAGGACTTGCAGGCATACCTGCCCATCCCTCACGTCCGTGACTCTCTTGTCCAGCCTCAGGAGAGGTATTCCATCATTACTTTTTGTTTCGGATTCAATTTTGTGTAAAACACCCTCTTCTCACTGTCCAATGTTCTTGAAGTTCAAGTCCAAAGTTTGTGCACAGTAAGGAACAGGTTTCCTGTTGCACATTAAGGGTGCTTTCACACCTAGAGTTTTGTTTCGGAACCTGTCTCGTTTGCCCAGTTAGCGTGGTTCATTTTTTATATGTGAATTCAGCAATCGCGCTCGGATCCACGCCAAAACAATTGCTCCGAGATCGCTTGAATTAGGTGGTCTCTACTGGAAATGAACTCTGGAGCAGATCTATTGTAGTGCGAAAGCAATATGATCCGAGTCCTGCTAAATCACAGTGTATTATGTATATGTCATAAGCATAAATACGGCTATACAAAGAGAGAATGAGTAAGTCGGAAGGTCGTTCCTACCGGTAATCGTGCGTTTCATGTAAAATACGAAAGTGAAAGCATGCTGAACTATTAACGAGAGCTGTTTATCCATTAGGAAAATTGACCGAACTGCAGTAGTTTATCTGTTATTTATCTCTATGATGTAAAGCCTATAACGCATAAGCCAACTGCTTTGTATGAGAAAGTCTACCTCTGCTCTATATTTAGCGACGACATATGAGGGTGTCACCATTTAAAATCATAAGCTTTCTGCTTATAATGTCTTTATTGCTCAACGTCATAAATTAAAATAAGGACGCATGACAGCAGGACTCTGCAAAATACATCCTGAAACTCTGACCAATGTAAGGAGGGTTAACTCGCAAGTGACTTGCTTTAGCTATTTTGGTCCGTTTAGAAACGTTGTCGTGTGAAAGCGAACCACATCAAGAACAAAAAGCAGCACTAACAATCTAAATCCCTGTTTCAGAACAAAAGAATCGATTCACTGGTGTGAAAGCACCCTAAATGCCAATAAGGTTTAATGTGTGTTTTAAGAATATAAAATGCTTGGTTATCGAAAAAGGCATGTAAAAAGTTAAACATAAATATAAACTATAAAAAGAAATAAATAATAATAAAGAAGTTTTCTGTATTATGTAAGTGTTAAAACTGTTGTGCAAAATTCTTCTTTCTTTGCTGTTTATATTCTGATGGGTATGTTTTTGTTGCTCTCTCAGAAAGAGGATGAAGAAAGTGTGGGACAGAGCAGTTTCATTCCTCTCTGCGAATGAGTCCCGCATCCGGACAGAGAAGCAGAGGATTGGAGGGGCGGATTTCATGGTGTGGCGGTGGCTTCAGCCCTCAATGTCACCTGATAAGATGTGCAACATGCCCTCCAAAGTGTGGCAAGGCCAAGGTATTGCTTGCTGTGAGATATGCAATTTAAGGCCAAATTTTTGCCCTTTTGTTGTATCAGTCTAGTTTTAAATGCAGCAAACACAACAGGGACCGTTGACATCAAAACAAACCAAAAACAGGACATGGTGACACAAGATATGACCGTTAAATGCAGAATGCTCAAGCCATAGGTGTGTTTCTTGTCATAATTATGATGTTGCCCATTGCAGTTCAGTGCAGCTCTCCAAAACATGTCTTCTTTCAGCAGATCTTTTGTTTGGGAAATGCCAATTCCTGGCAATATATTGACTATTACACATTTTATACGCTATTAAGGAGTCTAAAAATGTGATCACACATGCAACATCCTAGCATGCAGTATTGTTTTGGATGTCCTGTAAGTTTTCCTTTGTCTTTTAAAGCTAATGAATGCAGTGAAAATCAGGACTAAAAATTATCTTTTTATGTTTCTGTTGTTGAACAAAACAAACCAAGAAAATTACACATGTAAACAACCTTTATTTTGAGCATCCTCGTTGTTTTGGTGATTATCGTTTGTGTTTGTTGATTTAAAGTGGCTTGTTTTGCTCTTCAGCATTTCCGCTGGACCGAAGAAATTCGCCACCAAACAGCTTAACGCCATGCTTGAAGATTCGCAACATGTTTGATCCTGTAATGTAAGTTTTTCAAGGACTTTAACACATGAACGCAATTTAAATAGTTGTTCAGGCATGTAAAATCTATTTACTTTCATGTAATCATAAACTTTGCCTGATATTTGAGTAGTTTAGAGAGTAGTTCTCTCACTGTACTTACCATAATTTCCCTCTTCTACAGGGAAGTGGGGGAAAACTGGCATCTCGCCATTCAAGAAGCCATTTTGGAGAAGTGCAGTGATAATGATGGAATCGTTCACATAGCTGTTGACAAAAACTCAAGAGAGGTGAGTGGCTTGTGTGGGTTGTTCATAATTTACACAATGGATCTAAAAGTTCTTGTCCAAGAGCTAGAGACGCCCTACAAAGCGAGCTTAAACAGAATATTGCGTAAAATTCATTTTCATTAAGCTGTGTGAAACCATTATTAACTAAAACTTTCAAATTAAGTTAGGATATCTGTAAATATTTTTTTTGTCGGAAACTTAGCGCTTGGGGGAAAAAAATGAAATACTTGATGTGATACAAAACTTTTTATGAATTTATCAAGTATTTGAAAATAATACCATTATTATGTCAATATAAATTATTAAAAAGTTTTATATTATTATTTTTTTTTTGTATAATATGTGTTTAAACTGTACTTGAAAACCAAAACCACACTATACGACCATATGTGCATAAGTAGTATTTCTTAGTAGGTGACATCACTAACTAATGGCCTGGCATACAGCATTTAAGTTTTTTTTGTTTTTTTTTTGGGTGCAAAACTTTCCAAACACAGAACCATTTGGTTGTGTGAATCAGGGTGTCTTTAAAAGTCTTGAAATGTCTTAAAATATTGATTCACCATCATAATAATGGTAATAAACTGATTAAAAACCCTGTACAAGTCTAAAATTTCATTTTTTTATGGTTTTTTAAAGGGTCTTAAAGTCTTAAAATTATTTAAATTACAAAAAGTAAATTTTAGCCCTTAAAATGTCTTAAATTTGCAGAAATATTGTGTTGTAGGTTGTGTTAAATAATTTTAAACAGGTCTTAATTTTGCTTTGTCCAAGTAAAGCTACTCAATTGGGCTGACATGCCTCTAATCACCAACAAACCATTTAAATAAAACCTTTTATTTATATATATATATATATATATATATATATATATATATATATATATATATATATATATATATATATATATATATATATATAAAGACTTTTAATATATAGACTTTTTAAGACCCTTTAAAATAAAAATGAAATTCTAGACTTGAATAGGGTTTTTTTCATCAGATTATTTATTGGGTTTTTTTAAAGATTTTATATATATATATATATATATATATATATATATATATATATATATATATATATATATATATATATATATATATATATATATATATATATTTTTTTTTTTTTTTTTTTTTTTTTTTTTTGCAAGAAGATACTATTCACAACAGCTGTTAATTTTTTTTACTGCAAATTCCTTATTTAAAAAAATAAGAAAACCAAAAATAATTATGATTTGTTATGATAGTACTGGTAATAAACAAAAAAAAAACCTGTATAAGTCTAATGTTTCGTTTTAACGGTCTTAAAAGTCTTAAAGATTTGACTGTATAAAACCTGCAGAAACCCTGGTAAATGTACCCTAAAACTGAAGAAAAAATTGTATAAAGTTAATTAAAAATGTTAATGGATATTATTAAATCGCATATCAAAATGACATAACCTGAAATGAACAAAATAAATAAAAATCCAAATTAACTACCAATTACTATCTGCAATAAAGTTTGATCTTAAACTAACAAATCCTAAATATAAAAGACTAAATATTAGGTGAAATAATCCACGTTTAAGTACATTTAAGCTTTCATCTCTATTTGAGCCGGGTATTCGATGGTTGCCTTGTTCCCAAAAGACACGACTCTCCCTTCACTAAATGAGTTTCATTGTGTTTTTTGCAGCAAAGTAACGTCCCTAGAGGCTTTTAGCTAATGAATTGCTTATATGATCTTATTCCCGTCTAGGGCTGCGTTTACGTGAAGTGCCTTTCAGCAGAGCATTCTGGGAAAGCCTTCAAAGCGCTCCACGGCTCCTGGTTCGATGGTAAACGACTATCATATTTCCTCTAGTCTAATTATCAATTTTCAGTACGCTTCAACAACATGTCACATGTTTCCAACAGGTAAGCTGGTGACGGTCAAGTACCTGCGCCTGGATCGCTACCACCAGCGTTTCCCACAAGCCCTAGGCTCCAACACACCTCTCAAACCCTCCAGCTCCAGCATGAACAGCATGTCTCGTCTGAACCAGCGCTCCAGCACGTCCAGCTTGAAGGACACGTTCTCCTGAAGGACATGCAGGACGGCCACCAACCATCCTCTCTGCTCTCTTTCACCATAAACGAAAAGCTCCCAGCCAGAGGGAAACACGTTCAGGAGCAGTCGGGCGACTAAGGACGCCCAATCAGTTTTGTCAGCCATATGCAAGCAATGGTGTTTAAACCTGTGAGCTGCTGTGTTTTTGTTTCTATTTTTTTTCCCTCTGTCCGTTGGAGTCAAGGGAGAAACTGTGGCGTAAATCAGTGGAAAAGAGAGCATTGTTTGCTCCGGATGAGAACTTTTAGGACACAATCCTTCTCATGTCTGGTGCAAGTGGACACACATTTCTGGTTCTTTGATGTATTTGCTTTTGTTTTTATTTGAAATATACCGTCTTTATGGATTCAATAACAAAATGGCTTCCGACTTTAAATCTTACAACAAACACAAATGAAAGTTTTCCGGCCTCTTCTGCTTCTCATTTTGTTTTGTTACAAGTAACTAACTCCCCTCCTTAATTCCAAGGAGCTCTGTTGGGCTATACATAGCTGCATGTGCTGGTTAAAGTATGCCTATATTTAAGCTTTGAATTGTATCATATATTGTGGATGTTTATTTCCCTGAGGATGTTTTTTTTTTAGCTGATGTATTCCATTTAATTATTATTAATTTGTTTTTGTTTTTTTTGGGCCTTTTTTTGTAGTTTTTAGTCCAAGAACGGCATGCACACACACTCTAAAGAAAAAAAGGAGTGCTGTAAATATCTCATTGAATGGTGGTGGTGCTGGTGGTGGTGGTGGTTGAAATCATCTGTATGAAATTGAAATCGTCATAAGCTCTCGTTTGTTTCTTGCCAACAGAATAACTACACTGCTGCATTCAGAGACGCGTGTCATGTGGAGAGACCATTCGATGCCATGTTTCTGAACACTAGTCTTAATTGTCACAGTCTGATTATATTCAAGTATATAATTATTTACTGTTGTTTTTGTTTATATTTTAAAGGTTATGCTTTCCCGTTATAATTGGTGGTGCAGATGGATGTTATTTTTTTTTTCTCCGTTCATCTCCCCGCTATTCATTACTTGGCAATTTTAAACGCCATGCAATTGCTGTTTTTAATCTGTTCCCGACCCTTCTAAATTTCCAAAAGAGACACCTTTTCTTTTCGATGGAAGTTTTTCTTGTACACACTCGTGCGCAGCCTGATCTAATTGTAATTTGTATGGAGACACTCATAAACAGAGCATGTCATGCTGCGTTCATGTCTATTTTGGATCACAAAGATTTATCAGCTTTTGTTTAGATGCAGTTTGGGTTGATATGAGGTAAATAAAATGTACTTGTTTATTACTCATGTTTATTTTCTTCCTTTGTTTCTACGTGAAGCGTTTAGGATTTTGGTTTGTTTAACTGGGTTTTACATTTGTTATATTTGACTTTAAGATGAATGTGAACTATCAGTGGTTTAAAATGTGTATGTAATTGCCAAGCCAGTCTATTTATATTGAAATGGAAGTTTTAATACAACAGCATTAAATTTTAAAGTTAAGAATCTCCGATATAGTTCATAAGGTTGTACTGCAGCATCAGCGGAACATTTTGTAAGCTATAATCTATATCTTAATAAGTCTGATAAGATTTTATACAGTTGAAGTTAGAATTGTTACCCCCTGAATTATTAGCCCCCCTGTTTATTTATTTATTTAGTTTTTAATTAGTTTAACAGAGATAGTTTAACACATTTCTAAACATATTAGTTTTAATAACTCCTTTCTATAAACTTATTTATTAAATCTTTGCCATGATGACAGTAAATAATATTTGAGGATGTTTTTAAGACCCTTCTATACAGCTTAAAGTCACATTTAAAGGCTTGACTTGGTAAAGTTAACTAGGCAAGATAGGGTAATTGTATAACAATGGTTTGTTCGAAAAAATATAGCTTAAAGGAGCTAATAATTCCAACCTTAAAGATGTTTTTTTTTTAAATTTTGTTTTAGAAATAAAACAACTTTCTCCAGAAGAAAAAATATCAGACATACTGTGAAAATTTCCTTGCTCACTTAAACATCATTTGGGAAATATATTTTTAAAAATAAAAATAAATTAAAATTCTGTATGTAAAAATCTTGTATTTCAGATAAAAAAAAAATTATTTATATATATATATATAATATATATATATATATATATATAAAATGTAATTTCACTATGTTGTAACCAGATACTACTTCTAATCATAGAAAAAGTCCAGTATTTTTACAGTTGTAAGCCTGACAATTGCTTTAAATGTCTGCATTATTTACTTTTCTGCCATGTTCCCAGTTTCTAAACTATATTCAAGGTTTAGTATCACTGTTCTTTTAATTAAAGTGCAGATGTTATATGTGCAGTGCTCAGCATTTATAAGTAAACCCCTCACAAATTTTATTTTCAATTCATATTTTTAATAGGAAGATATACAATATTATATGTGTGCATATACATTAGATTAGTCAGTACTAAAGCTAAATCTGGAGCTTATCTTACTAAATAACTTACAATAATGTTCCAAAAACTAGTACATCCAAATGTATATGTTATAGAAAAATATTAAATACAAAAAAGGAGTACAAAAAATAAAGAGAAGCAAAAAAAAAAAAAAAGGACAAATTTAGTTGAAATTTTGAAGGATGTAATTATTATTTGTTGCATGAATTTAACTGCATTATTTTTCAATTGATAAATATGTTTGGTGACTAAAAATATTATTTTAATAAATAAATCTGTTTAGTAAATCTGTTTTGTTTAAATGCACCAAAATACATTGCCTACATTCACTAAGAAAAAAATATATACTCATATTCAAAATGGGGTTTACTCAATTATGCTGAGCACTGTAAAACAACTATTGCTTAACAACAACAAAAAAAAATTCAAAACGAGTTAAAACATATAGTAAAATAAAAACAAAACAGATTCCAATAATATAATTATGCAAAATGTATTTATATTTATTTATTAATAAATGCAAGATTAGAATAATCCACGTTTTTATTAAGAATATAAATGAAGGTTTAGACTGAAAACCTCTGATCTAAGGTCAGTTTTTCCTACATTTCCAAAATAGTATGTGTGTAGTTGGCTGATCCCAGAACAGAAAGTACTGACTGCCTCATCCCAAAGCAGCAAGCAGAATAAGATTGATTCTATGACGTGCTACGTTGATTACCTACACAACATAAGTAAAGATTTAACAAATTAATCAATATTTTGTCATATTCGAATGACGTAACTGAACAACAAAAACCCACAGCCTGCTTCGCGCTGTATAACTATGCGCGCAAATTACGCATTGCTCATATTTGGAGAGCCCCTGCTGCCCGGCGAGAGGAATTTCCCACAATGCACTTGTCATTACCTAAGAAGTACACGGCGGTGAAGCTCTGTTTGACAAATGCGCTGCTCTCCCCGCGGCCCCCCTTTCCTGTATACTCTGCTGTCCTGCTCGGTTATAACGCTATTTCTGCTGTCCGGTACGTATAACTACTTATTACATATGTATGTTGTTTATTACGCACTTTTAAGTGACTTTCATGAAGGCAACAGGGTCTCTATGACTACGCATTGATGTAACTCAAAACCGTTATACTTTGCTGTCATGTTAAGGTAACTTAAGCGTATTTACATGCAACGTTTTGTGCTTTCTACATCTATTTATTCCTCTTATTATGACAAAATACGTAAAGTTTCTCAGTAATTTACTTAGTCGTCTATGGGAGCCATATCAATTACACTGTGTGTATTGAATGTATACCCTCCCACATGTGATGTCATAACAACTTGGTGTTATTACATAACGTTTTTATTTACACCCTTGTATATAAAACAGTAGTAAGCTACTGTGGCACTACTATGTGACAGTGATGTAAACACCTCACACTTAAGTCAGTATAAGTGGAGATTATAAAAATATATTAATATTCTATGTCATGTTTATTTAACTAACCTACATAGTAAAGAACTGGCACATATCTAATGAACTTCTACAAGTCTGCCATGATGATTTGCCATGATAATGTTGACTTGACAACAATCCAGAACTGAAAGTTAGAAATAATTTAGAAAAAAATTCAGTTAGAGGATTTTGTAAAATTTTGGAGAAAGCCAATTGTATCATTAGCACATTTGTCATGAATTTGTTACGTGAGTTAGTATGATTTTACCATGTTTCAACTCATGGCCAACCTTTAATTTAGTATTTTGTTCAAACCAATTAGCATCTTGTTGTTATATTTTGCATGCAGTAATTAGTATGTCATGTTTGTTTAAAAAATATATATTTTGACATCAATAACATAACCAACATGTTTCACTCCATGCTAGCTTGTTTCTGGTATATGTTGCTAGCTTGGAGTAGCCTGCTGTTAGCATGTTTTAGCATGTTTTAATCTGTTGCTAGCTTTTAATACTATGTAAACATGAGTTAGCATTTACCTGCACTCTTTAAACAATTTTTTGGATGAACAACTAGATTATTGCATGATTAGTACATTTTAGAGTGTCGCTAACATTTCTAATTTGTTTTAGCCCATGTTGTAGCATATTGCTACTACGGTTTTTAACAACAATTTGTTTCCAGCATGCTATAGTACAGGTTTTAAGTTGTTTTTAGCTCTAGTTAGAATGTTTAGCTCAATGTTGACATGAAGTAGCATGCTCAAGTCAGCATAATCAGATCAAATTCTTCCATAATGTTTGTCATAATTTAATTATGAATAAATTAAATAATGGCCAGCAAATATTAATTAAATTTTTATTTTTTTAAAATAAGGATTATTATTTAATCCATTTTCCCCCCTAAGCCTGTCTGGGGTAATTTTAGGGTATTGGGGTTTGAATGATTTTAAAATCTTGAAAAAACTCAATAAAGACATGTTATACAGTTTTTATCAATAAAAACAGAAAAAAAAAACTGTAATCGTTGACTTCCTCAGTAAAAAAATAAAAATAAATAATACTATGAAAGTCAATGGTCCAACACTTTTGAGTTTGACTGACAAAAAAACAAAACTCAAACAGGTTTGCTACAAATAGAGGATGAGTAAATGCTGGCAGAAATATTAAGTTTTGAGTAAACTTTTCCTTTCAGAAAGTAAGTGGAGCAGGAATATAGACAAAAAAACAGCCATAAAACAATTTGGGTCATTAGACATTAATTATATTAAAAAAAATTTAATTTTAGTATGTTAAAAGAACATGTTTTTGATTTGTGCTCGAAACATGGCACTTAGATAGCAGATATTATAAAAGTTATAACTATTATTAATAAAGCCTGTATTAATTCTCAAAAATAATAAATGAATAATGGTGGCCTAGTGGGTTGCACAATCACCTTATAGCAAGAAGGTCGCTGGTTCGAGCCCTGGCTGGGTCACTTGGCATTTCTGTGTGAAGTTTGCATGTTCTCTTCGTAGTGTATATGAGTGAATGAGAGTGTATGGATGTTTTCCAGTAATGGGGGCAGCTGGAAGGGCATCCGCTGCGTAAATCATATGCTGGATAAGTTATCGGTTCATTCCACTGTGGTGACTGAAAAGAAAATGAATTAAATTAAATAATTGTACTTACAAATCCTGAAACTAGCATGCGTTCCTGTAGCCTAAATGTCATTCACTGTATTAGTAAAAAAATGTTTGTTTCTTTCAGACAGTTACCAAACAACAGACTATTTACCTAGTTTCAAAGCTCACAGATATTCAAGCATTTATATTTCATTTGCCAGCATTTAGTTAATCACATGATCAAAACGATGTTCACCCTTCAGAACCAGTGTTTTGAAATATCAGCCATTTATTAAACAAATCTGATCTGCTTTTAAAACATTTCAGATCTCATTTGTCACTTTATGACCATATATAGTTATGACTTTAGCCCAGTGTCAAGCATGCTGTATTTATAAACCACATTAATACTCGGAGCACTTGGTATTTTTGGCGTGCGATGGCTTCAGTTGATATTTTCAATTAATAAGATTCTACTCAAATAAATTAATTAAAATCAATTCAACTGTTCTTTCTTGAGCATATTTTGCAAATCAACTGGGTGATTCATTGAATAGCTTATAAATTAATTCATAAATTATTCGGATGTTAACACTACGTAAAAACTATTTTCTGAAATGTATCATGTAAACGTCAGCCTGTAGTAGACAATTACAGACCCTTGGTGTGAATCAGCAGCTTTGCAATCAATCAAGTCCTATTTATAGTCCTCTCTGGATGTGAGCGCTGGGTATTTTTAAAATGTGGCCTTGCTTGTGTCTGGATCAGCTCTATATCTGCGCATGTTTTAAAACTACTCGCATTCACCAGACCAGTGTAAAGTGAAGAAAGTCAGTGGATTACCAACCAATTAAATTGCATAACAAGTCTGCATTTAGCAAATTTTTATTGATTTTTTTGCACTTCGGCTAGTTATTTGATTGTCTGTTTATTTATTTAAAAAACAAATATTAGTGCGGTATATGTGTGTGTGTGTGTATATATATATATATATATATATATATATATATATATATATATATATATTATGTCTAACAGAGCAAGGACATTTTCACTGTATGTCTGATATTATTTTTATTCTGGAAAAAGTATTATTGGTTTTATTTTGGCTAGAATAAAAGCAGTTTTTAATTTTTTTAACACCATTTTAAGATCAAAATTATTAGCCCCAATAAGCTATATATTTTTTCAATTGTCTACAGAACAAATCATCATTATACAATAACTTGCCTAATTACTGTAACCTGTTTAGTTAACTTGGTTAACCTAGTTAAGCCTTTAAGCTGTATAGAAGTGTCTTGAAAAATATGTAGTAAAATATTATGTACTGTCATCATGGCAAAGATAAAAGAAATCAGTTATTAGAAATGAGTTATTAAAACTTTTATGTTTAGAAATGTGTTTAAAAAATCTGCTTTGCGTTAAGCAGAAATTTGGGAAAAAAATAAACATGGGGCGAATAATTCAGGGGGGCTAATAATTCTGACTTCAACTGTATATATTAGCTCATTTATTATATACAAACATATCTCATTTTTTTTTTCAAATTAGACAAGTAATAGACCAAATTAAATGGACAAAAATCTGACCAAATTGATTATTTATTTTAATGTAAAATTAATGTAAAAAAATAAATATTTAAACAGTAAAACTATATATATATATATATATATATATATATATATATATATATATATATATATATATATATATATATATATATATATATATACACACACACACACACCATCTTTTAGCATGTAAAAGTATTTTAAGCACTTGTTAAAAATGAACCTTGAGCATATTTATGTATTATATTTATGTAATTGTGCATATAATAACAAAAACTTAAAAACTATTGTTATTTTCAATTAATTCAACCATATTATTATTTTCAATTAGTCATGCATATGGCAAAACAAAAACACAAAAATAAATGTGCAATTAAATTTATTTAAATGTAATATTTAAAAATGAATACATTTATGAAGTAGTAAAAAAAAATATTTTATACATGTATATTGACCATATGCACTCTGTGTTAAAATAAATTCAATTCTCATTCTGTGTTATTTTGTTGATTTATTTAAACATCATTGAATCTTGTGCTTGGTTTAAATGATAGACTACCCCTGTAATTGTGCTGTGTAAATCTGCGTAAAAAATCTGTGTAAAAACTGCCTTTACCTGATCAGCTAATTGAAATTAACTGTCAAGCAGAAATGCACTCGAAATGTTGCAGTACTGAGAAAATCTTGATTAGTTGCAGATTCCCATATAAATGATAAAAAATAGATCTTTTTTTGCTCCACTGAAAAATAAATGCTGAATGGAAACATTCTCAAATCAAGCTAACTGATTAAATTAGAAGATAATTTCTCCCATGCACACTTCTCATGCCTCTTTGTGTCTGTGAATGAACTGAAAAAGATCTTTCTCTTTTTCCTCACACACCTGCACCACCACTAGATGGACCTCATTCCTCATAAACCGCAGCGTCACCCTCTCCTTCACAGCGCTCTTCTGCCTGTTATTGCTCCTGTAGATTCTTTACACTCTCAAACTACATGTTCATTGGTCTTTATCTTTATAGCTTCAACAAGTCTCGGTGAAGCTTTCAAAAACAGTCTCTTCCTCAAAGCTTTGTTTGCTGTAGACCAGGATGGCTGTCCGTCTTCTCCGATCCATGGCCCCGTGTGCATCCATGGCCCTGCTCCAATGCATGCGCTCCCATAAGACCACACGACCACTCCTAATACTGACTACACCCGCTGCGCTAGGTACTGTAAACAGTGTAGCTATAATTATTGAAGTCAAGTGTATTCATATTTTTATTTAAGTGTAGTTATATTTATTTAAATGAGAACTGCAGATATTTGTGTTGTGTAATGTTTTAGGAAATTGAACACAAATGCAATTTGTTGGAGTGCAATATTAGTTAAATGGTGGTATTTGCAATGCAATTAGTTACATTAGCTGATGTGCTACAGCCATTGAAGAACTCTGCATTCACTGTGAGAAAATGCAAGGTTCCACACACGTGATTTGTGTTAGGACAGCATGAAGGAATTAGGTTAACATATTAGTTTTCACCAATTTAAGTGGATTGAAGATAAAACAATTGAGTTGTCTCAAAAAAAACCTCAAGAGTTGTGTTGTTTCAGCTCATTTAAAATGAGTGGTTTGAGCAAAACATAATTTTTTTGAGTGCTTGCAGCTTTTAATTCAGTTTTTTAAGCAAAATGCTTCTGCGCTTTTGTGTGTGTGTGTGTTTGCTTTATAACCCAAGTCATGAAATTTGACACTTATAAAGTTTTAAACCTTTTAATATTTAAAATCAGATTTTTTAAAATGTATAAGGCTTTTGGCATTCTGAAAATTAAGTATGTAAATGAGTAAGTAAATAAATAACATTTTAAAATGACTACAAGCTTCTTGAAGTCATTTTTAAACCCACAGTAAACTTATAAAAATAAAAAGCGTTTATTAATGTTCATAATGAATTTGGTAGTTTTTTTATTCTGATAAGGTATAAAATGCATAGTTATTATTAAGGGAGCAACATTTTTGCAAATGCAACCCTCGAAACACATACCATTTATTATCATGCTTTTACAGTTATGCTTCAAAGAGATATTACCATTTTTTAAAATAGTGGATTATGAAGGTTACAGTGCTCAGCATTTATCCATTTCTCAGTGAATATGGGTAATATATGAAGAGTTTAGAAGCAAAAACCTGTAAAAGCTCTCTGATGTTTACTTCTAAAATTAGCATTTTTCTCCGACTCCTGTGTGTAGACTCAGTAATTTTACTTTTATAGTGATAATATTGTTATTTACGTCGCCTTTAAAGGGAAATAACTAAACATAAACATAGGAGGCTGACAAAAATGGTCCTTTTAGGAGAACATTTTAGACAGCCTTTAGAAGTTTTTGCATCGGAACTCTTCATATATTGGTGCATTTAATCACAACAGATTAATTAAACAGATTTTTATCTGTTTAAATAAACACATTTATTAAAATATATATTTTAGTCACAGAACATCTTTAGAAATGGAAAGATAATACATTTAAATCCATGCAAAATACTGCCAAAAAATTACAACCTACAAAAATTCTGCTAAATGTTACATATTTTTTTGTGTTTTTCTTAATTTTTGCTATTTTTGAAAATTTAATTTTAATATTTATTTATGACATAAATTTGTATTTATATATGCTGAGCACTGTAATTAAAGTCCCAAAAGGCCAATTTAAATTGAAAATGAACAGTGTGTACAAGCAGCATTTATGAAATTAAGTATACATTAGATCAAAGTCGCAATCACTATCAGATCTTCAAAATAAAAGTCCACTGCTATTCTTCTCAAACATACTTTAGGCTGAAACAGATCTGTTTTTTTCTAAAGAGTATTTTAACATGAGTACTTGCCATGATAACATCCAAGGATGCTGGGATGTTGTGTAAAACACAAACCCATCCTGTTTTCATTAAAGCTTTTTAATACATGATTTATTTAAGGGTTTACTTAAAGTCCTGTTTTAGTGAATTTCTAGTGAATGTTTTAGTGAATCCATTTTGCGTCCACATTTAAGTCAAACCCCACTAGAAGCAGATGGAGGCTCAACTTTCCATCAGTTTTGTATTATTATTTGTTTTTCGGTGTGCATCAAGTTTTGGATGGCAGCTTTCAGAATTCAGAGTGATCACATTAGAGTTCATTTTAATAGAACCAACCCAACCAAGAATAAACTCACACATTAGCTATCATTTACATGAGTAAATATGTCTTTTGACTTGTGGATATTATGTTAACATCTTTATCATTCCTGTTAACCTCTCTCTCTTTGCCCAGTGACGTTAATCAGGCTTTCTCTGCATGACAAATGTCAGCTGTCCCGTGATTGGCCGCTCTAAGTGTCCATCTCTGTGACTGACATCTGTGTTGACCTGTGTTGTGTTTTTTTTCTCCTTCCTCTCCCTCCTCGCCTGTGTTTGTCTGTATTATTTTTTTTCTTAGTCTGAGTGGTTGGAGGGTGTTTTATTAGGTGGCTCTCTTCTCGCCGCTGTTTCTGTTCACCCAGGAGCACCGGTGGCCATGTCCGGCTTCAATCTTCTGCATCTGGTCAGCCAAGGCCAACCTGTAAAACTCAAGGCCTGCGGGCTCCCCTCAGGTCACCTGGATGCTGTGTGTGTGTGTGTAGTGTGCTTTGCTTTCTTGATGTCTTTTTTTAATGTGCGCACACGCGTGTTTGAGTGTCCGGTAAGGGTGTGTGTTTGGTTGATGATATGGTCACTTGTGGAGAAACCAACTTTTGGAATTACTCCAAGGCAGCTTGACATTGAGTCTTCTTCACTTTGACAGTGTTTATGCATAAATGCATTGACTGGTCTACAGGTGAATATAGATATTATTTTTTTTAAAACATCTTTTTTTGAATATCAATATTAAAAAATCCGTAATTGTTTCTGTAATTTAATATCCGTTATTTTACTGTAAGTTTCTGCAATTTAATATCTGTTATTTTACTGTAAATTTCTGTAATCTAATATCCGTTATTTTACTATAAATTTCTGTAATTTAAAATCCGTTATTTTACGGTAAATTTCTGTAATTTAATATCCGTTATTTTACGGTAAATTTCTGTAAATTTCTGTAATCTAATATCCATTATTTTACTGTAAATTTCTGTAATTTAATATCCGTTATTTTACAATAAGTTTCTGTAATTTAATGTCCATTATTTTATTATAAATTTCTGTAATTTAATATCTTTTATTTTATTATAAACTTCTGTAATTTAATATCCGTTATTTTATTATAAATTTCTGTAATTTAATATCTGTTATTTTATTATAAACTTCTGTAATGTAATATCCGTTATTTTATTATACATTTCTGTAATTTAATATCCGTTATTTTACGGTAAATTTCTGTAAATTTTTGTAATCTAATATCCATTATTTTACTGTAAACTTCTGTAATTTAATATCCGTTATTTTACAATAAGTTTCTGTAATTTAATGTCCATTATTTTATTATAAATTTCTGTAATTTAATATCTGTTATTTTATTATAAACTTATGTAATTTAATATCCGTTATTTTATTATAAATTTCTGTAATTTAATATCCGTTATTTTATGGTATATTTCTGTAATTCAATATCCGTTATTTTACTGTCAATTTCTGTAATTTAATATCTGTTATTTTACGGTAAATTTCTGTAATCTAATATCCATTATTTTACTGTAAATTTCTGTAATTTAATATCCGTTATTTTACGATAGGTTTCTGTAATTTAATGTCCAATATTTTACGGTAAATTTCTGTAATTTAATATCTGTTAATTTATTATAAATTTCTGTGATTTAATATCCGTTATTTTATGGTATATTTCTGTAATTTAATATCCGTTATTTTACTGTCAATTTCTGTAATTTAATATCTGTTAATTTACTGTAAATTTCTGTAAATTTCTGTAATTTAATATCCGTTATTTTAATATAAATTTCTGTAATGTAATATCCGTTATTTTACTGTAAATTTCTTTAATTTAAAATCCGTTATTATACGATAAGTTTCTGTAATTTAATATCTGTAATTTTACTGTAAATGTCTGTAATTTAATATCCGTTATTTTGGGGTAAAATTCTGTAATTTAATATCAGTTATTTAACGGTAAATTTCAGTAATTTAGTATCCATTATTTTACTGTAAATTTCTGTAATTTAATATTCGTTATTTTACTGTAAGTTTCTACAATTTAATATCCGTTATTTTAAGGTAAATTTCTGTTATTTAATTTCCGTTATTTTCCTTTTTTCCTGCCACCCCAGCTCCCAGAAATAAACCGTAAAATTGTGATTTTTTTTTACAGAGTAGTATTAATTGTACCATATATCAGGTTCCCCCTGATACTTAAGTTGGTTTTTCTGTATTTGATGACCCCTTGCCGTAAAATGTCACCTTTTGCTTTGCTCCTTTTCTCTGTTTAGATCTTCAGTTGCTCATGGATTAATGCCTAACTCACTGTTTTTCCTTCTTTTAAGCCTGCATGTTCTGTCAAGCTTTAACATTGACGTAATTGCTACTAATGATTGCATTTCTTTTTTGCATTTTCCATTTTAGGACTCTAGATGACACTGAGTGTGCTTTAAGGGCATTTTACTGATGAGTTATTCATATCTAATTGCAATCTCTGGTGATTCATCAGTATATTATAATAAAAATCCTTCTGTGTCAAAATTAAATAGAACTGGATTAGCATTTTCTGTCAAAAATAAAAGTGCTTGCAAAATAGCAAATAAATGATAAATAAAGTAAATGATTAAAAATAAATCATGAGAGAGATATTTATTTCCCTTATTTTTATGTTGTTGTAGCCTCGTGCAGATTTTCTTTAGTATTCAACAGAATAAAAAAGTTCATAAATGTTTGGAAGAGTACATTTTGGAACTTGAGGAAGAGCACATTTTAATTTTGGGTTTGAGCTATCCCTTTAACATCCCCAGCAGGCACAGGATGTCAACATGGTGTCAGATTGACGTTGTATACCCCAACGTCGTGGGATGTTATATTTTGATTGAAAATGAAAATCAGGTTGACGTCAGAATCCAATGTCAGGTCGTTGTCAATGCCTAACATCAGACAGACATTACATTTTGGTTATCTTCCAAAGCAATTTAAAAACAACCAAATATCAATGTCTTATGATGTTACAGCTTGACGTTGTGTAGACGTTACCAATATGACGTCCATCAACGATTTTGGTTGCCATACCTGTTGAATAAACTTCAGTATTTGACGTCAATATGACATTGGTTTAAGATGTTGGCTCGACTTTGGATTTTGGTCACTTTCCAATACAACCTAAAATCAACCAAGTAGCAACGTCATTTCACGTCGTTATTGGACATCAAAATAACATCCTTTATTCTCCTTAGTCCTTAGATGCTGGTGAACTAAATGTAAACTAATATGATGTTGTAGGTCTGCTGGGTCAATACAGCATCACCTTGCAAACACTATCACTAGCTAAAAATATATAGGAGAAAAGTCTGTGGGAAGACCTGATATTTTTAGTGTGAAACAAAAGTCCTGTTCTAAGACCAAATTTTGCTTCCAATCAGGAAATAACTTTCACTTGAGGTTATGGCGGAGGGATGTTGGAACAACGTGCTGATTTGTAGCGTGACCTCTCTGTGCACCAAAACTAAATCATTTGCAGGGGGTGACACAGACCGAATTCCTGAATTTCTTTAAATGCCTCCTTAGAGGCTTTTCTAGACAAACCAAGAAATAAAACACTTTCCCCCCCCTCCCTTGATCTCGCAGTATAAATAGTGCTCAGAGCTCTCAATACACAAAAAAAAACTAGGAATTCTCTCTCTCTGTCTCACTAATAGGATCCAGAAGACCCCTCTCACTGAGTGGAGAGGACTACGGGAGAGTCCTGCAGGGAGGCGACCCCCCCTCCTCTCTCTGCACACTCCTCCCCTCTTACCCATGTTTGTCAGAAGTAACTTTGTACTCGCTGGACAGAGCAGGGCCCATCAATGGAGCCCATTCACCAGAGGGACCTTTAAAGACCCCATTATTTCCTCCATTCACATGGCTTCAATCTTGTCGAGAGGAATTCTCCATATATTCTAAGTGAAGGGAGAACGCAAAAACCGAGCAATTCAGCAGCAGGACAGACCCCACAGGAACACGAGTGAAAAAATCGTTATTAGCTAAAAAAGAAGGAGGTAGAAGGTGCTCTGTAATGGGAAATTGCAGTAGAATTGTATGTAATTTAAAACTGCTGCATGTCCCGGTGACTAAATGGTGTACAGATGGACATCTGGGCCCCTTTAAAAACGCAGCTAGTCTTTTGAGGATCGGAGAAGATTTTCATGCTCATTTTTTTTTCCGGTATCTCATGTTTTTCCCAGCCTTTATTATCAATGGAGGTTGTATCTTTGTTTGGTCCTTCTGGTGACAATTATTCACTCCTCAGCTTGACCTCTAGAGGTCAGCATTGGCGTAAAGCTAGACATCAAGTGTAGCGGTCAAGATCGAACAGCCAACATGAGTGCTCCTCTAGATTTAGCATAACTCTGTGCGTGTGTTTTACACAATTGCCTCGGTGTAACACTTTGGCTGTAGCACATCACTGACAGAGCGTTTGGACTGTGTGTGTGTCACTGACATTGTGAATTTTCCAGGCAAGAGTTGAATCATTAAAGTAGACTTCGCCAGATCAATTGAAACCAAAGTGACCAGACTCTTGCTTGGAAGGAGTCACATTGAAAACTAGATTAGTGTGACCGTTTGTTGTTTTTTAGTAATGCTGGTGTTGTCTTTTTTTGGTGATTTACAAATGAAACTTGCTTGTATTTCCATTAGGAACGTGCCGAAGTAAGAAGACATGGCCCAAAACGTTCCCCGAGGAGGAGCTGAGGAAGCGTTTGACCCCAATGCAGTACCATGTTACTCAGCAGAAGGGCACAGAGAGGTGTGTCACACGGTTTGACAACATTGAGGTGGCAAATGCAGCTGTTTCACTGGCTATTCTTGTTAGCATGGCCGAACTGCAGGTTGATGTTGATATTTCAAGTTTCATTGAAGAAGAAGATTGCTTTCTGTTAGACCAGTGGTTCTCAAACTTTTTTCATCAAGTACCACCTCAGAAAAAAATTGTCTCGAAGTACCACCAAAATGAGCAGTTTTGAAATACAATAGCGTAGTAGGCCCAGTAAAGCAGCTACACCTCTACACATAAAAAAAAAACGTGGCAGATTACCTCAGAAATATAGGCTATATGTCATATATAGCATATTATATTCAATTCAATTCAATTCAATTCAGCTTTATTTGTATAGCGCTTGTACAATGTAGATTGTGTCAAAGCAGCTTCACATAAATGGTCATAGTAACTGGAACAGTGTGGTTCAGGTTTTAGTGTTTAAGTTCAGTTCAGCTCAGTTTAGCTCAGTTCAGTGTAATTTAATCATTACTGAGAGTTCAAACACTGAAGAGCAAATTCATAGATGCGTAGCTCTACCAATCCTGAAATATATACATTATTTTTGATAAATTTTTGAATGTGTGTAGCATGTACATGACATATTTCATTCCTTTGCGTACCCCTAGAAGGAAGCCCGCGTACCACTAGTGGTACAGGTACCACCGTTTGAGAACCACTGTGTTAGACCAATCAGAACCAAAACCCATTGTTAAAGTCACTATGAGACGTGTATTTTCTGAAAAATTGAAAAAATGTGTGCTACAAGTGTACTAAGGGGTATTTAAATCAATAAAAATAATTGTTTTGAATGGGACAACTTGTCCTGGAATATGAAACATAAGCAGTCAAAGCAATATTTTCAAATATGAATTAGATTTAATGTAATGTTAAGTTTTTAAAGCATTGAAATCAATCAGTTTTTGAAACCAACCATTTAAACGTTCATTACTAAATATGTGCATACATTTATTTTTTATTGCATTAATATATTTGAAAGGGGTCATTTGTGGTGGATTGCAAAAAAAAAAAAATCTTTTATTTAAGTGAGAAATCATACAGAATAAGTGAATTTGTCCAAACAATAATAAAGGACGTTGGGTTCCCATTAATTTATTTTATTTTTACCCCTAATATTCAAGTTTTGTCCTAGTTAATGTGTTTTGCTGTGAAACATCAATAGATAGGACATTATCTGAACACATTTCATTATGCGAGGCTCAAAAAAGCATTTGACTTTCTCTCCAAGGCCTTGAGATAGATTGAGTAAATGGAGGATGTAGCATGGAAGGGAAAACACTGACACTTCCCCTCTTTCTCTCCGTCGCTCTGCAGTAAAACACACACGTGGGGAAAGTATTTATCGGCCCATTGGCAGTAGGAATGTGAAAAATGCCCTTTAGTGAAGGTGCATTCTGTGGCCTGCGCCTCTGTTTATCCACAAATCCTCCTCTACTTATCTAGAATAGACATGTCAGTCGATGCCATTCGCTGGTTGTTTTGCATAAACATACAGAGAGAATTGGAAAATGATTTGCAAATTGAAGCGAGCATTTATTGGTAACTATGAACTTTTATTGAGCTCACAAAGAGCGTTAATCGTTTAAATTTATGACTGTTTGTGCTGTTTTATCTTTCTCAGCGCATTCACAGGAAAATATGTCGATAATAAAGAGGAGGGAACTTACCACTGTGTTGTTTGCGGTGCACCTCTTTTCATGTAAGTGCTAATAAATTCTCATTTTATAACAATGCACATCTTATTTAATCTTTATTTAGTTGTTTAGAGTGGCACGTCTTTATTTAAACATCGATATTTTTGTTTTTTGTACCTGCAGGTCTGAAAAGAAGTTTGACTCAGGATCAGGTAGAGTTCTGCACCCACCTATAATAAGAATAATAATCAAAATCTAACAGACACAATAGTATTTTTGCCAAAAAACTTGATTTTACTCTTTTTACACTTTTTGGTTCTATTGTTTGAAGAAGAATCATTATTGCTTCTAGAGCTGCACAATATATTCTTTAAGCTTGATATCGCAATGTGCATATCCGCCATAGTCACGTCGCAGGATTAGATTATTGATTAAAGATCAAAATATAAAGATATTATTATTTTAAAATAATTTATACAATAATGACCTTGTTATTTTATGTTTGATTGTGAATTTCTATATCTGAATACTGTTAGACTCTCCAGGAGACCTTAAAACGCTGTATATTTTACTTTTATCTTTGCTCTGTCGTATTTGTTTATGCTTGTAATTTATTATAATTTATGCATAGAAAAAGACTCAATCATCACAATCTATCTAAATCTTTCATAATAGAGCTATTCAAATCATCTGGAGAAATTAAATTCATATCGCAACACATCGCAAGAAAACTTAAATAGTAACTTTGCAGGATTAGATTATTTATTAAAGATTAAAATATAAAGATATGATTACTTTTATATAATTTATACAATTTTGTTATTTTATGTTTGATTGTTCCATTTTTTTTTATGTTTGATTGGTCATAAATTGTTAATTTCTGTACCTGAATACTGTTAGACTCCCCCAAAAAACAGAAACCGCTGTATATTTGACCTTTATCTTTGCTCTGTCGTATTTGTTTATGCTTTTAATTTGTTATTATTTATGCAAACACACTGGATAGAAAAAGACTCAATCACCTAATCTATTTAAATAAATTAATCTTTCCAAATCTATTCAAATCATCTGGTGAAATTATATTCATATCGCAATATATATATATATATATATATATATATATTGCAAAAAACCAAATGTCTGTACTAAATAATTTCCAATGTCATAAAGCCCTAATTGCTTCTCTAAAAATGAATATTATATTCATTGCTAAACATTACTCTCATCTATCTCTTTTAACTCTTTTACTTTCTGCTGCTAATAAGCTCTAAGTGTGGGGTATGAATTGCAAATAGCCAAAACATTTTTTTAATGAACGTTATCTATTCCCTTCAAGATTAATGTTATTGGCTGCAAACATTCCTTCGCTGTCACAATCTTTGGAATCCTGCTGCTGTTCATTTGCGCATAACAAAATATGTGCACATCAAATAACTGCATGCAAGTTCATCTGATTCTCCTAGGGAGAAGCAAATTTTGGAGGTTTTATTTATTTACTTAATTACTAGAGTTAACAAAAGAGACAAATAATCTCTTGAATTATAGTGTTTTGCTAAGAAAAATACAACATAACGAATGACTTATAAATTTAAAGACATTACATTAAGGGCTCTATGTTATTGGAAAAATCTGATATTGCGATATTTTATTTTTCTGCAATAAATATTGCAATATGAATACAGTCTCACAAGAGTTTAAATAGCTCTATTTGACTGTTTTCTTGGAAATCTAACAGTAATCAGGTACAAAATTGAATAACAACAATGCAAAAAAATGCTTTTCTTAATTTACTTTGTTTGCTTTCTTGTCCAAATTTTTAAAAAACTCTTAGATCAAGTAAGAATATAGTTTCACCTTCAGAAATAAGTCAAAATTAACAGTTTTTCCTTAAAACAAGCAAAATATCTGCCAATTGGGATAGTAAAATAATCTTATTTTTAATTTGAAATGTAGATATTTGGACTAGAAACAAGATAAAAAGTGTTTAAATAATTTAATAAAATTAAGCTTTGTTACACCACGAAACATTGTACATTTTTGTGCCCAAATGTTCTAAACTCTATTGAAATGCTCAGTTACAGACCTTAAAAACAATGATGTGACTATCACAGAGCGCACATTGCGATATCGATGCTGAAACGATATATTGTGCACCGCTAATTACATTTATATTGGCCAACAACAGCATTAGGTTTTTTTTCTTTTCTAATAACAGAATTTTAATAGTTATATTTAACTTAACCCTATTTGAATGCAAACATGTTTGATAGAGCTATATGTAGAAATCATAAAACCTTGAGTGTCACTGTGGACCATTAACTGAACTGTAGCTAGCAATTTTGGCTTGGGCTTTCACTCATAAACAAGTAACGTACAAGAGACTGTATGTCATTCAATGCCCTGGTATATTGATTGTAAAGTTCTTTTTCATTTTGTAAATAGAGGTAGATGGAAAAAAAAGTGTTTTTTTGTTTTAAATCACTTTGATTTTAATGCAGATGTGCAAATAAGATCATAATAATATAGAAATTACTTCAAATGCATCCCATTAAGCTCCTAATATGACCTAAATGGCATTTATTGTTGCATTGACAGTACTTCCTCTTATGACAATAAGGTGTGAATTAAAGACTCTCTTCAGCTCAAGCTAAATGAATGTTAGGTTAATACTGAGAGTACACAATACCATTATAATGTATCACAGCAACGGTTTGTTGATCCCGTACAGATCTGAGCTCCAGATCACATACTTCTACAACATTACACATGCTATTTTTATTCCCCCTCTGAACAAAGTACATGCGTATGCACAAATTCTCTACAGAAAACATAGGGTGGAAATGAGAAACATCTGGCCCCTCCGTTGAAAAATCAGATTTTCGATGGAGTTGAGTCTTTTCTGTCTTGGATGTGGAGAAGGGAGCCAAATGGACTCATATAGACTCAATTTCCTGTTTTGTTAGAGCGCCGTTACACTGCTCCATTCACTAGGCCGTTCGCTTCGGCGATAAAGCTCCATTAGATCAGCTCCGCGACGATCCGCCGGGATTCTCCTGGTCTGACTCATAGGATTCCTATATTCCCCCTAGAGCTTCCTGTGTCTGAGTGGAATTTCGTGGCTTTGTAGTTGCAGCCAAGCATCTCCTCCCTAAGAGGGAGTAGAGAGAGGGGGGGGTTGGCGTAGAGGGCGATTGAAGGGTCGCGGGGGGAAAGTATAGAATGAGTGACTGGACGATTGACTGACTTCTGTTTCTCAACATACGCTGTATCACAGCAGTGAGCTGACTCCTGCTTCCTCAGGTCTGACCTGATATCATTAGGAAAGGAAAGTCAGATGTGAACAAGATGTGCTTTGGATAATTGGGGTCGCAAGCTAAATAAAGGAACCATTCTTGATTTATTATTTAGAAAAGGTACTTAAAAAGTCTAGCGCTAACTTTTTAAGGGTCTTAAGTTGCGTTAAGACTTTGAAGTTCCTAAATTTGGTGACAAAGTGATATGTTTTTTATTTATTTGATACACGAAAAACAGTGTTCACATACCGCCATTTAAAATTTGAGATCGCCATTTGCTGACCATGGCTGTAATTAAATACACAGAATACAAAAATGTAAAATATTACAAATTGAAAGGACTTTTATGATTTTAAAATATATTAAATGTATTTAATTCTACATTTGATGTTTTAAAAGACTTTTCTCAGGGTTTTTTTGCTGAATACAGTTTATTATTACAGTTAATTGTTTATTTTTTGCAGCGATGGCAAAGAAGATAAAAAAACAATAATAATAATTTTCATGGTGTAAAGACCATTTTAATAATCTCAAGAACCCCTTTATACCATAATAGAACCTTTCATGCATATTAATACTTAAATTATAGATAATTATACATATTAAGAACATTTTGTTCAACAGAAAAGTTCTATAAATCTTAATGGAATAGAGGTGAATAGAAAACCTTTGTCTTTAAGAGTGTTGAAAGAACTAGTCAGTATGTCCATGCTAAAAGTAAAAGAAATAGAAAAGTATAAACTTCTCAATAAAAAAAAAAAAACATTGACACATACCTTTAAATGGAAGTTTAATGCAAATATTGTTTTATTAGTAATTGGTCTTATTCAACACAAATAAATCATAAAAAGCTTTCATTTTTGAATTCATCTTGTGGAGTGTTTGAACATTAAACACAGTCATTATTTTTTGCAAGTCTGGTGTTGCAGAAATTACACACTTCATCTACAGTGTTTTGAAATGACTGCATTAAAAATAATCAAATATACAGAATACAAAAACGTGAAATATTACAAATGGAAATGACTTTAACTATTTAAAAATATTGTAAAATGTAATTAATTTAGCATTTTCAGCTGCAGTTTCTCAATTTTCCTATAAATCCTTCAGAAGAAATACTTTATAGGAAAGATTCTTGTTAAGAAACATTTTCCATATTTGTTTGCTCAATACAGTTTTTTAAATTTTTTTTTTGGCAGAAATGCCAAAGAAGAACCTTTCAATAATCACCTTAAATAGTGTAAAGAACATTTTTATAATCTCAAGAACCCATTTATACCCTAATAGTACCTTTCATGCATAATAATACTTCAATTTTAGATAATTATACATATTAAGAACATTTTGTTCAACAGAAAAGTTCTATAAATCTTAATGGAACCATCAAAGCCAATAGAGAACTTTTATTTCTTAAGAGTGTAGAAGGAACTAGTCCATGCCAAAAGTAAAAAAAAACAGAAAAGTATAAACCTCCCAAAAAAAAAAAAAAAAAAAAAAAAAAAACTTACTGACATAAACCTTTGAATGGAAGTGTGATGTAAATATTGTATTATTAGTAACTGGTCTTATTTAATTAAACACAAAAAAATCATAAAAATCTTAAATTTTTTAATCAAGTTTGTTGAGTGTTTGAACCTTAAAAGCAGTCATTATTTTTACAAGTCTGGTGTTGCAGAAATTACACACTTCATCTACAGTGTTTTGAAAAATGATTGGATGTGGTATACGCCACAGTGCCAGTAGCCTTTTACTTCTCATTTGTTCCGCTTAACTTAATGTGTTTCCCCAGTAATCAGGAGGTAATTGTTTAACGTTTGTAGGGCTTTTGTCAAAAATCTAAACAAATATGCCAGCACAGGCTGTGTAGTTGTAAGCTCCCAAGGTTCCTCTCCTCCAGACGTTCCACCTACCCAGAGAGCCATGAGCTGGACCACCCATGAGCAGCCATTCTTTCCACTTACACTCCTGTTACTGGGTAGAAATTTTCCAGATGAAAGAAACAGGATTGAGAGACAGCCTGTTACTCTGCAGATAACACAGACTATTTTCAGGGAGGTTTGTTTCCCTTTTTGACCTCTTGAGATGTCAACCAGCCATGTGCTAGGACAGTTGGATGATCCTTATAATTCTAGTTTATCCATAAATCAAACATCTAACGATTGTGTTGGTCATTTTTGCATTACCAAACACCAAATATGCTTTGCCACCTTTGTTTTTAAACAGAAGGAATAGACTTTCAATAATGGACCCTTTTTACATTTCCGGGTTTCTCCGCAGCAAATTAGAGCACAGGGAGAGTTTCATAAATAAATTTGTAGCATTCCTATTTGCTTAAATAAAACAATAAGTCGGCGCCAGTGGTGTAGTGGGTAGTGCATTGACATATGCACTCCGGTGTTCGCGGTGACCCAGGTTCGATTCCACCTCGCGGTCCTATGCTGATCCTTCCCCTCTCTCTGCTCCCCATGCTTTCCTGTCAATTCTCTCTACTGTCCTATCGAAAATAAAGGTGAAAACCCTGGAAAAATAATTATAAAAAAAACCCAAAAACAATAAATAAATACTGCACAATAGATATACCACGACTTTCGGGAAAAAATGTATGAGACTGATAAAGGTAGCCAGAAGAGTGTCCATGTCAAATTTATCTTCCTGCCCATAGACCTTGCACAAGCAATAACTAGCCTAAGCATTAGCTAGCTAACTATTAACTGATGCAGAGATGATAAAATGCAAAGAATAGTTTCATTAATGTAAAATCTTTTACTGATATTTAAAAGAAACGTCTTGCACTACATTTGCTGAACTGGAATTGGGCATCTGTAAGTGAGACATCACAGCTTTGGAATCCCCCCAGGCGATCACTAAATCATGTTGTGAATAGGGTCAATTGTAACAAACTGTCAACCACTTCCAGAGATAGTCGAAAATGTATTTGACCAGATTAGACCCTCTCATCAAGAAATCAGGAAAGTGGTCAAAAAATTGGTAGAAGAGACAGATTAAAACTCCTGGTGTAAATGGGAACATTTCCCTCATTTGCTTGTGACCCAATCAACCGAAATGCATCTTAATACCAGGTGTACATGAGGTATGCAAGTTTTACTTCAGTTGCAAAACAAAAATCTACATGGAGAGATTGGCAGGAAATGTGAGAGATTTTACCCAGGAAGAACTTCAGTACACTAAAACTCTTAAAATTATAGGTTTGTGTCATTAACTCTTAACGCTGTACTGCTTTTGCAGGATGGCCTTCTTTTTTCGATTTGATCAATAAGGACGCTATAGCTCAAACAGATGACTTTTCATACGGAATGCACAGAGTGGAGACAACCTGCAGTCAGGTACAAAATCAGATTGACCTTTTTATGCTCAACTTTGAAAGCACTGTTCTTTAAATTTGACCTCTTCTTTAAAGTGTGGTGCTCACCTGGGCCACCTCTTCGATGATGGACCTCGACCAACAAAGAAACGCTACTGCATAAACTCGGCCTCACTCAGTTTCCAGCCCAAAAACAGTGCCACTGAGGAAGTGGAGGCATCTGGAGCAGCCGGTCAATCATCCACTAGCAAGAATGAAGAACTTTAATCGGACTTGGAAGAAGATCAGATCAACTCCAAAGTCACTCCAACTGTCGATTCCAAATCAAGTGAGCTGTGCAATCATGCTTAGCAACATTGGTCGGAATGATGGGTCCTTCAAAGATCAGAATACGCAATAATATCAGTGTTCAGATATCAGATTATAATGGCCTTATGTTTTCTCCTTAACTTCTGCACTTTAATTATTGCGCCATTTGAAGAACTCGCTTCACTTCCATAAAATTTACTCAGCTAAACTGTTATTGAACACTCAGTGGTGGTTTTAAAATCTAGATAACTATAATATTTTTCTGCTACAATGTGTGAGACCAAATCTGGGGTTTTAAGTGAACTTTTTAAAATGTCTTCTCATTTAAAACAAAAGCTTCCAGAATATTTGCGTACAAAGAAACATCCCTGCAGGCACAGGACACCAACATGATGTCATATTGACGTTGTACCACAACAAACCCCAAAGTCGTGGGGACTTTTTTTGGATATTAAAATCGGGTTGACGTCAGAACCCAACATCAGGCCGTCGTCAGTGTTCAACGTCCAACCTAAAATCAACCAAATGTCTACATCTAATCATGTTTCACCTTAACGTTGTGTGGACAATACCACTATGACATCTATCAGTCACTTTCCATCTTAAAATCAACCAAATATGAATGTAATTTGACGTCGTAATTGGACATCAAAACCAACATTGCCCTTAGACGCTGGCTAGACATTGAGTTTTGGTCAACTGACATCATGACCTGTATCTAATCTTACGTCTTATGATGTTGTGTGCCTGCTGGGATTGTGGTGGAATACTAATTAGAACTATTTGACTCTGTACAGACGGTTAGACGCTCTTCCATTTAAAGATCAAGACTCTTTGGGTTATTTTCAAATCCTGCTAGAGAACATGATAAACATCAGGTTGATGTTGAATTTTTCATTGAAATTTTAACTCGCATTGTTACTCTAATAATATTCTTCATGCATTTTTTCACTAGTGGTCTCTGACTTTCTGGACCCCATTGTATATTGAAAGCCTAGTCATTGGAAACAAATTCTAGATGTGTGCTTTCTCAGAGCGCTGTGTTGTTTTTGAAGTGACATGTGATACAGGGAGGTCAAGAAGTTTGGAGAAAATGCTATGCGAGTGCTCCTGTGAGCAGTAAAATAAGCACCGGTCGGAGAACAAAGCATTCTTTGAAATAAAATGGAACAGATGACAAATGTTTAGTCTGAACACAAATGTAGCCTGACTTTTAAGGGTGCTTTTTTTGGTCTCCCTGCTTGCAGTGCCTATTTTCGTCTTGAGTTGATATCGTTTTTTTTTTTTCTTGAGATAAAGTTTCACATAGATTGATAAAAATAAATTCTTATTGACCAGTGTGGTTAAATAATTATTATGAATAATGTGGTGTTCTGAATTTGTTTAAACATGTAAATGCATATTGTACATGCATTATTGGGATTACACTAATTGCAGTTTTACTGTTTGACTTGTATTAAATGTTTATCATTGATCCATTGATTTATTTATGCGCTTCAAAATCAGACACAGTGTGCACAAAAAGTGCGGACAAGTGGTCTGTTTTTTCAGTTACAGCTTTCTTAGTGCTTCGGAAGGTGTGAATATAGCACGCTAGTTGTGTGTATGGTGTGTTTTTGTCCTTCAAGCTTGACAGCTCTTGTCACTGTGTTGTTTACTGTATGTAAAATATCTACTCGAACATATGGAAAATTCTCTGTTGCATTCGACCAAAGAAGTCCTGCAAGTTTGGAACCGAATGAGGGTAAGAAAATGTTAATGTACAAACTTAAGGACTACTCCACTTTTTTTTAATCATTGTGCCTGCTGAAGCCAAGATATGCAACAATTACGCCAGAATGAGAATTTAGTTGCTAGCCGCATCAACAAAAAATAGCAACATTTAATATTCTGTCAGTCTTAGTACATGATGCAAATACAAGTGTCAAACTTTAATTAGGAGAATTATGATCGACTATATATATATATATATATATATATATATATATATATATATATATTTCTTTTCTTGGTTGAACTCGTGTTTATTTAAAATGAGCCTATTTTGCAGAAAAAGTGGAGTGTTCCTTTAAATCAGGGGTCACCAATCTTTCCTGGAGGGTTGGTGTCCCTGCAGGGTTTAGCTCCAACTTGCCACAACACACCTGTCTGATTGTTTCAAGTATACCTAGTAAGACCTTGATTAGCTTGTTCAGGTGTGTTTGATTATGGTTGGAGCTCAACTCTGCAGGACACCGGCCCTCCAGAAATAAATTTGGTGACTCCTGCTTTAATAGAAAGCAAGAAAATCACAATTGCATATCTAGCTAAATTTCCATTTTACCAAACGTGTACTAATTAAAATTTGGTTGCAGCAGGAAATCCAGACACCCTTTATGTCCTCTTTGGGATGACTGGCCTTTGATGCTCTTGGTGAGCTGCTGGAAATCCTCCAAGACTGGAGGGGTGACGTCAGCCTCACCATCCTCTTTGGAGTGCTGTTGTTTAGAGAACAGAGTGGTTGGCCTTACTCTGAGAGTGTGGGAAAAATCGTCCAACAGGCCTGTCGCTGAAAGCGTTTACGTTACCGATGCAATAAAGAATATTTACAAGTCAGGTGTGTTTAGACTGAGGGACGGTGGTGAGGGGGGCTTTCGGCGGAGAATGGAGGTTTTGAGGGGACTGGCAGCTGGAGTGTCTCACACTGGCTTTCAACCCCATATCATCTCCCACCCGGAAGTCAAACAACTTTGTCATTTATAGAGCCAAAATGAACGAGCGTGACACTCTCGGTAGGTAGCGTGACTACTCAAACCGTTACAAAACTTTCTTTTCTCGCTGGAGTTTCAAAACAACCCGCCGAAATAACTCACATCTTGTCTCTGGCTTAGACATTGATGCTTTCATCACAGTGTGTAGGCAAACCTTATGCCTTAGTCTGTTTCCACGTTCAGACTGTATGCCTCACTTCCTGCCACCGAAGTGTCACCCCAAACAGGTCATACTATATCTTGTCCCACTGGCCCCATTAGTCTGTTCTATGAAAGCACTAAACCAAACAACAGAGCCCCTGCCAGCAGCAGTACAACCCAAACACACAGTCCATGATCCACAAAAGTCATCCAACACATAAACACCTCCCTCGAACCCTGGGAGAAACACTAGAATTTCTTTGTAGGCTGAACGCTCCCATTCACAGATTCTTTGGGAATGTATGTGTGCAAGCCCCCTTCTTTCCTGCTTCATGGCCTGCTATTAACCGAGGCTCTGTGCTGACTTTGAGGGATTACAGGGCCTTTGCACAGACCTGCCTCTGTGTTCCCCTGAAAATGCTTGCTTGTTTTAGACCACAGCTTTGTTGCAAGCACAGGAAACCTTGAATTTAACAGGGTTTATGAATTATTAGTGTTAGTTTTCTCCTTACTTCCTTCCTTCAATCTGTGGAGGACCTAAAATTTAATTTGATAATAAATCAGACCCCTTTGCCAATCATTCTCTATCCCCCCCATTTAGTCTCATATTCAAAGGTTGTGAAACGCTTGTGCAAACTGAACTGCAATTAGGTGCTTGGGAAGCAGTGGAAATGGTCTCTGTTTGGCTTTCCAAGCACCCAGTCTCCTGGCTATGCAAAGAAGTTCTGTTTTTACACAAATCCAAAACTGAACAAGTTGCCCTTAATATATGTGGCTGCTTGCATATACAGAATTTATGGGCATTAAGGCCTACATCCATATTATTTTTAACGGCATAGAAAAGAATGACCTGGACACTCATGTTGGGTTCAATATAACAATCTCATACAGGTTTGAAATAACATGAAATTATTGAATCCTTTTGGTGTAGAGGAGGAGTGTCAAACTCAGTTGCTGGAGGACAATAGCCCTGCAGATTTGAGTTCTAACCCTACTTCAACACACTTAAGCCGCGGTCACACTAGAGTTTGAGCTTCCGAAGTTCTGTTGTACAGTACTGCGAAAAGAGGCATGGTTATTTTAACTACAGCGACTGTTCCATATTTTAAATTCCTGTACAGAAAGGTCATGCTTTGAAACCTCAACTGATGTCACGTAGTCAAGTGATGCGATTTCACAGATCAGAGTTTACCAAGCTTGAACTTTCCAACGCATTGATCTGCAAAACTTGACGCACAAGCTTGCATTTCCGGTCTGACATATTCGATGCGTATAAATGGTAGTCTATGGGGGAAAAAGTATAGTGTGATCGTAGCTTTACCGGTAGGTTTCAAACAAACCTGAGGGGATCAATTAGTTTTATCAGTTGGTGTGTTTAATTAGGGTTAAAGCTAATCTCCAGAGCTGTGGCCCTCTGGTAACTTGACACCACTGGTGTAGAGTCAGGTAATTACAAAAGTTTACACCTTGAAACTTTCAAGTTTCTTTTACATATTAGACGTGACCTAAAGCAGGGATGTCCAAACTTGGTTCTGGAGGGCCTGTGTCCAGCATAGTTTAGCTCCAACTTGCCTTAACACACCTGCCTGGAAAATTCTAGTATTCCTAGATAGAGCTAGATAGAGCTTGATTATTAACTCCAGGATCGAGTTTGGGCACCCCTGACTTGAAGGAGCAAGAGTGAAGGATACGTCTTTGGAGGCTTATCACAATTTATTACAAAGTCTTGAAAACCATTCCTCATTATCCTAGAAGAATTTCTTCATACCAAGAATCCTAACAGCCTTGTTAAATTCAAAATGATTTCCCCCTGCATTCGGGATGTTTTGAATGTCATAATCTGGGTAACTGCAGAAGCCAAAAAAAGGGAGGAAAAATCACTGCAGTGAGAGTGAAAAAATAATTTGTGGAATAATGTGGCTGTGCCAGCTCTATCAGACATTTGTCTGATGGATGTATTGTGACTCCTTTCCTGGAGAAAGTCAGTGATCTCATTTCAACTCTGTTAACTTCTGCCAAGTATTTACTTTTTTCAATGAGCAGTGTGGGGGCAGAGGGACAGATTCTGCCTGTGGCCTCACTCCAAATCGTGCAGTTTGACAGAAACCACATGAAGGTCCGAGGGTTTGCAGTATAGCCTAGGTCTCAGTGCATTACCAGGCTCTTTCTGTACCAACAACTCAAGGTTGCACCAATCCCAAACCCTAAAGCCAACAAATTCAAGATGGAAATTGGCACTAGTTTCAATATTAAACTAAATGAAACTACCCGTTCTATCAACGGTTGTTTTGCATGGCATTTGCTGAACTGGAATTGGGCATCTGTAAGTGAGACATCACAGCTTTGGAATGCCACCAGGCGATCACCACACCACCTCTCCGGCATGCTGAACATAAATAAACCCCAGGATCTAGCCGCCTTGTTATTCCTAGCATTGCTATCAGGAAGTGTCCAGCGGTGATCTATGCTCTTCAAATAGTTCATTTGCAGCCTCGGTAAGACATTCTTTTCCCAGGACAGGGAATTAAAAAGCAGCTCTGTGTTTTGAAGTTGGTCAAGGGGATGAGGCTCACCATGACCCCTGTGTTTGGTTTAGGAGTACGTGCTGTTATTCTGGACGTGTGTGTTTGTCTGCAGCTGGTGTATGGGAATGAAGATTCCAAGTGCAGCATCCCTTCGGCCGGAGAAACGTAATTTCTGTCCCTGTTTGTTTTGAATCTGCCAGGTTGTTTTGACTGCTTAAGTTTGCATCTTGAGCACACATCCTGATGAACCCAGTGAATGTGTCCTCCACGTGACCCTGCAGCTGTCTGAGCGGATGCTTTGGGAGAACTTTAATAGGTGATGAGTGCAGAAGTGTAACTTTTTACAGACAAGTAAAATCTGACTCGTTGTTGTGAAGGGAAACTTAAGCATTAGGATGGAGACAGTTTTGGAATGTAAGCGAGCTGGTTTAATAAAGAATCTGATGTGCTTCTTATGGAGCCTTCGGATAATAACCAAGGGGAGCCTTTGTTTTGCAGGGAAAGGAATGGAGCCGAACCATATTGACACAGGGAGATGTGGTGAAAGGTCATTTAGTCTTTAAGTAGAGGATGTATGGAACATGTTAACCATGTGATTAATTATTAGGTAGAGGTGTGTGTTTGTGAGAAAGGAAGTTCAGAATGGCATTCAGATTCTGGGATCAATTAGGCCTCAGAGAAAGTGGAGCGAAATTGTGGCCACTGGGCCTCTTGTTTCGTTGCCAAGTTCTGCGGTTCATACCATCGAGCGAAAATTAGCTCTTATAAAAGAATATTCAAGAGCTGACACCATAAAACTGACAGAGGGCATTTGTGCCTTTGTAGTTTCAGCCTGTGCAGATCTTGAATCTGGAGGAAAAGACGAGATTAAGGTTCTTAGCTGGCCCCCTCTCTCTGAGAGCCCATGGGAGAAAAGCCAGTATCTCAAAGCTCGGAGTTAAATATAGAATGGTTACAAAGCGCTCATGATTTGCATACCTGAGAATAAAATGATCCTGTTCTGGAACAACTTAGCGGTGGAAGCCATGGGAATTTCCCTGCGCTGCAGCCCAGAAATGTGGAAAATTTTCTGGAGAATTGAGCAGTTCAGAACAACTGCTTTTTGAGTTAAACTCTGACTTGAAAAAGTAAGTATATGCCTTGGACCAAACAACTTCATTCACCGTTTCCCATAAAAAGAATCAGACTAGGTAGTTTTTATGAGAAAGGATAAAAAAGGTAGTGATTTCTGTGCATTAATGTGAAATCTTTCTTGAGGTGCAAGGTGGGGGGTGATTGTTTTAAAATCATTTGCCAATGTTTTGGTTGATGTCTGTGGATTTAGCTACAACTTTGAGATATGTCGCACGAAACTGAAGAGCGGAGGAGGGGATATGTTGAGCGAAAACTGAAGTGGGGGGGAGGGGGGTTGTTTGGTGTCGCTAGGGCACTTCAGATCACTTTGGAAGGGCACTTTCGATTTAATACTAAAAAGGGCATGTGCACTGCACAGGTTGAGCCCTATGTGTGCACGTGCCTGGTAACAATTCAAGTCATTACCTAGAATCGGTATATAACTAGGTACTTTCTGTAAACTTACCTCTGAAGCTAACCTTAACCCTTGTTGCTAACTTGTATAACCTGGTACTTTCTTAGGTAGGAACATGTTAGAGATACCTTGTTTTGTGATTGGCAATTTATGACTCAAGCTTTTTTGCTGAAAATCAGTTTTGACTTGGCTGCATGCTCTTGCATTTTTAAAGCAAATTTGCATGGTTGTTTTGCTTGCTGAGTAAATAAGTTTGCTGTGTGTGTGTTGATAGATGAACTACTACATCTGAGGAATGAAAGAGTTCAAATTTAAAGTATATCACCAAAAGCCAAAAACTCTAACATAAACAGAAAACTGTAAAAACGTGTGTACAGGTCTTGACACGTAATTGCTAAGGAGCACCAAGTAAACACTTGAGATCTGCTTACAAAAACATTTTTTCCTCATTGACGCTTTTTTTACTTTTATGTTCTCTTTTTACTTTCTTTCTAAAGCAAGAGAACTTGCCTCTGGCTCCCTGGGCGGCAGGGAGCATTGAGCGAACGCCAGATCTTTAGGATGTCACCACTGCTCAGTTGCTTCCACTTAGCCTTCCAGACTTTCCCCTGGCTTCCTTTCAAAACAAATCTTGGAGCGGGCCCACAGAAAGTGCATTCTTTCAGAGTCCCTGTGAGCAGTGCTCACGCGCTCCGCTGCTGCCAGAGGATGGCCAGTCAGACGCTCTGAGACGGCATTTATTTACACTATCCACACCAGAAAGCATGTACATGTGAGATGCATATTGTGCATCCAATGTACTTTTTCCTAATATGATCAACTGCCCAAAGAGTTAGTCAACCAAATAAAATGTTTTTATTATTAATTACTCAACCTTTGTTTAACTCTTGACTTTTTTGAGGTCCTTTTTGAAAGTTGTGTGACCATGGAGGATGAGAGAGCTCTCAGATTTCATCTAAAATATCTTAATTTGTGTTGCGAAGAACAACAAAAATCTCAGGGGATTTGGAAAGACTTGAGGGGGATTGATCAGTAACCGGGTTGGTCCCACTTTATATTAAGTGTCCCTAACTACTATGTACTTACATCAAAAAATAAATACAATGTACTTACTGAGTTTATAATGTATTTGAGAACACTTGTGGTGCTTTTGAGTTGGGATAGAGGTTGGGTTATGGACAGGTTTGGTGGCATGGGTAGGTTTAAGGGTGGGTTAAGGTGTAAGGGATGGTCAACAGTGTATTTACAAATGTAATTACAAAAGTTAATTACAGATGTAATTACATACATGTATTTAATCAAGCATAAGTACATGGTAAATACATTTATTTACACAATAAGTACATTGTAACAAACTATTAATTACTATGTAAGTACATATTAGTTAAGGCCACTTAATATAAAGTGGGACCCAAACTTTTTGTGCATTTTTGTCATTCACACCAGAAAAAAATGTCATTTGGGTGTCTGAAAGTACGAACTATTTCCATAGCGATGCTATATGTCAAGTTACAAATCTAAGGAGATGCATGAGGACTGCTCAATCAAAACCAAGTCAGAATACAAGACTTTATGTGTGCAGATGTGTAGAGCTTCTTAACATAGTGACATCGCCATCTACTGGCCTGGCATGCATACTACTACATTGTTAGTTGACTGGTAATGTTTGTTATTATAAGGTCTGATATTAGCGCTAAAAATACAGATTAATTGAATTGAAAAATTCAAATTAGGGCGACACAATGGCTTATTGGTAATTACTGTCGCCTCACAGCAAGAAGTTTGCATGTTCTCCTCGTATTCGCGTGGCTTTCCCCACATTCCAAAGACATGGGCTATAGGTTAACTGAATAAACTTAACTGTCCGTGGTGTATGTGTGTGAATTAGTTTTTATAGATATTTCCCATTACTGGGTTGCAGCTGGAAGGGCATCGGCTTTGTGAAATATATGCTGGATAAGTTGGTGGTTCATTCCGCTGTGGTGACCCTTGATGAATAATGGGACTAAGCTGAAGGAAAATGAATGAATAAAGGAAAGCTCAAATTATAAATTCAGTTGGAAAAGGCTCAAACATGGGTTGACTTGACAAACTTTGGTGTCGCCTTCCACCACCCAAGCAAATGAGTTTAACTTAGTTTGCTTTAATCTACTGTTTTCCTGTTGGCCTTGGCAGGTGTTTCATGGTGATTTAGTGTAGTTTTACTTCCTCTGTTTGCTTAGGCTAATGGTAAATGGGCTTTTGGCAAATTCTTCACCTGTTTGAGTAGTGAGATTAGGCAGATGTTAGGGTTCGGTCCATTGAACGAAGACACAAAATCTTTTTTCTTGGCAGGATCAGTACATAAAAATCAGTGGAAATAATCTCAAATACTTTTGTTTTTCAGTTTCTTCGGTATTCATATTTAATTGGCAACTATTTTATAGCGTTTGTTTGTGCAAATTGTATTGTTTCTCCATGAGATTGGGTTGTGTAAACATTTTATTAGCAGTTTTGATTATTGATTTTCAGATTAGACATAACTATTTGATGACAGGTTGCTCTTGTTAAACTCAAGTAAGTTCTTAACTGTGTTTTATTTGAGTCTATCTTTGTCTAAAATGTTTCTTTTTTATTATTTTTTTTAATATGTTGCTTGATACTACTTGAGTAACTTTTCATGGCTTGGAGGATTCTTAATCGTAAATTTTTTGTACACTTTAAATATAAACACTGTTTCGATGTTAAATATTGATATAGTTTGAGACATTGGTTTTGCTTTTGAAACTAGAAGTGACGTATGCTATTTTTAAATATTAAAAGAGAAATTTTATTTTCTCAGACTGTGTCCTTATTTATTATAGAGTTAATAATGAGTATAAAGATTAACATGACAATTAATAGATTTTTTTGGGGGCTGTACACTGAAAAAAATATGTCTGCAGAATTGTTGCAAACAATTTATATGGGTTAAATTTACACAAACAATATAAGTTTAGCAATGTTCAACCTAATTTGTTTGTTTAAATTCAGCCCAAATAAATTGATTACAACCACTTAACTTGCAAGGAATCATCTTTGAATAATTCTTTCTGTGTACAATAATCCTTAATTTTTAATGGCAGCAAATGATTCTTGTTCTAAATATGCCTGACAAGATTTTTTTAGCAAAATATAATGTTGTTAAACTGAATGAAAATTTAGTGGCTGTATCCTCATGAAAAAAAAAAAATTAACAAAAACATGCACATCAATCTAAACTGTGTGCTCTGCCAAACCAAAGTTACGCAAACATATATGAAAAGGCGAAAACACCAAAAGTATTAAATTTGCAGCATTTAATATTTCTATGACATCAGATGAAGAGCCAGTGTGCTCGAAACGTTACAATCTGTGAGCTGTTTTAAGGGAATAAATGTAATACTTTTGGAGCTTTTGGTGTTGCCGCTGGATTTGTGTACAATCATGGTAAAAATTATAGTGATTTTTATCATACAAAAAGAGGAGACATTCTAGTGTACAGGGTAAAAAATGAATTGCACATTCATTGATTTTGAATCTTGAAAACTTCCTCGGCTTTGATCCGCATACATGTAGTTTATAATCTGTAGATAATGTTAGGTCATTTTGATTTTTTTTAGCTTTTACATAAATGCATATACTTGTTTTACCATATCTTTTCTTGTTAATCAGCACAAATACACAGTAAAAACCAAAATACAAAAAAAAAGCAGTGAAAAGCACAGATTGTTTAATGCTTTTTATTTTGTGTGTGTGTGTGTGTGTGTGTGTGTGTATTTTGCAGGTAGTGACAACATTGACCTTTGCAGGCCCTCATTCACTTTTTTCTATCATCCCACATTCCCAACATTCCTGATGGAGCAGGCCTCACCAATCACCTCCTCAATCCAGACAGAGGCCACAAGACTGACCTTTGCTCCGCAATGGAAAACCACACTCCAGGTGAAGGTATGCAGCTTTAGCTTAAGTGTGTGTCCTTATCCCTAAGGTCTACACGCTCATTTACTTAACAGGGAACTGATCAATAACTGGAGTTACTGACCCACAAAAACCTTTCAAGTCAAAATGTAAGGAAGTCACTTAGTCTAGAATGAATCAATGACCATTTTAGTGATGCAGACTTATTAAAGACAATATATTACATTATATATTTGGATTTAACACCATTTTACCAAACCGTTGTTCATGCGCATAAATAGCAATCACTTTTTTTCTGGGCAAGGAGTGTACCTTGAGGCACTTACAATGGAAGTAAATGGGCAAATTTACTTAACATTAAGTTATTTTCATTTCAGTTTTTTCATTTGGTCTTCATCTTAAGCCTTATTGGATTTAATAAATGTTCATTGTTATTAATTAATTCTATGTATAGTTTTATATATTGTCTAATTTATATTTATAGCTTTGCTTTCAGTTAACATTTAAATTGAGCATTTTTGTAAATGCTTTTAGAATTCTGTTGTTCTTATTATTATGATAGATAGATAGAGTCACTGTCCATTTTATTAGGTACACCTGCCCAATAGACTGGTTCGAGCTGATGGAACGGCAACAGTAACTCAAACAATACTCGTTAAAAGCGAGGTATGCAGAAGAGCATCTCTGAAGGCACAACACATCCAACCTTGAGGCAGATGGGCTACAGCAGCAGAAGATCACTCCGGGTGCCACTCCTGTCAGCTAAGAACAGGTAACTGAGACTACAATTTGCACAGGCTCACCAAAATTGGACAATAGTAGATTGGAAAAACGTTGCCTGGTCTGATGGGTCTTGATTTCTGCTGCAACATTTGGCGTCAATAACATGAAAGCATGGACCCATCCTGCCTTGTATCAACGGTTCAGGCTGGTTGTGGGGGTGTAATGGTGTGGGGGTTACTTTCTTGGCACACTTTGGGTCCATTAGTACCAATTGAGCATCCTGTTAACACCACAGCCTAGTATTGTTGCTGACCATGTCCCTCTCTTAATGACCACAGTGTACCCATCTTCTGATGGCAAGTAACCCGCATGTCATAAAGCATGAATGATGTCAGACTGGTTTCTTGAATATGACAATGAGTTCACTGTGCTCAAATGGCCTCCACAGTCACCAGAACTCAATCCAATAGAGCACCTTTGGGATTTGGTGGAACGGGAGATTCGCATCATGGATGTGCAGCCGACAAATCTGCAGCAACTGCTTGATGCTATCTTGTTAAAATGGACGTAAATCTCTGAGGAATATTTCCAGTACCTTCTTGAATCCATGCCACGAAGAATTAAGGCAGTACTGATGGCAAAAGGGGGTCCATTCCGTTACTACTAAGGTGTACCTAATAAAGTGGCCGGTAAGTGTAGAACGATATTTATATAAAAAATTTGATACAGGCTGAATCTCAGTTAATGTAAAATAATATGCATTATAAATTACACAAAATCTAGTCACAGTCCTCAGTACGTTTTTTTTTTTTTTTTTTTTTTTGAGATCAGAAATGTTCCGCTCTCTTTTTAAGGCTCCCTGTCCCGCAGACCAACGCTCCATAAATGTGTCAATGAAAGCAAGTTAATTCAAGAACAGGCCAGAATTGATCAGGGCTGTGTATGAATGATTGTTGAATGTATGTGTGTGAGTGTGTGTTTGTATTTGTGCACAGATGTGTGTGTGTGTCTAAGAGAGAGACGGGGACATCATGCCTCTGAAAATATTTCCTCCGCTGGAAAAACATTTGCCTTCGAGGAAAAACTCACAAAGCTGCGGTTTGCTGCAGCCAATAGAGATTCTGTACTGACCAAAACTTGCTCTATTCATAAACTTTACATGTGTCTCCGCTTGGCCAAAGCCTGTCTTGAGCATAGCTGGGATTTCTGTCGCCATATGACGGAAGAGGAATTTCTTTTACAACTACTGTGTGAAAGTCAAATAAACAGAGACATACTCACCGACTTACCGCCATCGATAACAGTCACTTTTCATGACTTCAGTTTCCAATAGTTCACATTCAGACTTGCTCACTGAAAGGATTTTTTGTCTAATTTAGGCAAGGGAAAAAATATAAGGTTAAAATTATACAAATATAATTCTAATTTTATTTTACAATGTAATGAGAAAAAGAGGGATTTTCTGTTATAACCAGCCTGGGGGGATGATTTCGAAAATGTCGCAAGTTGTGTCGTAACAAACGTAGTTCATTGATTTGGTATTCCCCAAATCCATTGTTCCAACGAACATTGGAAAACTGCGTCACAAACTTCTTTGCTTGACCCTCTATGCTACACCTCTAGAGCTAGTTAGAAAAATTCCAGTTCTATTCCCAGTTATCTCCCCCTATGCCCTATTCATTTAGAACATTCTAACATTTAAACTTGGAATGATAAAAAAAAACATTCAAGTCATCTCTCCTAGGTGTAATTAGCTTTCAAAGCATTTTTAAAGTCCAGTTTTAGCGATCTTCATGTTTACAATTGCGCTTATATAGTGCACTTTGAAAACATTGATGTTATTTTAAACACAGCCGTGGTTCATGACAACAGCTATAGGTGACCTGTTATTTAAAAGTGGAATTTATGTTCAGTCTCCAAAGCTTGAGAAAAACAAAAAACATGTAGCTTACGTTAACTGTTTAAATTTATAGTAGATTATTTATTAAGTATCTGAACTATATATGACATGGGCCTGTTAGTTAGAACATTTCTGCAGTGGTTTGCATGTCAAACTGTAAAAGTAGACTTAAAAATAAACAAAATCCTACTTAATAATAATAATAATAATAATAATAATAATAATAATAAAAATTGTCATCATCGTATATATATTTTTTTTGACTAAAATTCAAGTTAATTGTGTTCAAAAAATATATATTGAAAAAATATATATTTTCAATTTGTTCATATTTGTATGTAATAATAAATAAAATAAAGAAAAAATAAAATAAATAGGCTCCTAATCATTTAAATCTAAAGATGTTTGTGTTGCAGTCGTAATCAAATCGTTCCCATTTTTATTAGTAATCCGTCGAAACGTTCTTAATGTACTTAATGCTGTAAATGTGTAAGAGATGAAGCAGTGACTGCTGTATTCGTGTCTGATGTGCACTGAGAGAGAAAGTGTCAGGACAGATTGATCAGGGCTGGAGTGGGGAATGTGTTCATTTGGCGTCCTCTAAACTGCAGTGAATGGGAGTGTTAGTTGTCCACTTCTCTCATCTGTGCCGGCAGATGGAGCCTTTGGCCTGCCAGCACACACACACACGCACACGCACACACACACACACACACACACACACACACACACACACACACACACACACACACACACACACACACACACACACATTTACAGCTGCTACACACCTTCAGTCTGTTCATGAAGTTTTGAGTAATCTTTCGTCCTAAAACATTAAATGGTGCTCATTCAAATCATTTAGAAAGTTTGATCGTGTTCATGGAGTGGACTGTATGTTATGTTTAGATTATTATTTTTATTTTAATGCATTCTTTTTCACATTTAAACATTATTGAACACCGCTACGTCTGTTCTCATAAAAATGCTCTGTTGAATTTCTGCTAGGCAACTCCATTAAAAACACACAATGGGCTATGATTGGTGTGTTAGTATGGTGAGCTCCAAATGGGATATTCAGTATAGGGCTCATCCCTAGGCCATAAGTCCCTGTCACTCTGGAGCAGGGGTGTCCAAACTCAGTCCTGGAGGGCCGGTGTCCTGCAAAGTTTAGTTCCAACCCCAATCAGACAAACCCAGGCTAACTAATCAAGCTCATACTAGGATTTCTAAAAACATGCTTGCGGGTGTTTTGAGGCAAGTTGGAGCTAAACTCTGCAGGACATCTGCCCTCCAGGACTGAGTTTGGACACCCCTGCTCTAGAGGATATAAGGGCGTGTTCACACTATGTACAGTTGCCTTGAATCGGGCCGAAGCACACTTGCCCCCCCTCCTGTCACTTGTCCGCACTCACATCACATTCGGCCCTGAGCACGCTTACATCATGGATGATGCGCTGTTCAGTTTAAGAAGCGCTCTCGCTCAGTACTGTGGACATTTCTTTATATCATTATATCGTTTTAATTCGTTTAAGATGCGGTGACACGCAGTCAAATATTTCGCCAAACAGATCAGCCACTTTTGACTCTCATAAACAATCATAAAGTCCTCGCGCCGCAGGAATTAGAAGGTTTGTTAAAGGTGCAGGTGTCGTGCAGTGATGGGTTTACGTCTTTAATAATCTACGACAGTTTGCGTTAATTGAACAGTAAGAGTGATTATTAAATCCATATGAAACAGTCCCTTAAATGTCACACTTCGTCTTCAGTTTCGGGCTCAGGCATACTTTGCACTCACACTACAAGCGTATCACGCCAAAGCCCAAGTGAGCCGTGCTCTGGCACACCTCCTCCATCTGGGTCAGGGCCGGCCATGTGAACCGTGCCTGAGCCCGATTCATAGCACTCACACTTCTCAAACGATCCGGGAAACGGGCCTGGGCATGGTTCGGATAGCATAGTGTGAGTACACCCTAAATCCTTAGAAGGGATTAGGGCATAGGGATCAGGTTTATGCAAATTTTAGGGTTGGTGATGTCACATTTGCACTAAGAAGCTCTTTGTAGTCCCTAACAGCCATTTGTTAGCTTTCAAAAGCTTGTTCTGCATAAGAAAATATCTCCTGTTGCATTCAACTTTGTGTTATAATGTTGCAGATTCACTGTAAAACAAATCCGTAATTTTACGGGGGGTTTTTTCGGCAGCTGTGGCACATGAAAAAAAAAACTTTAAATAAAGAACATTAAATTACATAAATTTACTGTAAAATACGGGTTATTTATTTACAGAAATTTACCAGAAAAGTACATTTAAGGACATTTCTATAATTTATTATTTCACGGTATATTTCCGCAATTCCGCACCCCAGCTGCCGAAAATAAACCGTAAAATTATCTATTTCATTTACAGTGTATTTATGTTCAAACTGCAGCATCACACACTATCTGAGGTCTGAAATATTAAATCATGTTAAATGATCCATTTAATGGATGATTGAATGGACAATATGAAACATGTTTAATTTGGGAAATGTTCAACTGTTTGGTCAACATTTGGTCAAGTTCATTGTGAGAAAACTGACTTATAATTAAAATCTACACACACAGATTTCAGTAGTGGGACAAATTAAACGATTATTATAGAATATTAAAGAGATATCCAAAAACTGAGAGGTCGATGATAGTGTACTTAGTTATAACATTTAATGTTCTCTTAATGTTTGCATAACCAAGAGAAACTGCCTTCAAACATTCTGTAAAACCCAAAAAGTTAAGGAAACTCAAACTATTTGAGGAAACCGATTAGAACAAATCATTTGAGTAAAAAAAACTAATCCTAATGAGTACTGTGAACTTAATTCAAGTGAAGCAATTTGAGAACAGTAAAACCTGATAAATGAAGAGAACTCAAACCAGCTGAGTACTGTAAAACCCAGTAAGTTAAGGCAACTCAAACCGTTTTAGGAAACCGATTGTGACAAATCATTCCAGTTAAAAAAAAACAAATCTATATGAGTACTGTGAACATTTAAGTTGGAGTAATGAGGTATTTATTTATTAGTTTAGAACTGTTTTCAAATGAGTAGAATTAACTTTCAGTCAATTTTGAGTTAACTACACTCATTTCATTTAATAAAGCTGACTGTTGGTTTTTACAGTGAACATTCAGAAATAAGGTCATGTTTTTAGTTGTTGTTACTCTGAGCTAATGTTAGCATCCCTAGCATTTGCTGACTGAAAGCAAGCTAATGTTTCATCATATCATAGTTGAAGTGTTTCTGGTGATGGATTATGTTTTTGTGCTTAAAATGCATTCTTTTCAGTTTCGCAGCTCAGTGTTTTCACTCTGGACTGTTTATTCTTTAACTAGTCAGCTAATTAGTTAATCTTGTGGTGATAGAACAAGGAAGATGAAGAATAAAGTGGTTTTTGTGGTCTTTGTGTTGGTTACTCTTTGACCTTAACAAGGTGTGTAGGTAAGGTCTGTCCGGCAGCTCCGGGTCAAAGGACACTGGAGTTTTTCTGTTCTTACTTTCCTGAACTCGTTCATCACAGGAAGTGAACATGGTGAGATTTTGCACCACTGGATGTTTTAAAGACAAGTTTGCTGATTGTGCATTTTGTCATTTTTGCTGATTGTACATATAAAAAACATTACATTATCAGAGTTTAAGAATTTAGAGAAAGTAAAAATAGTATTTAAAGAAGATTTAGATGATTAGAGTTTTGGAAAGACTGATTGATTAAAACATGGTTAGCTGTGCAGTTTTTTTTTTTTTTTTACTTTACGAATAATTGTAGGAGTATAGACCTCAATCTTTTTTCATTTTAGGGTATTTTTATCTATTTATTAATGTATTTATTTATGTATTTAGATTTGAATTCAGAACTATTAGGCCCCCTGAATTATTAGCCCCCCTGTTTATTTTCTTCCCCAATTACTGTTTATCAGAAATTTACTTGCCATGATGACAATAAATAATATTTGACTAGATATTTTTCAAGACACTTCTATACAGCTTAAAGTGACATTTAATGGCTTAACTAGGTTAATTAGGTTAACTAGGCATGTTAGGGTAATTAGGCAAGTTATTGTATAGCGATGGTTTGTTCTGCAGACTATCGAAAAAAATATAGCTAAAAGGGGCTAATAATTTTGACCTTAAATTAAAAAATAAATTAAAAAATGCTTCTGTTATAGCTAAAAGTAAAACAAATAAGAGTTTCTCTAAAAGAAAAAAAACATTATCAGGCTTACTGTGAACATTTTCTTGCTCTGTTAAACATCATTGGGAAATATTTAAACGAAAAAAAATTAAAAGGGGGGCTAATAATTTTGAGGTTTTACTACAAATTGGTAAAACCTGTTTTGGGTGTCAGCATAATAATGACATTTACATGATCTTTTATTTTGCATGTATATTTACATGAAGCTGATATGAATATAAAGATCTGTTAATGCTTCTGAATTCTTTTTTTCTTAAATAGTACTTTAAAAATATTTTTTCTTGGCCAATATGGTTAGGAACTAAGCTTTCATTTTTGGCGTAATAATCAAGAAACATTGCTGCTATACCATGGCTGCAGCAGGCGCAATGATATAACACAGCTCCTAAAATAGTTGTAAATCTTCTCACAAGCATTTCAATGGTTTCCAAGATTTTCTGGATATTTTCAGATTTTCAGATTTTCAGAAAATGGCAACCTTTCATTTTTCGTCAGTCTTAGTACACGATATAACTTCACAAGTGTCAAACTTTAAATAGTAAAATTATTTATTATAGGATTTTTGGGTTATTAAAGGAATTTTGGTCATTTTTAAGTGAGATGCTAATGGTCCAATCCGATTTAATGATCTATGCTAAGCTAAGCTAAGCTAAATGTACTCCAGCCAGACCTAGAGTTTGTCCGAATGGGTTTAAAAATGGTAAAACTCAACTGCTTAACTCAAGTACAGAGCCTATAGCAAAAAGTGGAGTGTTTCTTTAAATCTAAGATGCCCAAAGTAGGGCCGGCAGGTCAAAGTTGGCCCATTGTAAGCTTTAATTTAGCCCACCATCCCATCTGAGAGGAGAATGAGAATGATGGAGAGTGTTGGGGCGAATTAGACAGAGATCGCCGTTTCTAATTTTAGATAATCTTTTTTTTTTATGTAACCACTTACTAAAAAGCAAACTGAAATAAAAATAGTCCTGGATAGAGGACTATGTAAAAGGCATCAACAAGAAAATCAAGGCAAAAACTAGTGTGATCCTATTATAAATGGGATTGTTTTGTTTTTACTGCAATTTTACTGAATTTTACTGCAATTACTGCAAAAGTTCATTATAAAAATACTGTATTAGTTCACTTAAAGCAATGTTTTCTACTCATTTTTAAATATTATTACATGAATTAGAAAATTACCCATGGCAACTGTATTTACATTCGACCCACTAGTCACACAGTTTGGTTTTTGGCCCTTCATAAGAAAAAGTTTAAATAAAAGTATTATCATTCACTCGTCATGACCACGAAGAGCTCAAAATGTTTATGATGCATGTCCCTAGAGTAGACACAAAGAGCAAGATATGTAGTCTGTAAACCAGCAGAACACACATTTACCTCACAACTTCTTCAATGAAGATCATCTTTTGTAAACATCCACATCTGACCTTCACATATAACTGCTCCAGCCTGTAAGACAACAGACGCTTTATGACACTCTATTAGATTAGCAGATTAAAGCTAAATTTAGATGCAGATGCTAATAAAATGTGCATGCTGTTCGTTCAATGTGTTCATTAATATAACAATAAATTCATTGACTTCTCCTTAATTACAGGACAATCTTCATGGAGCAGTAATATTGAGGTAAGAATTTTACTATAGAATATCCAATATATATAATTGATTTGAGTTGATAAGCTCTGGACTCTTCAGAACGCGATCAGAAGGTTTATTTGTGGATCACTTTGGTTAACGTTCACAGGGCTTGGCTGTGATTAGTTATCAGTGCGGAAGATGAACTGATGGATTGATGTGGGACAGATCACCTTCACCTGCTGAAGTTCTACAGGTCAGTCTATTGTGTGGTGTGTTTGCAGACAAATACAGCTTCTCATGTTAGTGGAGGTGGTCCAGGTCAGGCCCTCGGGGTCCCGGGAACAGCGGGACTGCGTTACGGCTCATCCCACCTGTTGCCTGAATTGGTAATATATCAAGTCATTTGTTAAAAAGGATAGGTCACCCACAACTAAGCACTCTCACTATGTTAACTCATTTAACTTCTATTTGAGTAATACTGTCAAGCTCCAGACTCTATTCAATCTTTAATTTTTAAGAGTGTATTTGTAAAAAAAAAAAAAAAATATATATATATATATATATATATATATATATATATATATATATATATATATATATATATACACATACATATATATATATATATATATATATATATATACATACATATATATATATATATATATATATATATATATATATATATTAGTGCATGCATTGGAGTAACAGCTTTTGTTCATTTTTTTTATACAGTGGATTATTTTAAATGTTTTCTTTGTTAAAATATTATCTGAAGATATAGTTCACTTAAATTCTGCCATTATTTACTCATCTTTCACTTGTTCCAATCCTGCTTGAGTTTCTTTTTTCTGTTGAACCCGATGGAAGATAAGTGAGGAATAATTGAAAAACTTCTATAATATATATATTTTTATACTACGGATGTCAAACATTCTTTAGAGTTTCTTCTTTTGTTTTAAACTGAAGAAAGAAAAGAGAATCATTTGTGTGTGAGTAAATGATGAGGTAATATTAATTTAATAATGACCTATTACTTTTAGACTGGTTGCATCAAAAAGGGGGACTCGTCATTGAAGAATTCAATGACAACACATACACTATTACACAATTACACTTCATTAAACACATAAACATCACCTACATGCTATAAAACTGCAAGTTAGCTATGTTTATATATAATAACTTATATTTGATTGTAACTTTAACCTAATTTCCTTGTAGTGCAGTAATGTGCACCTTTTGTAAAGCTGCTTTGTAACAACAATTATTGTAAAAAGCACTATACAAAGGCATTTGAATTGAATACGTTTATTCTGGAAACTAAAACCAAACTTAAGTTCAGATTTTTTTGAGGGAAATCAGCTTGATTTATAACTGTGACAAAGTGAAAATAAAGTGAGATTTTGAAATGACAGAAAAACACAAACCCTGGTAAATACTACACACTAAATGAAACATAAACGGCTCGCGATTTGAATGAACTTGCAAATCAGCCAGCAGAGTTTCAGTAACAGACTTTTATTGGTCATTTTTATCAATTGCATGACTTACAAACCTGTTTCATGCCAGTAATCTGGTTAACTCTATAAAGCAGTGAAGTATTGCATGTGTGTGTGTTGAAGAGCCGCTGAGCTAACAGCTGACAGGCCGTGGAAACATACACACCCACAGAAGGTTTTTCTTTTGCGCTTGAACCAAATCTGACAGATTATAACAGCTTTAACATGCATTTTTCAAAGTTGTGTGTCAACACTCGGAAATCCACTCAAAAAGCTACTGAGATGCATTTTCGGAGCGCAAATTACCTATTGTAAACACTGTAAACGGAAGTTTTAAACATTTTACCGGAAGATGCTGGTCGTTATGACGCCCTCCATGCAGCTGCCAAGAAAAAGGTCTATAGTGCAATTCTTTGTGTGCTTAATGCAGGCTTAATGTAGGAGACACAATCGTTTCCTCTCCATATGCACCAGACACTTTCTCATAAGCAACATATGCTTACTTTTCATTGTGTGCTTACTACCCTTTGGTTATGTTAGAATCTGTTTTCTGACTTCACATTTTTTGATTGCAAAGCCATGACACCAAATAATCATGCTTGCTTGATTGTTGTTGGTTTTCAATATGCACCGGACACCTTCTCAAAAGCAACATATGCTTATTTGGAAAACCATGCTCCACACAGCTCGACAAACCAGCTATAGGACAGTCTTTCTCCTCTGTGATGCTTGGGGGGAAAAATCTAGTCTAACACAGACTTGTTTGCATTTATACATTGCTTCTCGCAGATGATGTTGTTGTCCTACTGACACACAAGTGTTGTCCTGGATCAACAGCTTCTGTTCACCCAGTGAGCCCTCAATGTACCTGTTTCCCAAACCAGAGCTTGAGTTCACAGAGGTCCATTTCCATATACACTCTTCCCTCCTCCATCTGACTGCATTAGGAATCTGAGAGCGGGTCTATGAATAGAGCAGCGGACCTTGCCGTTCACAGGGGACTCGGCTTCAGGTTTTTTTTGTGTGTGTGTCTCTCAGGGTGGCCTGGATATGACCAGACGTCTGTGTCACTTTCAAAGAGACAGAGCAAGATCATCATTTGTCTTTATGGCCCCTCGTCACCCTTTAACCCCTTCCACAGGGTGACTGACCCTAGATAGTACACTTCTGAGTGAGCAAACAGGAGGTTTGGCTGTCTGATTAGTAGATGATTGTGTTAGATGTTAAGTACTCTTTGTGTGTAAATAAAATAAAGTAAGAAATATTATGTATAGACATCATAGAGCATAATAACGCTCCTCAAAGAGCTCGTTTAAATTCATATTTCTAATAATTCAATTCAATTCAAGTTTATTTGTATAATTATTGTTTCAAAGAAGCTTTACAAAAGCAAATTTGGAAAAATTAAGGTTATTAGTTACCATAAATTTCTTAGTTACTGATAACGTTAGCTAATTAACTAGTAACTTATAACTTTTAACAAAGTAATAAGATGCTTTAAAATAATATATTAGAGCATGAACACTATATTAGTCAGTACCAAAGCTGCCCAAACTAGAACTAGTTTAACAAAGAAAATTAAGATCACAGTCCAGAGGTAAGTCGAGTACACTCAAATTAATATGTTAAGGCAGGGATGTCACACTCAATTCCTGGAGGGCCGCAGCCCTGCATAGTTTAGTTCCAACCCTGCTCCAACACACTTACCTGTAGGTTTCAAACAAGCCTGAATGACTCAATTTGATCAGGTGTGTTAAATTAGGGTTTTTGCTAAACTGTGCAGGGCTGTGACCCTCCAGGAATTGAGTGTGACATCCCTGTGTTAGGGGGAAATATTAAATAAAATGTAAAAAAAAAAAAAAAAAAGGAAAAATTAAGAGAAACAAAACAAATCATGTATTATGCTTCTATTGCTGGTAAAGATGTTGACCAAACTCTCATTTGATGTGACAAAACTCTTATTTTAATGAGATATAATTGTTTATGGTACAGTATTGTTTAAATGCACTAAAATTATTGGCTATATTAACTGAGAAATGGATAAAAATATTCATTTGAAAAATGCGGTGTACTTATTTATGCAAAGCATTGTGTTAATATAAAGGTTTAGTTATTTAAAGAGCCCCTATTATACATTTAAAAAAGGTCATATTTTAGTTTTGGGGGTGTCCAACAACAGGCTGATATGCATGCAAGGTCAAAAAACAATTTCATTGTCTTAAATATGCATTTATTTTTAACTAATTATCCCAGTGACCCCCACATGAATCATTCAGTGATTCATTTGTTCCCAAACCCCTCCTTAGCGCAAAGCTAATCTACACTAATTGGACCGATGACCCAGTCTGTTGATATTTGTCGACTGCATTCAGCACGAGACAGAAAGAACTGGCCACCGCGGCTACAGTATGAAGTACCAGAAAGTATGTGAGAGCCCAATGCAGGAATGCAATAAAGCAATGTAGTTAAACACAAGCATATTACTCTACTCCTAAACCTAACCCCAAGTAATAACGACACACATTCAGTATTAATCCACACAGTGGCAAAAGTTGAACTATTTTGAAAATTGACCACGCTGCGCGTGTAAGGAACAGCTGATGGTGGCCATAGCAACAAACAGGAGAGGATTGCCAGCTCAGAAATGCATTTAAATTGGTAAAGGAAGAAGCACGCGTCACGATTTTAACATAGTTTTGGACACGACATGTGAACAGTCCCATACAGATTTAACCTGAGAGATTCAGTACAAGCACTGATCTATAATGGATATGTGATTACAAGCCGCGTTGGGCCATTACAACTTATAACACACAATTAAACATATATTTTGCAAACTACACAAAATGAGGCAACAATTTTAATGACACTTAAATGTTATGATTCGGAGGAAGAAGAAACTGGTCCATTTGAACTATAAAAGTTATTGACAAAGTCCCTGTCAAAGTCTGACAAAGTCCCATAGTCTCTGCTGCTCCTTCAATAGCAAACGGTCAGCGAATCCCGCGCTGCAGCGTAGGTTATTGTATTAAAAACAGAGAAATGTCAGGAACAAACATAGCATAGCTTGGCTATACTGTGGGATTGTTGTGAAAATTAACTTTAACCATTTATTCCCCCGCAGCTGAATCATCATCTTCGCTTCATGATCAGTCCCGTGATCCCCTGCTTACTGTTAGTGTCTGAAGTGAAAGCGCGTTTACATTTTACCGGAACTGGAACTATTTGGTGATGTACCGTGTTGACAATCTAAAGATCCGAACCCAACTCGATTAATTTATTCGACTCTGTGTCAACTATTTCCCTAAGAAACAGTAGTTTTAAACACGATGCATTTTCAGATTTAAACCTCAGCTGGATGTTTTCATCCACTTAGAGCTGTGTTACACACTGCATAGAAGCTCATTTTAAAAACCCCATAATAGGGGCTCTTTAAAAAAAGCATAAAAGACATACAGCCACATATGACTGTGTTTTTGCGTGTTTATTGTCAAGCGAAAAATGCATTTAAAATGATATCAATAAATAAATATTCACAGTTCCTAAAATATATAAACAAAAAGGACATATTATTTGAATTAGTTGGCTAGAAAAGTAGCTAAAGTAACAATCAAGTCAGAATAAGAGTTAATTAAAATTATACAGGAATATTTACTATAAAAGCTATTAATAAAAACTACAAAAGCATCTCTGTGATGCTAACAGTTTATAATAATTGTGAAGAACTGACTATATGGGTTTAGTTTAAAAAATAAATATAAATAATGATGTATTTGTTTTTTTTTAAAAAAGTGCATATACAGTATAAATTAATAAAAACATCTATATAGAATAATAAAAAATTAGATTACAGTAAATTACATCATTTTTATTCAATATTTTATATATGTAAAAATTGTCCAAACCAATTCATTTATATTCTGTAATATTCTGTGTTCACACATAAAAAAAAACAGTAAACCCTACATGTCTCAGATGAGCACTGAATAGTTTTGCTTTAGTTTCTTCAGCTCAG